AAGAAAAAAAAAAGGACTTAAGGGAAAAAGGAAGGGACGACCCGTTTATATTATAACTCGGTTTAGACCCGAGAGATTTTTTTAGTCCCTTGAATTTGGATTCCAATTATTTACCCCCACGAAAGAATTAAAAATAATTGAACCCAAAATAGTATTGTAATTCCAATTCTTCCACTTCAATTTTTGTCAACCAAACACAAGAATTGGAATTAAAGAGTTTCAATTCTAATTCTTGGTCCCAATTCAATGCAACCAAACAGAGCCTTATAGATTATGAGTTCTAGTAGATCACAGGTTCGAGTCACATCAAGGATAAGTGGACAACCGCTATTGATCTGTTAAAAAAAAAAAGCAATTAATTCCGCAATCCCTTGACTTGTAGACTTGGAACTTTTAAGAATGGCTAATCCTTAACGAGGTGCAGGTTTGGATTTTACGGAACTGTGTAGAGTTTTATCTACTCTTTAGTAATTGTGCGGTGAGTTATACGCCGAAAACCAAAAGCATCATCAATTTGATATATCTATGGTTGATGATCTTGCCATGGATAGAAATACCTTACGTTGCATTATTAATGCATTTTGTGATGAAGATTTACTGCTTGGCCATCAAACAAACCAGCATTAATAATACGACAGTTTGAGTGGATTCATGCCAAAAGAACTTTGCAATGTCGAGATCAAAAATTATAAGTGCATGTAGTTAGGTACACATAAACTCTTATTTGGTAATTAGTGTAGGAAATAAAGGCTAAACATGCAAGTCTTTTTAAGTTAGATGAAATATACGCACCATTCTTCTTTAATTTTAGGAAGTGGGTTTTAAAAATTTCTTTTATCTTCAAAAGATTTTATTTTTTTAATCCGTAATGAACTAAACTAAGTATCTTATATTATTTTAATGGTACTTGATGAGATCTATTCAACAAGATCCTTCATAAATATATTTTTCGAAACTTTAAAAAATTTATGCAATTGCCTTGGTCTTTCTAAAAGACGCTATGGTCTTACTTGTGTCTTTTAGGCCAAGACCTAGAGCAAACACCAAAGACCAAAGACCAAAGACCAAAAAGCAAAAACCAAAGAGTAAAGACAAAGAACCAAAAACTAAAGATCAAAGTGAAGAGCGAGCGTATATGAGGACCAAAGACCAAAGACCGAAGACCAAAAATTCAAAGACCAAAGACCAGAGTAAAGAGCGAGCGTATGTGACAAACAAAGACCAAAGACCAGAGTAAAGAGCGAGCGTATGTGACAAACAAAGACCAAAGACAAAAGGCCAACGACCAAAAATCAAGAGATCAAAGACCAAAGACTAGAATGAATAGCGAGTGTGTATGAGGAGTAAAGACCAAAGACCAATGGCCAAAAGGTCAAACTAGGCCCTAACCAACACAGAAATGCTTAAATCGCCCTAAACCCTAATCTCTAAACAAATAGACCTAACCGACACGGAAATACTTAAAACCACTAATATTTTTTTTTAGTTTAAATTATTTTAAACAATTTAGGCTAGAGTCACGTGACCCTAGCCTAATTAGTTTAAAAAAATTTCATAAGGTTAATCGTGTTACGGCAGAAATTAGGCCCTAATCGACACGGAAATGCTTAAACCCACTAAATCCTAAACCCTAAACAACTAGATCCTAACCGACACGGAAATGCTAAAACCCCCTTGAACCCTAAACCCTAAGCAACTAGACCCTAACTGACACAGAAATGGTTAAACTCCCCTAAACCCTAAACACACTAATTTTTTTTTTGGTTTAAATTATTTTAAACGAGACCCTAGCCTAATTGCTTTAATAAAATTTATAAGGTTAATCGTGTTACGGCACAAACTAGGACCTAACCAACACAGAAATGCTTAAACCCCCTAAACCCTAAAACCTAAACAACTAGACCCGAACCGGTACGGAAATGGTTAAACCCCTCTAAATCCTAAACACATTAATTTATTTTTTTGGTTTAAAAAAATTTATAAATTAATTGTGTTACGGTAAAAATTAGGTCCTAATCGATAAGAAAATGCTTAAACCCCCTTAAACCCTAAATCCTAAACAACTAGATCGTAACAGACAAGGAAATGATTAAAACCCCCTAAGCCCTAAACACACTAATATTTTTTTCGATTTCTTATCTTTGGCCTTTGGTTTTTACTCCTCACACACGCTCGCTTTTAATTCTGATCTTTAGTCTTTGCTCTTTGGTCTTTAGTTTTTGAAAAATATTTTGATCTCTGGTCTTTGGTCGTTGGCCTTCGGTCTTTGGTCTTTGGTCTTTGGTCTTTGGTATTTGGCCTTCGGTCTTTAGTCTTTGGTATTTGCTCTTTGGTTTTTGGTGTTTGGTCTTTGCTGCTCACACAACGCTCGCTCTTTCACTCTGGTCTTCGGTCTTCGGTTTTGGCTCTTTGGTCTTCGGTTTCTTAGTCTTTGGTCTTTTGTCGTTGTTCCTCACATACGCTCGCTCTGCACTTTGATCTTTGGTTTTTGGTTTTTTGTCTTTGCTCTTTGGTATTCAATTTTTGGTGTGTGGCTTCGATTTCAAATATTGGGTGCTTTCTCTCGTATTGATACCCCTAGGGGTGGTTCTTCTAGTAATCCTTACTCTGGCATGCATCTCCTTAAGATATATTAGAAAAAGCAAGGCTCTAAGTGCAATAGGTGTGCCCTATGTGCCCAAGAAAGAAAGAATTTCTTACTATGAACTTGTGCAAGTAACGAACAGGTATAATGAGAGCAACTTGCTTGGATCAGGGAGTTTTGGGTCAGTTTATAAAGGGACTCTTAATGATGGTAAAGTTGTGGCTGTAAACGTGTTTAATCTACAACTCGATGGTTCATTGAAGAGTTTTGATGTAGAATGTGAGGTCTTCTGCAACCTTCGCCATCGAAATCTAGTGAAAGTCATCAACAGTTGCTCCAATCCGGATTTTAAGGCTTTGGTTCTCAAATATATGTCAAATGGGAGCCTTGAAGCATGGTTATACTCTACTCATCTTTACTTGAATACGTTTCAAAGATTGAGTATAATGATCGACGTGGCTGCTGCTTTGCAATATCTTCACCAAGAATATTTAAATCCAGTGATTCGTTGTGATTTAAAACCTAGTAATGTCCTTATTGATGAGGAATTGGTTGCCTATGTTAGTGATTTTGGAATCACTAAGTTTCTAGGGAAGGATGAAAGCATTGAATTAACCAAAACCTTTACTACAATTGGTTACATTGCACCAAGTAATTGATTATCTCGAATCTGATATCTTGATTTCGTTTGGTTCCTAGTTAGCTATCTATCTCACACACTTTTTGATCAATTAATTGACATATATATATATATATATAATATTTGTAGAATATGGAAGTGAAGGATTGGTATCGAAAGCATCGGATGTATTTAGCTATGGAATTCTCTTAATGAAAGTGTTTACTGGAAGAAGGCCTAATGATGAGATCTTTGGAGAAAATCTTAGCTTGAAGAGTTGGGTTCAGGACTGCATTCCTAATTCTATTACTGAAATTACAGATCTGAAATTGTTTCATGAACAAGATGAACGTTACAATTCTAAGGATTTAATTTTAGGAAGTGTATCAATGATCATGGAATTGGCCTTAAAAATGTGTTCCGGAATCTCCAAAAGAAAGGATTACAATGAGTGAAATACTGCAGTCTCTCAAGAAGATCAAAGATAGATACGTTGCATGTTATCAAAGTGCATAATTAGGATCGTGACTTTCTTTTTCTAGTAGTGGAATAAAATTTGGTTCGGAATATTGCATATTATCTCAACCCCTTTTTCCTTTTTCTGGCTATTTATGATAATTTTTAATTGCAATGTATTTGTAACTTATTATACGATCATATACTATCATTTCTAGCACTAGTAAAAAAACACATTGTGCTTGGTCGGATTTTCTACTACTGAATGAATATACTACTCCCTCCGCCCCAAAATTATTGTCTAGTTTGATTAAGATACTAGATTTTATTTTTTGGTCAAACTCAACCAAATATTAGCAAAAGCTTCCAAATATACCCCTGGGTACATAATGGTCTTACTGACGCACAAAAAGAAGAAGAATTTTTTCTACTCCTTCAGAGTCCCTCTTTCTAGCTTCTCTTTGTAGTCTCTCTCTAAGCTGAATTCTCTTGAATCAATAGCACCGCAGCCATCTCCGTTTATCTCTTATTATGTCCATGTTTAATCAACATGGAGGTTGAGGGGTCAGCTCCAATGGAACACGACAATAACAGCTTCCCAATTCAAAAATCATTGTCAATCTCAAAAAGCTAGAACAACACATCTATAAATTCTCCATTAAGACTTCTAGCTATAATTGAACCAAATTTCAAGTTTGGAGTCTTCTTATTTTATGGTTCAGAGAATAAAATGCTTTTATTTCACCGGTAAGGCCACCACTTGTGCTAATAGAACCAAATTTTCAAATGAATTCACTCGAATTCAGAGAAAATTTATATTGTGATCTTCAATTTGATGCTCATCCATTTGATACGGATATCCTTAGAATTGATTGATTGCTGTTTCGGTCCGACGCCGGTATTTCTCCTGCATATTTTCCAATTTCCAGGTCACCTCATTTTCACTACCACTTGCCAGTTAGAGTTTAGCCTTCCTTTTCCTTTTCTTTTTCCTTTTTTTTTTGATAAATATTAGCCTTCCTTTCCCGTGTAGTTCGTTTTTGTAGAGCATTGAGAGAATACGGGAGAAAATGTTTCAGTTGAATTATTGTTTTGACTCAAGGGTATATGTGTCACTCAACTCATAAAAAGTCAAATCGGATAATGATTTTAGGACAAAATTTTTTTGACAAAGTAGACAATAATTTTGGGACGGAGGGAGTACTATATTAAGAAAAAAAAACATAAAAGCTTGCTGGATGGGTTTTGTTGTCATTTCATCCACTTTACCAGTTGACCGTTGCGTCTTGCCGGTCAAAGGTGGTTTTTGATATTCTTCCAAACAATAAGGGCGTTTTAGATATTAAGCATAGATTAAAAAACCCTCGCCTTCCCTTCGTTTCTTCCTCGTCCATCGGAAATTCCAAACAGCCACTGTCGCAAAATCCCAAACCAGCCGGATTTTTCCGCCGATTTTAACCTCAAATTGATTCCAATCTCCTCCGTTCATCTTACCCTTGAATTCATCCGAAGGAAGTAGAAGAAAAGGAAGTAATCGTGCGAAAAAAAGAGCAAAAACAGCCCGGAGCTTGCACATCGGAGGGAAACCCACACAGGCTTTAATCGAAACTCGGAGCGGAAGCGGTGCAATAAATATGCTGCGTTTACGATGGAATTTTCCCTTGCCATTGATGTGGTATGATTTTGTTCCAGTATTATTTTTCAGTTGAAGTATGTAAAGTTAGGATGTTTGGGGGGGCATTTAGGATTTTGTTCGTTTGGTTATGCCATGGGCAATATGGATAAGAAGTTACGCGGGCAGACTTTATGAACTCCCATTGTTATTTTAGCTGAAGTTTGCTTATGCCTATTTGAGGTTGTAGAACATGAAACTTGAGTGTGTTTTGGTGTTTCAGGTTTTGGGCCATCAATAGTGTTCTTCTTATTGAATTGTCTTCTTCTTTTAGATGTAGGTTGTGATCACCGACTCAAAAATCTGAAATGATGTTGATCTTTTTGGTTTCTGAGTCTTTCTGAAATTCCAGTTTTACTGCATTGTTAATTAGATTTATAAATGTATGTTAGACCTAAAGAAAAGATCCAAACATTTGTCGAAAGAGGATAAAGGGAAGTAATGATTACTATTAAGGGTGTGATGAGATTGAAATCTCTTAGTGGTTAGGACCACCTCATCATGGTTAAAGTGATGTAATAACTTCAAGGAATTCATCCATGATACATCTTGTCAAGGACTTACTGTTTCATTGTGATTCCGAATTTTGGATTTCATATTGACTAAAATTCTGAACAACTTAATGATAAAAGTTCTAGGATACATTCGTTTCCACTCTCCACCATATTCACCATATTCACTTTTGCATTATCATGTGAATAGTAGCTGATATGGACACACAGCAGCATTGTAATTAGGAGAAGATATGGACATCTATGCTACCAATCCTGGTCCAGTGGATGATTCTGTCCTGTATGATCAAGATAAGCATGTCTCAGCTGCAATTTGGGAGGGTCAGGTGATTACTGGATCAAATCATTTTTATTTGCTGTTTCTTTCTATCTGTTTTTATTTTATTGTGTTCTCACCAGTTTGTAATTAACAGGAGCGAGGTGCTCTCAGATGCCATGAGCATACTTCTAATTTGCATAGGTGGGTTCTTACTGATAAGCAAATTGAGCTGGTAGAGAAGGCTGGTTTTGGTTTCTTGAGGTTAATTCGTGCAATTAGTTTGGACAATCCACTTATCTCTGCTCTAGTTGAGAGATGGAGAAGAGAAACAAACACATTCCATTTCACCGTTGGAGAGATGACGGTGACTCTTAAAGACGTTGCATACTTGTTGGGGCTCTCTATTGATGGTGAACCAGTTATTGGCGTTACATACACAACATGTGATGCAGTATGTGTGAAGTATTTGGGAAGAAGACCTGATTCAGGGCACACCAGTGGGGGGATGGTGAAGCTTAGCTGGTTGAAGGAAAGCTTCTCTCATTGTCCTGGGGATGCCTCAACTGAAGATGTTGAGCGCCATACTCGTGCCTATCTTCTTTATCTTGTTGGTAGCACAATATTTTCAACCACAACTGGTAATAAAGTACCTGTGATGTACCTTCCTTTGTTTGAAGATTTTGAGGAAGCAGGTAAATATGCATGGGGTGCAGCTGCTCTGTCGTTTTTGTATAGAGCACTTGGCAATGCCTCACTTCAATCACAGAGCACGATTAGTGGATGCTTAACCCTCCTACAGGTGAGTCATAATTTGGTGGTTGTATTCTGCTGTTCAGTTTTGATAAGTAGATAATAATAGTCAGTAAACAGCCTTCTTGGGAGACTGTGTAGCCTTGTGGCCTTACTTTTAACTCAATAGATGCATTATTTTATGATTTATTTTTGTAGTGCTGGAGTTATTATCACCTTAATGTTGGTCGGCCAAGTCTTAACCACGACCCAATCCATGAGCATTTTCCTTTTGTTCTCCGATGGAGTGGGAAGCAAAGCAGTCCAACGGTGAACCGTGATGTAGTTTTCTATCGCAAGGCGTTGGACTCTCTAAAGGAAATTGATGTAAGTTTATGAAAATTAGATATTAATTTGGGAAGCTAATCCATGTCTCGTCTCACTCGATTGGTGACCAATGAAATCGTTTTGCCTAGGTTGAGTGGTGTCCTTACACAAATCTTAGCAATACTGTTATTCCTCCAAATATTTTGAATTGTCTCATTCTTGGGCGATCAAAGACAATGCTGATATGTTTTGACAAGGCGGAAAGGCACCTTCCCGATCGCTGCTTGAGACAGTTTGGCATGAAGCAAAATATTCCGGAGGATGTCCCAGAGTGGGAAAGGAAAGCCCGTGGAGTTGATGGTGGCACGGATCTCTCTTTGAAAATGGAATCAGAGCTCAATGAATGGTTGCATCGTCGACTTCATATTGTTGAGGCCGAGGAAGATGTTGAGGAAAGTGAATACATGCAGTGGTACTTGAATATAACTCGTATTTTAGTTGGGAGGCCTATACCTCTCTCATCCGAGTTTCAGACGATGGTAAGCTTCAGAAAAACAGAATGTATGCAAAATCAATGACGGTAATTAACGCATTGACGTTTGCTGCAGATCATTCATTGGCTCTCTCTCTCTCTCTCTCTCTCTCTCTCTATCTATCTGTCTCTATCTCTACTCTCTCTCTATCTCTCTCTCTCTCTCTCTCTCTCTCTCTCTCTCTCTCTCTCTCTCTCTCTCTCTCTCTGTTCCAAAATTAATCTGTGGAATTGCTTCTTACCTCAAAGTTGTGTACTTAAATAGGTGTGCTATCATTTTCCTGATGCATCTGAACTAATTTTTTGCTATTGTGTTTCATTCAAATACAGAGCCCAACCCTAAGGGACATTGCCTTTCTGGCCGATTCTCTTTCAACACGTGGGATGGATGATGAACAAATTCAAGTTGTGGAAAGAATTAGGTATCTTGCACATGAATGCTTGAGGGACCAGGTTGCAATTACAGTAGCCAGTATGCAACCTGAAGTGGTAAAAAGAGGGAGAGGAAAGAACGTAAGAAGGAAGGGTGCGGAAAAAAGGAAACGAAAAGAAGTTGAGAATCATAGGTCACCTCGCTTGAATTCTAAGGCCAATCGTTCACACTCGTATCATCATAATACTGAAAATGAGATTCATTCGGTGACAGATGCCATGCGTCGAGAGACAGATGACGATGTATTGGCATCCCCGGCAGATCGTGAAGTTGATGATGAAGACTTTTGTGAGACTAATGAAGTTGATGACTCCCACTCTCGCCGCGTAGCTGAAGAGAAAGGTGGTCATATTGGTGAGCCGAAGCCTTCAGAGCGCCCATGTACAGCTACCGAGGCAGTTCAACTGTCCTCTCTGGAAAATAGTGAGGATATTGCGCGGCAGGTTGAGGCCAGTTAGCTATTGTATCTTTCCTTCAAGGTCCGAATTTCCAATGCGATATGCTTATGCCTTTTCCATTGTGATATGGTTTTGCTCCCTTTTGCTTTCATGCTTGGTATCCACTTGCATTCTTTCTTCTTGCAGGCATCTTAGTTCTACCATGAGGACAAAGCAACCAATTGTATTTCTCAGGAGCCTAGGTGTATGTTTCCTGGGAGCCGCTAGGGGTAATATATTCAGCTTCTTAGTTACCTTTTGAAAGTAATGTTGGTAGATATTAGGTGGTGAACAAAATTGCTTCTCTGTCATCTTGTAGCTTATTAGTTGGTGTAAGATTATGAAGTGACTTAATATGATTTTGGCGGATTTTTTTTTCTTTTTCTTTTTTTTTCCCCCTTTTTTAAAGGGGCATAATATTATTCTAATATATTCATCCTGTAGTGATTACGCTGATCTCATTTAAGATTTTATAATAACTATTAACTCAGGAAAAAAGAAATAAAATAATCTGAAGAAAACTGCTGAAATAAGATAACTTATTCAACCTTTAATAAAATGCTCTCTCTTTTTTTGGGTATATTAACCATGAGCTTACTCAAAACTAATTTCACTACCATGGGACACCCTACAAGACAATGACGATCAATATGCTGCTTTCTATGACTGAACTTGGTCGGTTGGTCCTAATCTTCAAGCAAAATTCCCTACTAGAATCGGTATAGAATTCCTTGGTCAAGTATTGAAGACCTTAATATATCGGTATATTTTAAGTTTTAACTTCTTGTATAGATAAATAATTGTTGAAAAAAATTTGTCAAAAGAAATGAAGTTATGCCCGGTTAAAATTAATCCAACTACAATACGTGCGCTTAAAAAGATTTTCATACAAAATCCAATCATATTTACGTATCCGATATCGTTTCATGGTTTGCGCCAAGCATTCCCACTAGAGTGAATGTATTTTGAAGGCGACGAAAGTTTCATTTCTATAGGAGGAAAAATGAATGGAAACCGTCGGTTTCGTGTGAACGCTGTTTATGCATAAAAAGTTGTTAGTGGTCCGTGGGGTTTATACTCCTCCGTTCCATAATTATTGTCCAGTTTGAATTTTTATTTCTAATTAAAATTGTACTAGAAGTGAAATTTCAAAGTGGACAATAATTTTGGGACAGAGAGACTACTTTATATATCCCTTTCCCATTGACTTTGAAATTCCATTTCTAAGAAAATAATAGTATTCCATTTAGTTTCTGTAATTAAGGAATATTGCAAATGTCATTTTAGAACTTTTGCATCTTTCAACTTTCTTCTGCCGCAACTTTCTTCCTATTTTCCTATGAATTCAAATAATGATGAGTGATGAGTGATGGGTCTCAAGCCTACTAAAACAGTCCTTGCAAGTGGACCTTTTGGAGCCATGGATACATCCACTATTTTCCCATTTGATTTCTGACTTCTAACAATTGGAGTATGTCCCATATCTTTCCACTGTCGGAACTTCAAAGATGTCCAAAACAAAGACGTATTTGGCTTGATTTTGGATTAGTCGAGAGAGTAATTATAAATAATTACTACATCTACCCAAAAAAAGATGTCTATGTCTTCTCCAAAAATGATACCTCTTCATGGCAAAAATATTCTGCAAATCAAAATGTCTAAAAATAGCAAATTAAGGGGAGTGGGGAAGTAAGCAGCCAAGTAGGAATAGTGCATGCGGAAGAATTGACTTTAACTTCCACTCCATCTAACATCTATGGGATCTCCATTTTTGCACATGAAGAAATTCAGGCACTCATGATGATGATCACAATCACTGAAACAACGTTGAAACTTCTGTATCGATCCACTTGATTCATTTCCCTTAACGTTTAGTGAATAAATTAAGGACTCTTGCATTATGGAAAATGGAAAATCTCTTGTGATTCAGTGACTCTCTCTTCTGGCCACAATCAAAGTATCAAACGGTTGTCTATATGTGTGTGTTACATTCTGCAAAAACTACATACATCTTCATGGTTTGATCTTTTCCGATGGATCAAACATACTCCGCACTTGTTTTTATGAATGGTCTATTATTGATGATTACTTACTGCTTGGCCATCCAACAAACCAATCTTGATACTGATCGATCAGCTCTTCTAGCTTTGAAAAACCACATTACCTCAGACCCTCACCAAATTTTGTCCAAAAACTGGTCTTCTTCTTCTCCATCTTCCTCCGTTTGTGGCTGGATTGGAGTTCAGTGCGGCTCCCTCCACCGCAGAGTCTCGGTTTTAAATGTTTCCGACATGGGTCTTACGGGCACCATTCCTCCCCATTTGGGTAATCTTTCTTTTCTCGTTTCACTCGACATGAGTAGAAACTATTTCCATGGAAATGTACCTCAAGAATTGTCGCAATTACGCAGATTAAGGTCTGTCGGTTTAGGCTACAACAACCTTACTGGAAATATTCCGACTTGGTTTGGACCAGAACTTCAAGTCTTGACTTTACATTACAACGCTTTTAGTGGCATTATTCCTTCTTCCATCTCCAACCTGACCAATTTAGAAATTTTTGTTGTTCAAGGCAATTCTCTCACCGGAAAGATTCCTGAAGAAATTGGAAACCTTAACAGGTTGACAAATCTGAATCTTCAATCCAATTTTCTTGTTGGTTCCATTCCTTTTTCCATCTTCAACATTTCGTCGTTGCAGAGTTTTGCTTTGACGTATAATAACTTAACCGGAAGACTTCCAGATGATATCTGTCTCAATCTCCCAAATCTCGGAGGGATTTATTTCTCTTTCAATCAGTTAAGTGGTACAATCCCGCCAAGTGTATCCCGTTGTTCCCAACTTCAGATCTTGTCATTGTCATACAACAACTTCAGTGGATTCATACCAAAAGAACTAGGCAACTTGGAGATGTTGGAATCATTAACTCTTGGATCCAACAATTTACAAGGTACCACAGACATTTTGATGAACCTAGCTACCATTTTGATGAATTATTTACTTGCAGCAAACGTAGTGTGCAATTATTCTTATGGTTTATGAACTGTGGCTATATTGTTTCTCTTTTGCATTTTCAATTAAGTTGAATAGGTCTTTTACCTAAAACTCCTCACCATCAATGTAGGTGTGATCCCCAGAGAGATTGGCAATCTCTATAACCTCCAAAGGTTTCGTATAGAACAAAACAGAATTTCGGGCTCCATTCCGAAGGAAATAGGAAATTTAACCATGCTTACCAGTCTGTACCTGGCTAGCAATCACTTGACAGGTAAACTCCTAATTTTCTTATCAATGAAATCTCATTCTATCATATAGTAATTTCAAGTTTTATCTTCCCACATTGGCATGCTTATTTCCATGTAAATGAGGGGGAAATAAGATCTTAGTATGAATATCTAAGCATTACTATCTATATAATAGGTCCTATACCTGAAGAACTCTGCAACCTTCAAAATCTGGAGTACATTTTTGCTGGACAAAATGGTTTAAATGGTGCCATACCGATTGGTATTTTCAACATTTCAACGCTAGTTGTTATGGAGTTTGAACTAAATAACCTCACTGGCTATCTTCCATCAAATATTGGTTATCAGTTGCCTAATCTACAAGTACTACAACTTGAAGAGAATAACATTCATGGAGTCTTACCACCTTCAATTGGAAATTGCTCTAAGCTTTTCTCTCTAGCTATTTCAGCAAACCAATTCACTGGAACCATTCCCAACACCCTTGGAAACCTTGAATTTCTACAAGAACTAAGTCTGGCTTCTAACTATTTTACAAGTAATCCTGCATCTTTGGAGTTGGATTTCCTTACTCCCATAACAAAGTGCAAGTCTTTGAAATTTCTGTACCTGAGTGAGAATTCACTGAGTGGGATTCTTCCAAATTCAATTGGGAATCTTTCTACTTCTCTCCAAGAGTTTGACGCATCAATGAATCAAATCAAAGGCCTAATCCCCAGTTCAGTTGGCAACCTCAGTGGTCTACTTTCATTACATCTAGATGATAACCAGTTGACTGGAGCTATTCCAAGTACGATTCAGGAATTACAAAGTCTTCAGGTATTGTCTATTGTGAGGAACAAAATCGGGGGAACCCTTGATGATTTATGCAACTTGAGCAATATGGGTGATTTGTATCTAAATGAGAACCAAGTTTCAGGGCCAATTCCAGAGTGTTTCGGCAATGTGACTTCTCTGAGGAAGCTGAACCTTAGTTACAACTTATTGACCTCATGTATTCCCACAACTATTTGGGAACTCAGAGATCTCATGGTTTTCAACCTTGCTTCCAACTCCTTCAATGGATCTCTGCCTCCGGAAATCGGAAATTTGAAGTCTACAATATCAATTGACTTGTCCATGAATCACATATCTGGAGTCATTCCAAGCACATTGGGTGGTTTGCAAAACCTGCAAAACCTTTCTTTAGCAAACAACCTACTTGAAGGATCGATACCGGAATCATTTGGGAAAATGTTTAGTTTAACATCCTTAAACTTGTCACATAATAACCTCTCAGGTTTGATCCCAAAGTCATTAGAGAAGCTTCTATCTCTCCATGTTTTTGATGTTTCATCTAATCATTTAATTGGTGAAATTCCTTCCGGAGGACCCTTCAGAAACTTCACAAGTAGAGCCTTCATTAACAATGATGGATTATGTGGAGAGCCTAAATTCCAAGTCCCCCTATGTAAAATCATTAAAAAGCATAGAATACATGGGAAAAAGCTGCTTTCACTCATATTGATCCCCTTAGTGATTGTTGTCTTGGTTATGGTTGCTTTGGCATATATTTTCTTGAGGTACCGAAGAAACAGAAAGGTTCCAAGTGCACCAGATTTGCCGGTTGTTCTCACGAAAGAAAGAATTTCATACTATGAACTTCTACAAGCAACAAACAGGTATAGTGAAAGCAACTTGCTCGGCTCGGGGAGTTTCGGATCAGTATATAAAGGGACTCTTAAAGATGGTAAGGTTGTGGCTGTCAAAGTATTTAATTTACAACTCGAAAATTCGTTGAAGAGTTTTGATGTAGAATGTGAAATGTTCTGCAACCTTCGTCATCGAAATCTTGTGAAAATCATCAGCAGTTGCTCCAACCAGGATTTCAAGGCTTTGGTACTTGAATATATGCCAAATGGAAGCCTCGAAACATGGCTGCACTCTGACCATCTTTTCTTGAATATGCTGCAAAGATTGAACATAATGATCGACGTGGCTTGCGCTTTGCGCTATCTTCACGAGGGATATTCGACGAATGTGATTCATTGTGATTTGAAGCCAAGTAATATCCTCATTGATGAAGACTTGGTTGCGCATGTAAGCGATTTCGGGATTGCAAAGTTTCTGGGGAAGGATGAGAGCATGGCATTAACCAAAACCTTCGCTACAGTCGGTTACATTGCACCAGGTATTCACTCATATCGATTTTGAGGTCTCATTTTCTTTAGTTTCTTAGTTATTCATATCATACAGTCATTGGTTAATTGCAAAAATGTTTTTTTTTTTCCCTGCAGAATATGGAAGGGAAGGACTTGTCTCCAAAGCATGTGATGTCTTTAGCTATGGAATCCTCCTAATGGAAGTCTTCACAGGGAGAGAACCAAGTGATGATATGTTTGGTGAAAGTAAAAGCTTGAAGAGTTGGATTAGTGATTCAACTCCTAATTCAATTGCTGAAGTCATAGATACAAAATTGTTTGAGGAAGACGATGAACGTTCTGATAACAATGAATTAATCTTGGGGTGTGTATCAGTGATCATGGAACTAGCCTTAAATTGTGTTCTTGAATCTCCAAAAGAAAGGCTCAGTATAAGTGCAGCTGTTGATTCACTTGAGAAGATCAAAGGTAGATATGTTGCATCTCATCGCAGTCCATAGCATATGAGACTTTACCACCAAGAAGAGTGGAATAAAATTCGCAGAGGCATTGTCCACAGCTGCAATGTAGCTTGTGAATTTTCGGGAACAAAAATCCAAGTGAAAAAAGCATAAATCAGGAGATACATCTGAGTTCTTTTGTGTTTTCGTACTTGATCTCTTCATTCTTTATTATAATGCAGTACAAAAGTAGACTTCATTTCAGTCTCATTTATAGTGTAAGAATGTGATAAATGATCCAACAGACGTATCTACGGTTGCGAGTCGTCGCCTTCTGAGGGACCTCCAAATTATGGAATCTTCATCAGAAATGAGCTCCAAGAAAGGATATGACATTATGGAAGCTGAAGGGCATAAAAAAAATTAAAAAAAAAATTAGGAGACTACATTATTCTCCATTTTCTCATGTATAATCTCTGGCCAAATACAACACACATACATTACTGTAAGGCACAGTTCATTCAACACCTTCCCAAATTACCAAAACCTAACCTACTACAAACCACGACATTATCATTTTCTAGCACTAGTGTACCCCATTTTGGTTCTACTTCTACTCTGAATCTGACTCCATGTTTCCCATCGCCCTTAGTCCTCGCGGCCTCTACAAAATACCAAACAAACAGTGTTAAAGTCGGATCCTGAAGTTACAATCAGTGGCTAAAGAAAGTTACATCCAAAATGATGCTACGAATGGCATTAGTATATACCTTTTTTGACACCTTTTTCTCACGAACCTCGTATCTTTCCAATGTAAGATCACAAAGCCATGATCCAGGACTCACCAACTGCACCAAAACAAAAACCCAAGAGAAGAAATTAAGTTGAAACTCCAATAAATGCAGCTTATTCAAATAGTGAACAAAACATTAAGGCGTCATGGGTGAGCCCAAAAACATTTAATCCCAAACATGAATAAAGCTTGGAATGTTAAGCTTTCTCCAAAACCATGGTTAGAAAGTAGGAAACTGATAATAAAGAAGACAAACATCAAGTGGGGAAACAAAACAGTAATGATTACGGTTTCAACGGGTTTTTGACTAGTAAACTTTAGCAAAATTCGGGTAGACCATTTTGCATATGACTCCATTGTACATTGTCAAGTGGTTGCGCATGGTGTTAGTGTTAGTTGGCAAAAAGTGGTCCAACATGTGGTGCACTTGCATCTTTTTTCTCTTGTTATAACTGTTACTTAAAATTATTATAAATTATATTCCTACCATTCCTTTTAATAAAACACTTTGTTGACCTTCGGAGGTAGTAAAAATAGGAGATAAAATTGTTGAAGGTGTAAAAGAACCAACCAGTAAATATGAATGCATCACATGTAAAATGAATAGAGACGAAAACCTAAATTACTTTTCCATGAAAATGGTAGCCATAGAAGAATTAATTTAATTATGCACAAAAGACAACTTTAAAATCGCCACAACAATATAAACAAGGATACATAGAGAGATTAAGTCATTAATCCTTCCGTCCTATTATAATGACCCACTTTGTAGTACTGATGGGAGTAATATCAAAACTTTAGAATCCAGCCAAACTAAAAAAATCCTATCCCAAGGGCAAAATCAACAATCCCTCCACCAAAATAGTTAGAAAGGCACATTTCCACCATTGGGTCCCCTCCACACCTTCCACCCAAGAAATTATACATTTTTCCAACTCCACAAATATTTTGTAAGGTCAGCAATAACAACTAGTTGGTCTATAATATCCATGATACACATGACAGGTGTCCCCATTAGTCCGCACATTATCCTCATCTCTTGCATTTAGGTGCCTGAAAAGTTTCCATTTGTTATCGCTTTAATAACTTTATTTGGGTATCCTAAAGAGAAAAACCAGGAGGTTGTTTCATGTCTGTATTCCCCATCATAAGCTTTAAGCTTTACAGTTTATGCTTTTCGTGCCTAAACTAAAACAGATGCTCTGGTCCTACTATCTGTACACAAGCATTCTCTGTCAGTCAATCTACCAAGAAATTCTTAATATCTTACAGAATGTTAGCTCAAACAATTGAATGGTTCAATAAAAATCAGATACTTTGAACAATTTGTGGTCGGTCAAATGATTCATGGCATTTAGGGCAACGAATACTAAAATAGATGGTAATTGTTTTATATGTATTACTGACTAAAAAGAAATCCACATTGAGGAGAGTATAGTATACTACTTACATTGAGGGTTCGTTGAATGAACTTAGCTCTCTTCTTTGGTCTTTGAGGAAGTTTTGAACCTTTGATGGCCAGAAAATCTTCTTCTTTCTCTTTAGTAGTCAAACCAATTGCAAACCGCGGAGGCCAAACTGCCGGCATCGCGTCACTCCCCGAAGAAGTCCCTCCCCCCTTCTTGCTATCCGAGGATGAGGACCCATTGACGTTACCATTGCTAGGATGATTGCTATGATCATGATTAATGTTGTGGTGGTTCTTAACACCGCCATTACTGTGCCCACCACCGTGGTTACCTTTCCTATCTCCTCCTCCTCCTCCTCCTCCTCTGTCAGGCGAAGCCAACCCCCTGATACCGTTGCTTTGACCCCTCATCGCAGCTGAACTCTCAGAATTCCTAAACACAAACAGCAACAAAAAAGAGAAACAAGTTCAAAATTATGATCACAGAGAGAGAGAGAGAGTGAGACAAACAATTGCAAAGTACCAACAACAGAAATTGATGAGATTGTGATGCACTTTACGTTACGAACAAACTTTTCAATCCTCCAAAAAAGCACAAAGACAGATTAAGCTGTTAAATTACCAAAATAGCCTTGTGGGCAGTAGAATTACAAAACTATACAGATCGCAAGCATCAATCAGGCAGCTGCTGCTGTATCTGGCAATTGTGAATGAGGAAAATATAATAATAATAATAAAAATCAAAATACAGGAAATTAAAGCCGGGGTTTTGAATTGTAATGGAATTGGGAATTTTGGGTGGGTTTTATTTTATGGGGTCTGACAAACAAAGCCTCTAACAACTAAAAAGTGTCGAGAAGAAAGAAGAAGATAATTTGGTTGAGTTTCATTCCATAACAATATTTTAGGAGGAAAGAAAAGTGGGTACAGGAAAAAGGAGGATTGGGGGGTTTGTGGTGGCAACATCACAGCCGTAGGATTGGGGATTCCCCTTGCATGTAAGAGGAAGCTTACGTGTGTTAAAAATAATAATCAGATCTATATTTAAAAATGACACAAAAGGATGCGAGCCTGGGCCCGCTGAAATGGAAAAGCGGACGAATTTAATGGGAGCACGTGGTCCCCTCCCCCTCTTTCTTATTTATTATTCCCCTTCAAAAAATTAGTACTCTCTTTATTTTTTATTATATGTCATTTTGGGGTTTAATAATTTTTTTTTAAATATATGTGACATATATGATAATTTTTTTTTTATATCGCCCTTACATTAGATATGAAACTATATTGATAATAAATTTTTATTAGTTTCTGACGAATTTTATAAACTATAAATAAGAGTACTTTTGTATTTTAACTATATTAATTAATATTTTCTTGGTTTTGATAAATTCTCTAAAAAGATATATAATAAAAAAATAATAGGGGGAGTATAAAACTAAGGAAAGTGTTTCCATCCAATTTTTCAATCCTTTCTCTTTTGAAATTGAGGAACTTGTTGTGCCCTTTTGAATTTAAAAAATACAAGATGATTATTATTGATGGAAATTTAGGAATGAAAATTGAAATCCAATTAATAATAAGATTAAAAACCAAAACGGCATAAACCATTTCAGTCACGGAAATACAGTGATTCTCATTAATGAAACTCCACTGCAATTATTTCCATCTCAAATGTAGAGTTAAATAAACACAAATATCAGGTTTCAAAAATAATCATGATCACATTTCAAGATATGAAAGGAAAAAAAAATGATCATGCTTTAACTTTCCACGTTTCCAAATTTCTCTTTAAGGAAAGAACTCTCTCTCTCTCTCTCTCTCTCTCTCTCTTTTGCCGTAGAAAAAAACCTCCATCCATATGTAATCCACACATCTTAGTCTGGCTATATTTCTTTCATTCAAAATGATTATTTAATTTAATTTTTTTAAATATAATTTAATGAACAATTATTTTGGATTGAAAATTTTTTTGACATATTATTATAGAAGTGGCTTAAAATTATAATGTAGAAAAAATATTTTGCCCACGGTCGAGTATTAATTACACCTTAAACTTTTCTTTATATATATATATATATATATTAAATAGACTGCTTAAAACTAAACATTTTTTAACTTTAACACAAGCTCAATTTTTGAAATATTTATTTGACAACTTTGAGGCGAAAAACGATTGAAAAGGTGAGTGTGAAACTAACAGCATAGATGATCTGTCATTCATTTCCCATGCTTAGAAAAAAATTGTTCATTTCGTACCCACCAGAAAGACGAAAACAACCCTCAATGAACGAAATTATACACGCTATCCACTTTCATTGAGGTGCACGTGCCACTCACGAGACAGACATTATCAAAACACAAAAATTACTCGGAGCTCCGAACAAAAAGAGACAAATGCACGGGGCGAGAGAAAAGAGAGAGGCATAGTTAAAAAGTTTTTTACCTGAGAATTCGGGGTGACGGCGACGCCGGACGCTGACGGAGATTCAAAGAACCGTTATTACTAATAACATTATTAACGCCGTTGCCATTACTATAATTGGGCTGAGCCGCTGACTCCTTAATCCGATCCGACGACCTCCGATCGACCCGAACATTCGTTCGTTGCGCCGGCTGCGGCAGCTCTGACCCGGAAGGTTTCGGATCCTGGTTGCTGGAATTATTATTATTATTATTAAGGTTGGTGACGGCGGCGGCGGCGGCGGTGGTGTCCCGGTCCTTGACCAGAAACTTCATACAACGCGACCTTTTCCGGTTTCCCCACTGCAACAACAAGTCCGACGGCGACCTCGTTTTCGTCTCGGTATTGTTATCATTTCCGGATCTTGATACCAACCCGTTTCCTGTTCCTCTTTCTCTGATACTATGATTTGAATAATTCGAATTTCTCTCCATTGTCTCTCTTCCTTTTCTTTTGGAAGTTTTATCTCCGCCTCTGCCTTCCCACACCTGTCCATCACCAGTTGGATTAGCTGAGAATTGAGATTAACAGTTTTTTACTCAGACTACTAAAACATTCGGGATTTACTGAAATTGAAGATTGGATTAGGAACAGAGAGCTTTGTAACTCTTGATCAAAATCTCTCAACATTCACATTACCTGTGGCTGGGATACAGAAATCTTCAACTCTGTAATCGAGGCTTCTGGGACAATCTGAATCAATTTGATTTTTCTTCACAACCAAAATTGATATTCTTCAGAGAGATGCCCAATACAATCGGAAGCTGCAGTTTTTGAGAGAACCAAAATGAATCTGGAGATCAGTAAAGACCCTCCCAAAAAAAAAAAAAACAAACTTCATGAACAAAAACAAACAGAGATGAATATCCCAGAAATTACTCAAATTCCATACCATCATATTTGGATTCTAAACCTCCTCTGTTATGATTCCTCGAAACTATTCAACACTGGATTCTCTAATTTGATTTGTCACAAGCGAAACCGAAATTTAACAATCGGCGACGGTTTCATTCCTCTTCATTGATCAATAGAAATTTTGAGTGAGATGAAAGAGTAAAATCCCTCCGATTCCAATCGAAATTTGATCTCTAAATCCCCGTATCTGACAATACCCAAAGAGGATACCAGAAAGTATAAGCCTGTCAATGGAAAATATTCTCAGATTAACCGCAAATTCGTAGAAAACTAATAATCATAGAAAATCAGAAACAATACTACTACCCACCTTCAAATTCAACCAAAACGGCTTGTCTGTCAAATTGTTACGATCAGACCCACAAAGGAGAATATGAGAGCCAAACCAAATCCACTCCAAATTCACAATGTATCTGAGAAAGACAGAGAAGAAAGTCAAATTCACATCCGAGTACTGTGGAATATGAATGCAGAAAATGCTTCCTGACAAAAAAAAAACAAAGGAAGGAAATACTGGAGAAGGCTGTACATCTTTCTTTCTTTTTGCATTTAGTTCAACATTTCCACTCACCCAAATCACGAAGGAAACCTTCCGCTCCGTCAATCTTCAATCTCTTAAAAGATGACAAAATAGAATTCCAAAATTGGGGGAAAAATAACGTTGAAAAAAAAAAAAAGAGATTTCTCTGTCTTTCTGGATTTCTTCTTCTTCTTCTTCTTCAGAAAAGAGTTTAGAAATGGATACACAGATATCAGAAATGAAATAATTTCTCTCCCCTGCAAACCCCCTTTTGTCCTGTTTTTATACCTCTCGTTTATTCATTTCACTAAGCCCTTCAATCGAGACCCTTCATCTTGATCTTAGAGTTTTATGCTACTCATCGGACGGCCCAACTGTCTCATCGTTTCATACGTCATGTTTTCTAGCTATAGCAGTTAGCAGTTTCTATATATTTCACGCCGTTAATTGGTTCACACGGACGCTTCTTCAAACTCTGTTACTGTTAGTTCGAGATTTCTTTTTCCAACTTCTGTTTTGTTTTCTTGTATTCGCCAGACTCACATAAATACTCTATATTTTTCTCAAAAAAATTAAATAAAAATAAAATACTCTATATTGTAGATTTGTAGCTTGAAAATTATAATTAAAATATTGCGGTATGAATTATAAACTATATAATACTGAGTATGTATTATAATTTACAAATAATAATCTATATTATCTTTTTGGAACAGTTTCTTCTACTTTATTTCTGTATAGAATTAAGATCATTTCAATTAAAAATACATTTACTCAACACTATTTATTTTTCATTTTACTAATGAAAGTACAGTATTACTACATTTTAACGAAAGCTCACAACTCTTTTACAGTTCTTGTTTTGTTTTCGATTGATATCTTTGACCGAGCTGTACTAATATTACACCCACTATGTATTATAATTATAAATCAGTTTAATCCAAAAAAAAAAAAACAAAAATATCACTCTTGTTTTCGGTTCTTTGATACTTTTGTGTTCTATTCTGTGGTTTATTGAGAGACTGAACAAGGAACGCCGTTTTGCAACTTCTTGTAATATGTACCAACATATGAAATCTATTGCCATTTAAATAGTAAATCAAACTATGCTTTCTGAGATTTATATACAAGGAATCAGTTGCATAATAGAATAGATGAGCAGGAGCAGCTATTTTACAAATGCGGATGCTAATCCAGGCGACAATATATATACTATTACACACCAGAGAATCCATGCATTTCAGGGAGGTAACTCTGCCGATTATGCACTAAATCCTCTATGGAGAGAGCTCCAAGGATTTGAAGGGACACTGGCGCAGGCCTGCGCTGCTGCCTCCGCCATCTGTTCCTTCGTGATTCCAGCATTGCAGATATTAGCAACGGTCCGCATGTGTTTCATTCCGTACTGCGACAACGAGCCACAATGTGTCTCAAATGTTCTGACCTGCAGGGATGGTACCAGAAATTGCTTTCAGCAAATAGTTCAGCAGGAAATTGCGCTAATTCAACATTATGAACAGTTTACAAATGTCGTGGTTTACATGTTGATGCAGGTTTAAGCTAAAAAATTAAAAGCTCGAGGCTAAGAGAATTCAAATGTTTACCAAAGATTTGAGGCAGCCCCAGTCATCAGCAAGAGGCTGACCGGCTGGCCGGACAGCATTAAGAATTTCACGGCCTTTCTCAATACCGAAGAGAAGCTTTCCAACTAATTTTATGCTGCTGTCAATGTGCATTCTGTGGGACATGGCTTCAAAGACCTGTTGACGAGCTTCTTCTTTCCTCGCTGAGCCTTCAGGAGCCTTACGGAACTGCAAGTATTGAGGACGCAGAACACAGTTTAAATGGGCAGCAGCACATCACATTGTAGGACTGCATTCAGTGCTTACTAAGCAAAATTCCAATTTATAATACATTGAAAGCCTCATGTCATTTTACTCCCAACTGAGATCTACACGGTAATGAGTTCTAAACTGCGTCAAGCTTTGACACAATTTGGGACATGTAGATTAAACACCCAAAGAATTTTAAAACCACAAAATTAGCCAGTACCTTGTCCCAGAAATGCACTAAATCAGCATCACGCTGATTAACAGCTTTTGAAGGTGGACGAAGAGCATTGTCATCCACAAAAGTGTAATTATCATTCGCAGGGTTAGTACCCATGTACAGGAAAAGATTGTCCACACTCTGCTTCAAGTCACCATATTGCATGACGTGGGAACCATAAGCTGAATTACCGTTTGAGGTTCTCGTTTTAACCTGCCATTCCATCATTCTCAGATTATAAAGTAGTTCACACAAATGATTTTCTGATACTTTAGAAAGAATGCATCATCCTGACGCAAAGCTGATCTGAAGAAAATACATCTACACTCTTCTAATTTACAGCTGAAAAGCACGCTATAGACATAGTTCCCTTTGTTCTCTATATTGCAACAAGGTCTTACCAGGTGATACTGCTGCCTCAAAGTTTCAGACCGCAAATTGTGTACCTCACTGTTGGAAGATACAAATACAATAATTACAAGCTGAATGAGGAGAGAAAAGAAAAGAATGAAATGCCTGTATAATCACTTTAACTGTTTAAGTCAGGGAGGAGAATAAATGTCCAACAGTGAAATATAGATGCTATATTTGTGGCCTAAACATTCATGAATTCAAGATATCTCCGGTTGGTCATTTTCTCAATTATCTAACCTGTGATTACCTAACAAGTACCAAGAACATGTATCCATATTATTGAGGTGCTAAAGTGAGAGTGGCCAGGTGAACGTGGTAAAGATCAACACAGCTTTCCCGCGAGGCAGTTAAAATGTAATTGGTTGTTTAACAGTTGAGCTATGTTATGTCAATGCAAAAAAGTTGCATATCATCCATCTTATAAAATTAGAAGGCATATGGTACCTGTCTTCCATCCAAGCAACACTATATAAGTCACCCAAGCAAGTCTCATATTCTGGGGGAGGACTAGGGTACTCTCCCGGGCAATAGGTACCCCAACTGCTTTCCTCTGCGTTTGAGGCTGTTGTAGCATAGATATTGATACCTTCAGGAAGTAGTCCCTCAAAGATGCTACCTGACTCGCAAGCTTCCAGGTAAAACACCTAACCATCGAAAACAAAGCACCGATTTCAGATATCACTTTAAATTATTTTGACCATGGTATAACGAGACCATAATTCGAAATGACAGAAAAGAAATGTACCAAGCTCTTATATGTCCCAGAAGCATGTTTTTTCTTCAAGGCGTCATTCAGCTCATCCGCATAGAGGTAAGGACCCGCAGGCATTCCTAATAGAACATCAAACACAGTCCGGACCAAATTAGCAAGACACGAATAGCCCCTTCCACACTTTAGTACAAAACAGCATCGCATTATTTCCCTGATCAAATGTAATTCAGTCTCTAATGACATGTTGCAGATAACCATTGGAATTTATGGTGGAAAGAATCTAATTAATAAATATTCTTCATAATGCCGGGGGTGGGGTGGGGGGTTACAAATCACATTGGTTTCCGATATTCAAAATCCAGATAGAGACATTTCTAGTTTACTTCAGCATAGACATGAAAACACAAGTATGAAAAACATTAGCTAGCAATAACATTTAAGATATCAAAAGGCACTGACCAAGAACCCCAGGACCACCATGATCTGTATAGTAGATAAATATGTGATCATTTGGACCACTATCAACCACCTTGCCACTACCCCCTGTTATAGCTGATTTGTCTCCAAGGATAGCTGCTAAAAAGTTCTTAGCATTAACCTCATCTCCTGTATAATCCTGCAATACAAGCATACAGCAAATAAGCAGTATGTCGAAGTGAAACTAAACTATTATACCACCCAAAAACATATTAATAATAACACTTAATGGAGGAAGCAAACCTTCGGCACTCCTGCATAAACATCACTGCCATGTGGGCTGTTGATGATAACTCCAGGCCTAGGGTTCTCTTCATTGTAGGCAATGTCATCATACATAAACACCACAATGTTTTCGTCTTTAAGACCTCCTCTTTTCAGTATTTGATATGCATGACAGACATCGGCCTAGACAAAATCAAACAGAACAGTTAGAAACTTAAAAAATCAGCACAGATATACTTATTCTCTAGAGAGAGAGAGAGGGAGAGAGAGACCTGTAGTTGAGTTACAAAACTAGAGTGTACAAATCTGATGAAAACCTTTTTTTAAAAATAAATATATGATAACAAATGCTTCAACTGATAATATATTTTTTGTCCAGAAAAAGGAAATATTGATATCAACTGTTTGATTTGTCTCTTCCAAAGATAAATAAACCAATAAGACAACCGACAGAATTCATACAGATCCTCCAATTAGAAAAGAAAAACGGCAACCAAGCCCAAAGCAACAAGACAATCCAAATTCTTGTCCATCAATGATGGCTCAGGCCTTGCTTGAATAACAAACAAGAGAAAGGAAACACGTAAGGAAATTTCCCAAAGACCATCTTCATCTGGATCTCAGAAAAGAAAACCTTTTTGTTTTATCAGGTACTAGAAGTCAAGAATTTTGAATTATAAATGAAATAGAAGCTAAAAACAAAATTTGAGAAAGCTACCCACTTGTTTCTAAGACCGTTCGTGGGAACATCTATAGCAAGAAAGCTAGAAAAGACAAATCCTCATAGTCAATCATTCGGCTTCCAATCCATGGTAAGCAAAATTCATCACTCTTTTCGTTGATTTTATTTTTTATTTTATTATTATTATTTTTTTTTTTTTGTGAAAGCAATCGCTGATAATAATCAGACAATCCTAGCTGCAGAAGGAATATCATTATGAAGTTTAAAAGGCCTAATATTAATTTGGAAACAAGAAGGAGTAAGAATTAAGAACATGTTCCCCATAAAGAATTTTCAGAGAAAGGAAACAGTGAAACCTGCGGCTTGATATTATAATCGGATTGTATTAACACCGGACTAACTAATGATCACCAAAAAATAATCAAATAAAATTCGCAACCCGATCGTTACGAGAAAGAAGCGAGAAGGAAATTCGGATGATAAGATCGACGGAAATGATCACCTGATGCCGGTAATTCCAATAACCGCTCGATCCGGCAAGGAGGACAGCCCATCTAGTTCCGACGGAGTCATCGCCGTCGGTCGTCTCCTTAGGACGGAAGAACTCGGAAACTTCCGACGGTAGTTTCAGGTAGCCATTACGAGCTCCAGATACGGCGACGATCGAAAGAAGAACGAGGAGCAGGGCAGCTCCGGCGGGATATCGAACCATTATTGTTTGTCTCCGGTTGAAGAAAGGAGAACCAATTTTGGAATAAAATAAAGAACTGGTAAGATAATGTTCCAAATACAGCGGTATATATAATGTGTGTCTATTTTTTATCTGACCCTCAAAGATTACTTATTGTCGCTTCGGCCCATATTCCCCAATTTGCTTACAAATTGAACCCAACTTTCTTGTCCCAGTCCTTGATGTCAACTGTGTACAAAGTTATTGTGTAGCTTGAAAAAATAAAAAATTAGTCTACAAATTAAGAAAGTTATTAATTGAATTGACCAGTCCTAATAAGCTCATTATATATTCGTTCAACAAAAGATTGATGTTTTATGTGGCGGTGCATTAATGATTTTAATTAAGAAAAAAAATCATCTTTAAAGCTCCATTGTCACAAAGCCAATGTTATTGTCTCATTTTCAAAAAAAAAAAACAAAAAATTAGTGGCCGATGAATTTTCAAAAAAAAAATTATTGTATTGTTGTGATTCAGTAAAATAAAGGGTCATTTCTCTGCAATAGAAGGAAAGTAATTGTTCATGTGTGTTAATTAAATTTCAAGTTAGTTTATGAAAGTTTATATTTTTCTAGTAATTTTTCTTTCTTTTGTTTGATTTCAAGAATTAGTAGCATATAAAATTTGATGATGGTATATCGAAAATATAAAATCATAAAATTTTAATAAGAAGTGATACAATTGTTATTGTATAGCTTTTCAATTTGATCGGACGAGTCTTTGAAAATATAGTTTCAATTTCAATTGAAAAGTACTTTAATAAGATTGTACGAAAAACCGGTCATGTACATATAGGTAAAAATGGATACGTCGTGTACACAAAATAGAATAGCATTGAATAAGTGTGAATAGCGATGTCAAATCTGTTTACAACATACAAACTTAATACATTTTTATGAATTTTAATGCTTTTTAGTACGAGTTCCTTTATGGTGTAAAAATTATAAGCCACGTATGTATTCATTCACCTTGTTGCAATGAATCAACAATTTTTCCAATTAGGATAATTGCGGGGCCAACTTGAAAGTTGTAACTCAAGTTTGCTAGTTGAGAAGATTACAATTAAGAAGGCAGGGACATCCATACAACTGGAACTAACCTTCCATGCAAATTCATAACAAAGATACTAATTTCAGGGAGCAACTTGAAATTGATCAACAACCTTTATCCAGACGTATCGTGGTTTAAATTTGACTTTTGATACAATCATACAAGGCGAGATATTTGGTGTTATTGTTACGTGGACGCTGAAGATCCGTCACTTCCTTTCGGCTCGGAACGGGCCGTATCTGGTCCCACGGGATAATTCTTTAATTGGCTGATTAATTTTTCTAAGTTTTATTTGTTAATTTTAATTGGATAAGCCGTCATAGTCTTGAAAAGCGAGACCCAGGAGAAGTTCTGTCTTCTAGGAAACTCTGCGTGATTCCTACGGTGGCCCGACTTAGGAATAATAAGCCAAATTAGAATCTAAAGTATACGCCAATCCCACCAAATTAACAGGATTGGTTGCAATACTACACTAGTAGTACTATAAATTCATAATCAAACTTTAGATTGAGGAACAAAAGTCTTACGTAAGGTTCAGGCCAAGTCACAATAGGTTACCCAAAAAAAAAAAAAATACATGGCCTTTTTTTTTTTTCTTTTTGTTCAAAAGAAAAAAAAATCAAAAAACAAAAAGACAAGATTATTTCCTCATTCACTTCGATTTGATTGGGAATGATGACAAATTCTTCAGTTCTCTTTTGTTCGAAAAAAATCAACTGAATCAATTAACCAGCTGTGTCGAAGCGTCAAAAACAACAGCAAAGAAACATGATCTCGAACATCTAATTAGTATAATTTGTCCTCGTTGCGATGGCTTCAAAGTTCCATGAGGCCCCAAAGTTCTGTAGTTTATTTGGCCTAATTATTTGGGAATATTTTCTGAGTAGATGCAGGTTTTCCAAATATTTTTTGGTTTAGATGATTTCCTATTTTACTTGGTATCACCTTTTAGTCTCCTATTATTTTTGGGATTAGGTTACTCCCCGTTTCATCTATAAATACACTTTCCTTATGAGCAATTTCGCCAGATAGAGTTTATATGCGTAGGGAAAAAAAAATGGTAATACTATCTACGGAGAAGAACCGAAGCAAACACACCCCCAATCCTGCGATCTCTTACTACTGTGTTGAAATTATCTTGAGTTGTGTGAAGAACCCAAATTAATTAGATGGATAAGCATTGAGCCGTTTAATCGATTGGTGAAGCTGGCCGGCTAGGGCTTTTTACGATGATGACATAACAACAACAACAAATGGGGAGAATCAGGCCAAGAAGATTGAAGGATTGACAATCAAGGAATCGCAGCGGTGGTTTTGGATGCATTGGCAAGGAGGCAATGGGTAAAGGAAGAGGATCTGGCAAAGGCCCTGAAATTGCATTCCAAGCAACTACGCTGTACTTTCAGGTTCCTCGAAGAATGAAAAAAATGGGTACACGATATCATCGGAAAGAGGCGGCAAAAAACGACCAGAGAAGGAGATGATAAAATCAAGTTCTATACCTACTCGTATTGTTGTTTAGACTATACACTGCATTGGATGCTTTTCGGCTGGTTTTATTGGAAGATGACTATTTAAAACAATGATTTGAATAAGAGTTATCAGGATAAATATCTCAAAACTTATTATGCAGCTTTGCTTAAAAAGACAATGTGAAGAAGAAGAAGCTGCCAACAAAGATCTGGAAATCCCAAACTCTGATGTTTCCGGTGGTGCTTATAATACATCACCAACTGAAAGACAAGTGGGAATGAAATCTAAACGTGATGGGGAAGATGACGGAGATGTTACTAAATTAAATGAGAAGAGGCAGTTCCTGCAGGCTCCGCAAATGGGGGTTAAACTCGCAAGTGAATGCTCCAGGGGATGAAGTTGATGATGGTTTAGATTGGGAGGAAGGTTGATAGAACAGCTCGCTAATAAATTTTTGTTGTTTTAGCAATAACTGAAACCAAATTTTATATTCAGATGAGTTAATGTGATCTCAAATCTTTGACATAAAGAAAAATTATGTGTTGTACTATACTGTACTTCCTGTCACGATTCTTATATATGTATTGAGAAAGTGAACAATAAAGATTTCACTAATTAAGTAACAGCAAATCGTTCGAAGAAAATGTAGGAACATCAACATTGGAGTACTTTAGATCACTAAGATGGCTTTAACCTTCCTTTCTTTTGTTTTTGTATCGCCCCTCGATAATATTTAACTAATTAATTATGAATTTCCTTCAAAGCAACTAAATTAGTCACAAGAGCCTTATATTAATCTATATATATGCACTCAATATTATATTATGTCTTACCTTAGAAGATGAGTAACACTACTAAACTAATTAATTAGATTTTTTTTTCTCCCATATGTGTGAGACTATGTTAAGGTGACCCGTCAGTAAATGATCAGGGAACTTCTCTAACAATATGTGATGCTTCTAAGATCTATACAAATGATTAAGTACTGCGCATAGCAAAAACTCAACGGTAGTTTGATCTGATAATATTTTAGCAGCTGAAAATCTTAATGGCAGTGATGATAACAAAGTACTGTTATCAAATTGGTCGATCAAAAGAACAAAGCAGCTTCCTTTATTAAAGTACTTTGAAGCTTTACGTAATCTATACACTAACTTCAGGTAGTACTCCGTTTAATAAAAATAATTCATTTTGTGAAGTAAAAACACTTCAACAAAGTAGACTATTAATTGAAGAACACCGCTAATTAGGAATGCTGATGAATTTGCAGATGCAAGTTTCTTTTCTATCTTTATGTTAATCCCAAGTCCCAACTTACCGTTAGCACAGTTTGCAATTTCATGAGCTATATTACATTATTGGTTAGGCACACTATTATCTAAATTAATCTTAAAGTGCTAAGGCAAGTCGAGGACTAGACATTGTATTGTAATTGGTGTTTTTTTATAAAATTTAATTAATGAAGTATGGCTTTCAAAAAATAAAATTAAAAATAATTAATCTTAAAGTGTTACACAAATTTCGGTTGTCTTTTTCTTTTTGTACAATAAAAGAAATACTAACCTTACTTTTTCTTTCCCGGAAAGATGAAAGAGAAATAATGCGTCTAATAATTAGTTGAACCAAAATATCTGATCTGGATTTCGTAATCGACCAAGCCTCTGATACGCAAGTTGAATGAAGGATGATAGTAATTGGTAGGAATCTTTTGGTATCTCTGAGTGAGCCAAAAGAACGAAGTGACAACTGATGAAACAGATTGCTATAACTTGAAGGCGACTGATATTTTATATAATTGTTGATTGGAGTTTTCTTCATTAAGACGTAGGCACAGGATAAGGGTATTAATCCCTTTATTTTTTTCTTGGACACTGACATTTTGACAATGAATCACTCTCACCCAGCTAAATTATGGATTTCTTTTTCCTCTTGAGATTTGTCTAGATAGCTTGTATTCAGATATTTTTATTTTTACACGAAATCACTGCCTAGCTAGTTTTTTCCATAAATCACTCTTTATATTGGAATTCATACGCAGTATTACATGAGAATTGAGAAGCATCTTAAAATTTGTGTGGAATAATAATTTTATAAGAGCCTTATATAGTTATCTGTTGTGGAGATGACCTGAGATTTACGTTTCAAAAATAGAACGGGATTTTCTGTGTTACTTTTCTATCAAACTTTATGTTATATAATTCAATTACTTTGTATTAATATCTTTGCATGTGTTATTACATGATTTATGCGAAATAATTGAGTTGGGTAACCGTTAGAATTCTAACACAAGAAAGTGTTAAAAGAATTCAATCTAAAAAAAAAAAAAAAAACCTCACTTCACGAATTATTTTTGTGGAACAAAAAAATGTAATGTTTTGGACTTGTACCTAGGAACCAAGTTGTAGGCAACACAATCTCGGTAAATAGAAGAAGAAATCCAACAATTAACCTCCGTAGTGACAAAGATCATCCTTCCCAATCTGAATCTCCCGTTGTTGAATGCTGATCATCTCTCTCCAGACCGCTTAAACCTTACAGGAAGCTGCAAATTGCTGAATTGGAACCAATTCATTGTTTCTAAAGCAATCATAAAACCTCCTGCAGTACTTTTCAGTAGTCCTAGAGAGATCAAGGATCTCCATTCTTGAACCTTCAGAACGATTACTCAAAAGCAACAATGAGAGCTTCTCAGCCATTGCTTCAAGATGTTGTTGCTGCATCTCGAAAAGGCACTGTTTCAGTTCCCTCTGTTCCTCCGTCAATCCATCCTTATAAAGGTTATCACCAAACATATAATAAGCAAAAGGATACGAATACGATAAAACCTTCTCTGCTCTCAAAAGCCTTCTTAAACCTTCCATTCCATCGCCCAATTGGACTCTCCTTCCGCAACTGGAACATCTTCTCATACTCTGCTCTGCAACTCTATTTCAAGCCCTAAAGAGTGTACGTGTTCTTTGTACCAAGCATGGTAGTAAGCATACCGAACAAGATCCTTTTTCACTTTTTCGATTTTCCCCACCCGATCTTCTTTGATGCCGAAACAAAAATGGTCATATCTCCCATAGTCAAGATGAATGGCTTTCCACAGAGCCATCACCCGATCTTCTTTGATGCCGAAACAAAAATGGTCATATCTCCCATAGTCAAGATGAATGGCTTTCCACAGAGCCATCACCCGATCTTCTTTGATGCCGAAACAAAAATGGTCATATCTCCCATAGTCAAGATGAATGGCTTCCCACAGAGCCATCAGAAGTGCTCTTTGCAACGATATTGAATCATGTTGCATCCTCCTTCAATCTTTTCAACAGGCATATCACAATTCGGGCAAGGCGTCGTGTTGGCGGTAATCCAGTTCATTGTCTCGGAATCATCCTGTTGATGTCCAATTCTCCCACATCAAACATGTGCAAGGTGAGTGAGGCTCAAATGTGCAGTTGAAACAGAACACTTTGCCACAATCGCATTCGACGTTTTTGAATTTGGCATCGAGTTTTTCGATGTGAATTGCTTTCCCACAATGTGGATTGCTAGGGCAACTCTTTACCCAGTCATTATCCTCAACATAAGATTGATTCAGGAACCGATCAAACTTCTTTGCTAAATCAGGATCCCTCTGTTTCTGATGAGTTTTCTGACACTTTCTTCGTCACAGAAAATAGAGCAATTCTATACCATACATTTGATTAGTCTACTCTGGCCTTCATTGATCTTCATAACAAAGTAATCCGTCCAACAATTGTTGCAAAAACCATGTCTGCAACCCATCACAGTACTAAACTCTGATTTGGCAGGGACTCTCTCAAAGAGTATTTCACAATTTACTTCCCAGCGTTCAAGATTTTTGTCCTCTTGATTCACTCGTGCTAGCCCTGCCGTTTCATACAACCATTCTTTCGCTTTGTCAGAAAACTCGGTCAAAACTTTGTCAACGTTCCAGCGGTTATAAATCAGCAAGGCCCTCGCGTGATGCTCCTCGGATAACGACATGAAATCCATCACTTTCCGCAAGTCTTCTTTCTGGGCCTCTGCTAAAAGAGACTCTTCTGGGATCAGGAATAAGGCTTCTTCAATTCGGTTTCTTCGTCGTCGTCGTCATCATCATCTTTGGATGCCACCTCCTCAGCTTCTTGACCAGAATCAGAATCCAAATCGAAGCCTGCAAAATCTTCCGCTTGCACCTCGTCATAGTGTACATCGCCACTGCCAGAATCGTAATAAGTGACTTCCATATGGTTTGAGATTTGAATGTTTTGGTAAATCCTCGTATGGGAGGAGAAAAGAAGCGGCAGAGACGATGAAATTTTTATCTCCAGAGATAGTTTTTGAATTAGGGTTTCAATTAGTTATTTGCGATGGGGTGTTTATATAGTTGGGATTTGCCTAATTTTGTTCGGCAAATGAGAGCAGAAAAGAGAGAATCACAGTCCCGATGGGAGAAGGAAATTGCGAGTGTTATGGGAACTAATTAACTTAGTTACCCAGTAATTAGAGACTCCAGTCTAGATCGAGTCCTTATGTGATTCTTTTTCTTTATTTTCTTTTCCTTTTTTTTAATAAATTTTTTGGTTGAAGAACATGTGATTTTTCCTTCTCTACGAGTAGTAGGACATAGGCAATTTTTTTCGGCTTTTTAACTCATAGATAGATTATTAGATTACAATCTTGTCTTGAAACATCGAACCTTTAAGACTTTTGGAGGTAATAATTTAGGAAGTTGGATCGTAGTGATCAATGGTATACTACGAACCCATACTGAAAGATAATTCAATCATCATAATTAGCAAGCCTTGAAGTCACATGTTAATGGTTACTCTCTCAATTGTACAAAAATACTCCACATGCATTACAAATTATGAATTGCAATAGTGTATTATTTTCATTACGAATTGCAAAATATATTATGGACTATTTTTTTGGATGATTATGTAATAATAAAACCAGCACAATATATAAATCAACACCTACAAAAAGCCATGAGGACTTGTTTGGTGCAAAAATCAAGGGAGAGACATGCTCTATAGAGAACCAGCGGAGAATTAGGAGTACTGAAGAGTTTCCATAAAATAAGAGTGACTTTGGATTCGATCATGAGAGTGCCATACAATGATACAATTATCTGTGCTCTCTTTCATTTACAGAATAGCAAAAACAGTACTGCTCCTGATTGACATAGTGACCATGGAACGTTTATTGTGATATTACTTGAAGGGAATGGGCATAGTATATATTATTAGTGAGAATTGGAGTTTTCTTCATTAAGACCATCCTTTCCACATTCACAACAGTAGATTGCTCTAACCCAACAAAATTATGGGTCTCTTTTTCCCTTGAGCCTTGTCTACTAACATTGTATATACTATATTACAAAAAACACAAACTACCATTTTTGTGAAATTTAATGTTTGTTGAACTAAAATAATATAATAAACTCAACTCTTATTTTAGAATAGAATAAATACTTTATGGAGAGCATTGAAACCATTAACATGACTACCACCAACATACAGTATGAACATTATTTTTTGGTACAATGAAAGGAGGCATAAGCCTAGATTAAGTGATTAGCACCTTCCTTGGATAAGAGACACCACATGTGTCATGTTGTAACCAAGGAATGGCACCTAGGGGGATCATACAAACGAGAAAAACCGCTTAACCCTGTTGTTGCGAGAAATGCCAATCAGCAATAAAATTCGCTTCCCGAAACTCATGCAATACTTGTATCCCAGCTCCGGCTTAAAAGCTCCCAGATTGCCACCACCAGACTTCTATGTAGACCACAGAACTCCACCCCTCTCGACAGCAACTTCACCGCACTCTGACTATCCGTCTCGATCAAAACACGGCGAAATCCCCTAAACTCAAACCCTGGGAGATGCCCCATAGCTCAGCACCCCTGATCGTACCATAACCAATATTCATAGTAAACCCACCAAGCCATTTACCATGATGATCACGCAAAACCCCCCTGCACTCGCCATCCCATTCGAACTCTCAAAAGCGCCATCCTAATTAACTTTAATCTAATCCAAGGGAGGCATAGGTTTACGTTGTGTGCAACAATTAAGGCGAATCATATAGATAAAGAAATAAAAAGGAAAAAAAAAATCTACTTCTGTCGGTTGATATGTTTTATGTAGTAACAAAAACCATCCTTTCATAATCTACAATTTGTATGTTGATATTGATTTAGCTTTTTGGTTGAATCATCCCTGCTGGATCTCGCTAGTTAGGGTTCTGAAGCTTTCTCCAGACCAATAGACCTATATGGAGCTATCTGAATTGTCCCAATCAGATCGTTTTCTATGCAATCATACAATCTTCTGCAGTAGTTATCAGTAGCCTCAGAGAGATCAATGATCTTTCTCCTTATCTCTGAAAGTTTATCACCCGAATAACCGACGAAAGGCTCTTCCAAAAACAACGAGAGCCTCTCCGTCATTGCTTCAAGCTGCTGTTGCTGCTCCTTGAAAAGGTTCTGTTTTAGCTCCCTTTGTTTCTTCATCCATCCATCCTTGAAAAGGTTATTACCAAACAGGTAAAAGGCGAAAGGATACAAATACGATATGATCTTCCTAGATCTAAAAAGTCTGCTGAAGCCATCTTTCGCCCAACCTAAGTCATTTGATGAAGTTATTTTCTTTTTAGCTTCCAAGATCGCAATTTTTTCTTGTACCCTATTCTTCAACTCGGTTTCAAGCTTTAACGAGTCCCTGTGGGCTTTGTATCGATTATAGTAGTGAGTACACTGAAAAATTTCCCTTTTCGCCTTCTCTATTTTCGTCTTATCATCTTCCTTGTAACTTCCACAAGTATGATCTCTGATGCGACGAATCGTGTGTGATCCACCGTTGGCTTCACCACAAAGCCAACAGAAACAATGTCCACAATGACATGTAACATGGTTGCATCCTCCCTTCTTTTGCACAGGTTTATGACAATTAGGGCAAGACTTTGTGTTAGCGGTGATCCAGTTTACATTCTCGGATTCATCCCGAAACTTTTTGGACCAGCTCGCCCACATCAAACACGAGCATGGCAAATGCGCTTCTAGTGTGCAGCTAAAACAGAATTCTTTCCCGCAAGCGCATTCAACCTCGCGGTATTCATCGCCATCGTCCACGCTAATCAGGTTCCCACAATGAGGAATGCTAGGGCACCACTTTATGCTCTTCTTGTCATCTATATAAGAATCTAGGAGAAACCGATCAAACTTCTCTGCTAAATCAGGATCTTGCAAACTCACTAACTTTCTGACACTTTATTCATCACATATTGCATTGCATTTGTGCGTCATACAAGTGATTCGCCTGTTGTGGCCATCATTGATCTTCACAATGAAATGTTCCGTCCAACAATCATTACAAAAACCATGTCCACATTCCATCATAGTACTTGAATCCGATCTTGAAGGAACTTCGTCAAAGCAGATTCCACATGTTATTGTTTCGGATCGCTGAAGATCATCTTCCTAATTGGTATTGAGTGACAACCCGGCAATTTTGTACAGATACTCAACCCCCTTTTCAGCAAAGTCATTTAAAACCCTATCAACATTCCAACGATAATGAATAAGCAAGGTCCTTGCGTGATGCTCCTTTTTCAATGACATCACATCCGTCACTCTTCTCAAATTTTCTTTCTGTGCTGCTAAAAGGGTTTCTTTTCTGATCACCTTAAATGAGGAACCTTTTTGTACGTGATGAAGAATAGTCCGTCTCCTCTTCAGTTTCTTGATCATATTCCGTTCCAACATAACCTCTTAACGATGCCGTAAGCTTTTAACTTGTTAGAGGAACAATATTCATTACGCTTCACAAAATGTTCTTCTTTAATGATAAATTAATATAGATGGAATAGTTTCTAAATGCTGTTTACAACAAAAATTCAAACCACTTTGTAATCGGTGGACAAGCCAAGAGAACATACAATATGATTCATTGATTTGTATTCTGAGATCAAATAGCAAGTGTCATCCATTTTTCATAATTAATTTGGGGAAACTTTAAAATTTTAAGGGATAGTACGTAATTATTAGTTAAATAATTTCAGAATTGCTTTCGAGAATTTTATTATAACATTGTTAGTTCACTTTGTAAATTTAAGGATGTTCTCCGTCACTACTAGTAGGAGTGTAGGACACCAAAAAAAAAAAAAAAATGGAGGATGATGAATGGAGACAGAGAGCTAAGCTCTTTTCCACATTGAAAACTAGGAAGGACAATGGTTTAAAAGTCTATCATAAACAAAGATTAAAGAAAATTTATTATTTGTAAGCGATAAATTCATTTGTCGTATTCGTTCATTTACAATTCAATGAACAGAACCCTTTATAAAGCTGAAAAGTTAATATTATTATTATTATTATTTATATATATATATACGAAATTTGTGACACAGGATTTACAATCAGCATAGCCACCGTATCTGGAAAGATGGACGTGACCACCACAGACATATGTGTGTAGAGACGGCCTGAGAATCTTTTTTGCTCATGAAAATTCATAAATTGGATGACATAATCTCCTAAAACGAAAATTAATATGCAAAATTGAATATGACACAACACCATCTAATATTTATTAATTTTATATAATACTTTTTAGATGATGTAGATATCAAAAATTCAATTTTAAGAGTAAAAAATTTGACAATTTCTTAAAACCGACTAAGTATTACAAATGAATATAGTGGACTTGTAATGTCAGAGGGTCAAAACCGCACATCGTGTACAACAACGGCAACAAAATTATAGATGAAATATATATGTATATATATATATATATATAAATATATATATATATATTGATACTTTTCAGATCTACCAGCAAAAATCATCAGCTTTGCATGAATCATTCTCATTCAACGCAGCAGTCACATCATCTCGCAGCATTAATTTCTAGTTATTAAGTTATAAAGCTTTCTCCAGACCGCAAGACCTATAGGGAGCTATAATCTGAGTTACCGCGAGATCGTTTTCGATGCAATCATACAATCTTTTGCAGTAGTTATCAACAACCGCAGAGAGATCAAGGACCGTCCTTTTGATCTCCATAAGTTTATCCCCAGAATAAATATCAAAAGGCTCTTCCAATAACAATGAGAGCCTCTCAGTCATTGATTCAAGCTGCTGTTGCTGCCCTTCAAAAAGACTCTGCCCTATTTCCCTTTCTGTTTCTTTCTTCATTCCATCACTGAAATGATGGTCTTCATCGAACATGTAATACGCAAAAGGATACGAATTCGATATTATCTTCCTTGATTTGATTAGTCTGCTAAAACCTTTGGTCACCCAACTCAAGTCTCCCGAACTCGTCTCGCTTTTCTGTTCCAACATCACAATCTTTTCTTGTAACTCATCCTTCAAACCGGTCTCGAGCTTTAATGAATCTTTGTGCGCTTTGTATCGGCTATAGTAGTGAGAATACCGAGACAGTTTCTGTTTCGCTTTCTCGATTTTCTGTTTATAATCTTTTTTAAAACGGCCACAAGTATGATCGAAAATGCGGTCGTACGAGTGATCAAGGCCGGTGGCTTCGCCGCAAAGCCAGCAGAAAGACTGTCCACAAACACATCGAACATGATTGCATCCGCCATCTTTCTCCACCGGTTTAGAACATTTCGGGCAAGGTTTTGTATTGGCAGCGAAATAGTTAACCGTCTCGGATTCATCCTGACCCTTTATTACCCAACTCTCCCACATCAAACACGAGCACGGCGAGTGCGGTTCTGATGCGCATCGAAAACAGAATTCTTCCCGGCAAACACATTCAACCTCGCGGTATTCATCGCCGTCGTCCACGGTAATCGCGTTCCCGCAATGAGGAACGCTAGGGCACCACTTTATGCTCTTGTTGTCATCAACATACGATTCCAGGAGAAACCGATCAAACTTTTCGGCCAAATCAGGATCTCGTAAGCGAACCATATTTCTTACGCTTTCTTCATCACATATTTCATTGCATTTATGTGCCATACAAGTAACACGTCTGCTTTGGCCGTCATTGATCTTCACAATAAAGTGTTCCGTCCAACAATTGTTGCAAAAACTATGCCCACATTCCATCATAGTACTTGAATCTGATCTTGAAGGAACTTCGTCAAAGCAGATTCCGCAAGTTATTGTTTCGGATCGTTGAAGATCATCTTCTTGATTGGTATTGAGTGACAAACCGGCAATTTTACACAGCCACTCAACACCTTTTTCAGCAAAGTCATTCAAAACCCTATCAACATTCCAACGATAATGAATAAGCAAGGTCCTTGCGTGATGCTCCTTTTTCAATGACATCAAATCCATCACTCTTCTCAAATCTTCTTTCTGTGCTGCTAAAAGGGTTTCTTTTCTGATCACCTTACATGAGGAACCCTTTGTCCGCGATGAAGAATAGTCCATCTCCTCTTCAGTTTCTTGATCATATTCCATTCCGACATCATCTCCGTCAGAGTATTCATCGCAATTACTGCCGGAATCATTATAGTCCTCCATGACTACGTACTGGCCTCTTATTGCGGTGGTGGTTTATTAAAATTAGGAGAGAATAATTAGTGTTGTAATTTGTTTGTCAGGGGTTGTATATATATATATATATATTGTTTGAATTTTTCCTTATTTTATTCGGCATAGGAGAAGCAATAAAAGAACCAAATCCTGATGGGAAAAAGAAATTGTAATTTAGGATCCCTTCTCTTAAACCCGCCAATAAAATTTTGGTAATTGCTGTGTTTCCCTCGTCTGGTAGGATTAGTGACAGAGCTAAGCAATATGCAGGCGCAGACCACATCGTGAGATATGGCACCTCCATTTTTCATAATTTATTTCCGGGAAACTTTAAAATTTTCAGGGATCGATAGTACGTAATTATTAGCTAAATAAATTTCAGAGTTGCTTTCAAGAATTTATTATAACATAACATTGTTAGTTCACTTTGTAAATTTAAGGATGTTCTCTGTCACTACTAGTAGGATATCAAAAAAATTGGAGGATGATGAATGGGGACACAGAGCTAAGCTCTTTTCCACACTGAAAACTACGAAGGACAATGTTTTAACTTTTAAAAGTCTATCATGTAAACAAGGATTAAAGAAAATTCATTATTTTGTAAGCGATAATATATGTTTTGAGGGACTGTCCTGCCGCAACGCAAGTTTGGTGTCGGCTTGTTCCAGCTGATATGCGGGACGAGTTTTTCAAACCATCACTTGTTGAGTGGCTTCTTTTTAACCCGTCCAATGAGAGGGCTAGCTCAATGGTGGAGGGGTGGAGCTGCATGTTTGGCATTGCAAACCTGGAAGATTTGGTTGTGCAGAAGAAAGTAATGATAACGGCGGGCATGTGGTGAGGGAGATTGGTAATTTGGTTGGTAATATAAAGGCGGCAATTGCGGGCGAGAGGCGGTTGGTTTGGGAGTCGGACGCGAAACCTGAATGATCTCCTGGCCGGCTCCTCTAGCGGGTTGGATTAAGATCAATTCGGATGGTTCTTTTAATCCGAAATTGGGAATAGCAGCGGCATGTGGAGTAATTCGGGATGAAGATGGGTGTTGGCTTGGCGAATTCCTTATGAACTGTTGGGCCAGTTTTTTTCAGCTAGGCTTTAAAGGCCTATAATGAACAGATTACACAATGAATAACGTTTTAATAGAGGATGAATAATTATGATTAATATGATAAATAATCATTAGATACGCATATACCTAATCTAAATCAAAATATCCACAATGTATATAATACATGATGAATAACAGATTCACAGAGGATGAATGAAGTGTTTAATAGGATGAACAACAGATCATTGAATCGTACGCGATATCCATACAACGTAAATTATATTTAATTAGAATGATGAATAATAATTGTTACATGAGACTCAAGGCCGAAAATATTAGAATTCTAGCTCCAAATTTGTAGGCGACCGGCCGCAATAGTTGTAAAATTTGTAAATATAGATTTTCTTTTCTCAAAACAGATCTGAATCTATAAACCTTTGGCGATTCACAAAATATGAATTTTGTTCTTTTTTCACAACAGATCTGAATCTATAACCTCTAACAATTCACCGAACAGGTTCAAATTGGCAATTCTGAATTTTCAAACAGAAATTTTAAGGATTTCAGACAAGATTCGTTGGACGAATTTATGTTATTGAGAAATGAATTTTGGGAATAAATACACAAAACGGATGAATAACATCATTCTTACAGTAATCCTCATATTCATTGGAATTTATTGAATAAAAATCTCAGTTTTGGATGCACAAATTTGATTCCGTCTTCAAGAGTACAGTCAGCAAGAGAATTTGGTCTATAAAAGGACGGCCTTTTCATAGTTAGAAATCAAGAGCAAAGAATTCGTCTCTGAATAAGTAGCCAATGACAGCATAGTTTTCTCTCTCTTCCTCATTCTCTTGTGGCGCTCGTTAGCTATCTACTAACGTATGCCCCCCATGTCTAGACGGAGGAAGTAGCAGCAGAAAACAGCCCAAAATGGAGAAAAATCAATGGATAAGGAAGTTGTGACCATCAATCAGCAAGTAGAAGCAAAAGCGCAAGAAGAATTGGACCAGATGGGAGGAAAATCACCGGTGAAAACAAACCGTAAGAGAATTGGGAAAACAAAGGCACATGAACTAGATGAGAAATTGATGGAGGCAAAGCAACCAAGAAGGGAAGAGGAGTGCGTAGAAAAGTGGAAACACGTGGGAGATAACACGAAAGAAGGAGATGGAAGAAGCAATGCATGGGAAACCTTTGATGTCAACAAAATGAAGAAAGCAGAGGCTAAACTCGAAGTGATAAGGTGATTCTTGTACCCCTCTGGTTTGTTTCTTATTCAATGGATGCTAGAGATAAGTTGTTCTGGGAGCTCACCCACCCTTCCATGTCATGGAAGCATTCTATAGGAAACTGTGGGGTAACCTCGGAGTTGATAAGGTGATTCTTGTACCCTCTGGTTTGTTTCTTATTCGATTCATGTCAATGGATGCTAGAGATAAGGCATTAAAATTGAATATCTATCATTTTGGGAATAGATATCCGTAATTGTAAAACCATGGACTGTGGATGAGGGAATTAGCTACAAAGAAGTGAGTAAAGTTCCTGTTTGGGTATAGTTCTCTAAATTAGAGCAAATATACTGGAATATGGATTCACTCAGTTGTATCGCTAGCACCTTAGGCACTCCTATAATGACTAATGAACTGACTAATAGCAAAGAAAGAGTGAATTATGCCAGAATACTGATTGAGATGGAAATTCAGAAAGAGGTACCTAATGATGTATACTTTGTAGATGAACATGGTATATTGCAGAATCAAGAGGTGTATTATGAGTCGAAACCAGTCTGTTGTGAAGAGTGTGCAAGGTATGGGCATGATACTAAGAGTTGTAAAAAGCAGAAAGCACCAGCTACTCATGTACATAAAACACCTGAAATCAGAAAGATCCATGAAGAGAAAGAATGAAAGTAGGGAAAGTGAAGAAGAACACGGAGAAAATAGTTGTGGAAAATGTGATGAATGCAAAACATCCAGACACTCATGGGAAATGCCTTGTTAGATTTTCAATACTGAGCAGAAACTCAAAGGAAGATATTCAAGAATTACTGCAGGAAACTGAAGGAGAAAGCAGCGGAAGAGGGTTGGAAATCAGGTATATGGATGATGAACATGATCCTGATATCCACGAGTAATATCCTCTCTTGGAATATCGGGGTCTTAATGCCCCAATAAAGCTGAGGGAACTCAACCAAGTACTTGCTACAAATAACGTGAACATAGCATTTGTGTTGGAAATCAAGATGACCCAGGAAAAAGTAATGGAGGCTATGAAAGGAATGAATCAACAGCAGGAAGTGGTAGCAAATGGTGAACAGATCAAAAGGAGCAGAATGATGGTAATATGGGATAATAATATGGAGCTTCAAACCCTTGATTGCTCAAATCAGATGGTACATTGTCATGTGAAGGACAGGACCACTGGATGTGAGTACTTGTTGATAGGAGTGTATGCAAGCAATGCAGAGCAAGAAAGAATTAATCTATGGGAAAAGCTTGAGAACATGAGTCAGACAGTTAACATGACATGGATTCTACGTGGGGATTTTAACAATGTCCTAAAGTAAGGGGAAAAAATTGGAGGCCAGAAGGGGACACTTATGGAAACTGAACCATTCAGTTTGTGTTTCGACACAAGTGGTTTGGAGGATTTACAGCAACAAGGAAGTCTATACACCTGGTGCAACAAGCAGCTTGGAAAGGATCGAATCTATGCCAAGTTGGACAGGAATTTGGTGAATGAATTGTGGGTGGATCAATTTAATCAATCTATATGTACTGTATTACAAGCAGGGATCTCAGATCACTCCTCTCTGCTTGTACAGGTGGAATTGGAGATGCAACATAGAAAGATGCCCTTCAAATACTTCAACATGTGAAGCTGGATCCCACATTCTTTACAAGTGTGGAGGAAGTATGGAAGAGAAGAATCAGGGGAACTATGATATACCAAGTGGTGAAGAAAATAAAAATGTTGAAAAGGGTGTTGTTAATTCTGAACAAGGAAAAATTCTCTAGCATCCAAGTACATTGCAAGAAGCCCAAATGGAACTTGAAAAGGCACAACAACAAGCCTCCATGCACGCTGATGTGGAACAAGTACAACTAGTAGAAAGAGAAGCTTATCAATGTTACATCAGTAAATATGTGGCATTCAATAGTTTCATGAGACAAAAAGTGAAAGAAGACTTGATTAGAGATGGGGATACCAACATTAAATTTTTCCACTCCAAACTGAAGCAGAAAATGATGAGGAATCGAATATGGTCAATTACCATTGAAGAAGGGGAATTTGTCAGGGTGGGAGCTGGTTGAGAAGCACTTCCTGCAATACTTCCAAAACCAACTGGGAAAGAAAGATTCAACGTGCTCTGTGAGACAGGAGGTATTTCAGCCGGGACCAAGACTGTCAGTGGAGAAACAAATGCAGCTGATCATACAAGTTACCAGAGAAGAAGTCAAAAAGGCCCTGTGGAGCATCAACGGCACAAAGAGCCCTGGCCCAAATGGATATGGAAACGATTTCTTCAAAGCTACTTGGAAGATCATAGGGGAGGATGTAACAAATGCAGTGCTGGAATACTTCGAAAAGGGCATGTTACTAAAACAACTAAACTCTAATGTACTTGCTTTAATTTGGAAAAGTGAAAATGCTTGTAATGCAAGTCAGTATAGACCGATAGCGTGCTGTATCTTTTATAAAATCATTTCAAAAGTGCTATGTAATATATTAAGAGTAGTACTGCCTAAGTTGATCAATAGTAGTAATCAGAGGGCTTTTGTTGGGGGTAGACTAATACTACACAACATTTTGATCACTCAAGAGCTGATTAGACTGTATCGAAGGAAGGGAATCAGTAGTCGATGTATGCTAAAATTGATTTATAGAAAGCTTATGACTGTGTTGAATAGGAGTTTTTAGAAGAATGCCTACAATGATATGGATTTCTTAGGAAATTTACGAGATGGATTATAGAATTTGTCAGGACTACAACCTTTTCTCTTTACCTTAATGGATCACATGTAGGTTTTTTAAAGGTCAGAGATGTCTGAGACAAGGAGACCCCCTCTCTTGTTTGTCCTCATGATGGAATATTTGACTAAACTTTTAAAGGAGGATACTGTATTACCTGGTTTTCAATTTCATCCTTTGTGCAAAAATCTTAGATTGTCCAATATCTGTTTTGCCGATGATTTGATGATTTTTTGTATGGCTGACTTGGTGACCTTAAACTACATACAAAAAGCCCTAATTGAATTCTCTAGTGCATCTAGCCTTTAAGCCAATTCTTTGAAATCAGAAATCTTAGGGGGGGAGGGGGATAGAAGAAGAAGTTAAAGAGAAAATATGTACTATCATGGGTTTTAGTGAAGGTAAATTCCCTACGAAGTACTTAGGAATCCCTTTATCCCCCCCAAAAATAGAACCAAATGAAATGCCAAGTGATAGTAGATAGAATAGTCAAGAGGTTGAAATGTGGAGCACTCGCCATCTCTCTTATACTGATAGACTGCAACTGATTAACTCAGTGCTAATGAGTATGCATGTCTACTGGTCCTCAGCCTTCATTCTCCCTCATCCCTAAGGTTTTCAACCGAAAATGTAGAGAATTCCAATAGGGAGTTAGAGAGTCAGGCAGGTACTCTGAATTAGTAGGTTGGGATACTATCTGTAGAAGCAAATCAGAGGGGCACTGAATATTCGGGATGACCTCTCATTTTGTATGTTGTCTCATTTTTCCTCTTAAACACAAAACTTACTTTAAAATAAAACACTCTCCATACAACGTTTAACTTATTTTTTTTAAAATATTTCAAACATTATTTTTACACCATATTTATCTACCATCACTGGTTCCGGCTAACTCGCCTTTGGGCAACACAGAATTCTAAATTGCAAGTGCATGCCCCGTGTTACTACCAATATATATTGCTCTTAGTTTTTGAAATTATCTTTTTGCACATTCTCGTTTATTTCTTTGCTTCGGAACTAGGAATCAAATATATTAGAGAATACGTAATTCACTAATTTGGATATTATCTAATAGAATGGGACCAAAATTACTTTCACCTATTATACTAACTTCAAAAACATTTTCAGATCATCTCTGTCTTTTTCTCTCCTCAATTTTTTCTTTTTTTTCCCTTTTCAGAAAATCAAAATGATTTTACTCTCGGCCGAGCTTTCAATATTCAATTTTCTATGACCATACGGCTTTTTTTTACAAAGAAGAAGATTGTTGAAGGCCCAAATTCTCGGAGCCCATTTGTTTGTTAGTTTGATATAATGGGCCCAAAATTCCAAATACGAGGTTTAAGAATTAAGACCGATTGAGGTCGGTGGTGGTTCCAGTTCTTGCAGGGCGTGGTGGTAGTGTGGAACAAGGTACGGACTTTTCACCGTAAGGAATTTCTTACATTGTTTTCTCGGCTTCTGTAGTTTTAATTTTGTTTTTCCCTATTGATTTGATCGTTTGCACTTTTTTGGAATTGTGTTACAGCTAATGAATTCTTTTTGGGGTTTTTTTTTTCCGATAAATTTAATCTGACGAAACGGAAACATGATTGTTGGTTTTGGGCATGTTAGTATTGGGAACTGCTTTATCTTTTTGGGTGTTTTCCAAAAATCTCAGTTTATTAATCACTAAGTATGGTTAAGTGGTCTGTGTGTGCCTTTTTGTATGAATTAATTTGCCCAAGGAATGGTAAATTAGTGGTCATTCTAAGCCGAAAATATTAGGTTATGGTTGCTAATAGCTGCTCAGGTCCTTGGCATTGTGATCGAGCTTGAGCTTATTGTAACAGTATTTGAACTGAGCTGGGTTTGATTCGAATAACAGTGTTCATTAATTTCTTTGGCATAATTAATTGTTAGTTAGTTTAAGTTACTGTGGTCCTGATGCTTTCAGACTTTTCTTTCAGGCATTGGTATTTGCACAATGGAGGGGGGAGGACTTGATAATGTGCTTGACACTGTTCTCGAAGATGAGAACTTTGAAGATGTTGAGATGCTTGACGTAGAGGATGGAGAGTTGTTTGAACAGGATCCAGAGGTTGAAAATGAAGGAGGCAATCCTGTCACTGATCTTAAGGCTCTGAATGTAGAAGGCGACGCTAATATGGTACAAAAGAAGAATAAGAAAAAGAAAAGGAAGAACAAGAAAAAAAGAGGCAGTTCCATTCCTAACGCCAGCAATATTAGCAGGTTCTTTTCTGCACCAATTATCTTTAGTTATTAAATGGTTTGAGGATGCCTTTTTCCTCCATGTTCCCTTTTTTCTATTTGCTCTAGCACTCTTCTGGTACAGATGATGCTTTATATGAAGTTCTGTCTCCCTCCCTTCTTATCCCAGCTGAGGCTTTAGCTGGAAACTCATTCTCAGAATCCTTTCTACAATATGTGCATTTGTGAATATCTTAGCTATTCTGCTTTGTAGTGAACTACTTTGATTTTGCTCAACGGCTCTAGTCTTGTGTTGCTTGGGGGTTGATGCTTGGGAAGCTCTTTTTATCTTATCGACATTTTAATGCTTTGTTATAGCATCATTTGTAATTACTTCTTCATTTTCTTTATTTGTAGATTCGTCCCAGATGTTTGTCGGCGCTTGAAGGAAAAGAAGTCCTATCTGGTGTGGGCTGCTGTGAATTGTCTTGGTGTTCCTGCCTTGAGTGATCTTGTAAAAGAGGTTTGTTTCACTTACTGAATCTCATCACCTGATAGGATATATGTAATTGTTACTTGTTACTTGTAAATGTTAAAAGGTAGTGATGTTCTCTAGGTCTAAGTCTACCAGAATAAGGGATGCCATACACCATCAAATGGTAGCAATTTTTCTGACTCAATGACAAATTATCTGCTGCTTTTCTATAATGTCTTCTGTTGCATTACAACATACACAATGTCTAAGTAAGTATACCAGAAGAAGGGATGACATACACCATCAAACCATAGCAATTTTTCTGACTCAATGACAAAACAATCTGCTGCTTTTCTATAATGTCTTCTGTTGCATTACAACGCACACAAGGTTAGTGTCCCCACTTGACCTGCTTGGGGAAAAATAAAGTACAGTATCAAGGTAAAAAGAAGCTAGAACAAGAGAGAGCTGAATAAAGTTTAAAAATACTTCATCAACGAGTCAAACTTATTGGTCTTCTCCTCTCATATGGTGCTCTAGAAGTTTGTCATGAGTGTTCAGGGAAGAATTATTTTCAGGTGAATGGTTAAACTAATGTTTGTGTCAACCGTGCAATTGACATTGGGCAGATTCCTCGTGTTCTCCTATGATTACTAAGGGCTGTGGTCCATATAATTATTTTTAAAAAGTAATGGATTGAAATAAATTTCATGTTTTCCATATAATTATTTTTAAAAAGTGATGGATTGAAATAAATTTCATGTTTTTCGTAGTATTTTTTCTTTTTTTGTAGGACTAGTTGCAGTGCCCGCATGCCCTCCTTTCTTTTTCTCTTTCATCATTCTCAATTTGGAGTTGGAAAATGTGGTTTATAGTGTAAGAATGGATATAATTTACGTTGTTGAAATTGATATTGAGATCTGCGAGTACCACTGTTAGATTATCTGATGGCATTATAGCTAATTATACTCATATATAATAAGCCTATCCAAGAGATATTTTAAGGCCAAGGCCATTATTTTGGATTCCTTGTGATATATTCTTCCAGCTCATTCTGCTAGTTCATTGAAACTAACTATATTAAAGCACATCAATATGCAGGTTGATGCAATTCAGGCCTGTGGTGGTCAACAAACTGCAGATGGAAGGCGCTTCCGAACTGGAGGTGGTATATTGTGGAACATCCTCAAAGTTCGTGATCCTAATGCTTACAAGGAGATAATGAGAAGAGGAAAGGAATTTGAGGTTTGCTGTGACACTTTTTTTGCTAATTTTAGTGTCAGAAACTTCTTTGTTTTTATCTTTACTCTAATTTGTGTTGCTTGGATGTCATATTGTTGTTTGAGCTTGGCCATATGTATGTATGGATGCTTGCATGGTGCCTATATTTGCTACCAGACTACAAATTTCATGAGAAAGTTTTACTCTTGATTCTTGAAGAAGTAATGGTGGAAATACACTCTCGTGAGAAGCTTAAGATGGCCTGCTAGCTTACTTTTTTCCCTGCAGAAACCATTGAGATATGTAATTTGGTCTACCATTTGAACTATGTTGTCCCTGACAAATTCATCAGTTTCCACCCTTTTTGTCTGCTCATCTCTTTTCATCCTATCTTTAGTTAAGCTTTGTGCTCATTTTTGTAAGTTTGTTTGTCAGTTAGCATATTCTGGTGTTCTCATTTTCCCATGCATATTATTTCTGTAGTGGTGGATTCAATTGGACAGAGAAGTCTAATTAAGAGATTTAGTTGCAATGATTTGTGGATTGATTGAGTTGTACGTAGACGTTTTGGTCCAGTAATTTTCAAGTTCCTTTCTAATGCCTGTCCCTTAAAGACTCTTGCTTTCTTCATACAAAGTCAGAAAGCAATGACTCAATCTACATTCACTGTGATTTTTCTTTGTAATGAGTAGTAATTTTCACTGTTTATATCGATAGACCCATCTTAATGTTTTTTATTACCAAACATTTTGCAGAAGCAATTCAAGCCGCAGAGCATCATGCAAGAGCCTATCCGCAACACAGTCTCCTCATCTCTGAAAAGTCAATATACCGCTGGACCTCCAGATGGATTACAAGAATATTCTGAAGTGCAGAAGCATCTTGAAGGATCAAATGATGAGAAGAAACAAGTATCAGTTAAAGAAAGACTGCGGATTCCAGTTGCATATGATGATTTGATTGGAGATGAATTAACTTAATTTATGGCTTAAGTGTCCCTATAATCAAGGGTTTGAAGAGTGATGAAATTGGAGGATTGATAGGCTTATCATCACGATGCAATAATGGGAAGAAGCCAAAACAGTTTTGTACGCGAGAATACTGTATATATTTGGAAAAGAGAAGAGATTTTAATGATTATTTCATTTCTGCTTCTACTATGTGCTAGAAAAAACAACTGAATGATAACTGAAAAGAATCTACAAAGTGCAAAAAAATTAATTATTGACAGAATCTTGAAATCAAATTATCACTGATTCACTCCCAAAATCCATAAGACCAGCGCCATTTAACAGGCGTTTGTCTGATGTGTGCTGCCCTAACAAAATTGGCAGTTTTAAACATTCTTTCCAGTTCTAATCCAAACATCAAAGCGGTGAAACATTCAGGCAGATTTGCTCCTGCTCCACTTTGTACACAAAAAAGCAGACTGCCTGGGCATTGTTGAAGCTGGTTTTCGGAAAAGCTCATCTTGATCCTGTTTTCTGCCTTCTTGCCTGACCGATAGATTTCATGGACTGCATCGTCGTTGTCCTTGTATTCAGGTTAAAATACTTGGCTGCTGCTTCTTCAAGAAGAGGCAAACAACAGTGCAGTCGTCTCTCTTTGAGTTGGGGAACTTCTGTTTCCAGGCAGCAACTGAAGCATCGACAACTGCTTTTGCCGCGGCTTCTTCAGTTGCTGTCGAGGAAACTATGGAAGTCACTTGATCGTTAGAAAGAACATCCCATACCTGAATACAAGCACCATAAGAGTACAAGACATCAGAATCCAAATTCAAGGCCTAACCTAAAAGCGCATATATATAGTTCTCATTTGATACCATAGACTTACCCCGTCGGATGCCAGAACAAGAAACAGGTCATTCTCAGAAAGCTGGTGACATGAGACCTCAGGGATGGCAATGACACCATGGTTTTTAAGCACAAAGTCCCCAAAAGCTCGCGACATGGCTAGGCCTGGAGAGTCATCATGTGGTAGCCAAACACGATCGATATGTGGTTCTTCTTTCAATGCGAGTACTCGGCCATTGCACTTCCTAATTCGATCTGCTTCCGCTGTCCAAAACATCCATAGAAGAAAAGGTCAGACAAAATGAAATCTTGAAACAGAGGTAAGCTACAGTTTGCTGAAAATGTTTTGCTAACACAGAAATAACAAAGTAAGCCTTACTAGGTAAACCAGGCTTGAGATCCGTAGTCAATTGAACTGGAACAATTCCATCCTCAGACTTTGTCCCAAGAACTGCTCTTGAGTCTCCAAGATTCCCAACAATAAGGTACTCACCCTATTGAAAACTTAACAAGTTAAAAACTCAGAAAAATTTGTATATATGAATCGAAAACTTCAGTGTGTCGATTTAACCCGTTTTCTACCTGTCTGACAGCTACAACCGCGGTTGTTCCACTGCAAGAGCAATCCAGATTCTCAAGAAGTTTGATTTCTTTGTCCATCACCTTGAAGGAAGTCAAAAAAGCATCCTTCCATTTGTTGAACTTCTTGTTGAACTGAGCCTGATCACCACCATCAGCTTTCTCATTATATTTTGGAGAGCTGATGAATTTCACCATGGCATTCATCTGATTCAGGAGCAATGATGGCAACCTGTTCCTCACCAACTTGCTCACTGTGTGACCATTATATCCATGTCCATCAAACACTCCACCAAATGCTCCATCTTCCATTCCATAGCCCTGTAAAAAAAGATTTCACATCAACTCATCCACATAATTTCACATACAACACAAGATGCGATACAGACAGTAAGAGTAGGAGATTGTAATCTCGAGGTTAAACAGATATACCAAAAAAAAAAAAAGGGGACTTTACCTGGTACAGAATTGCAGCATCCTGATTTAATCCTTTGCTACCTTGATGAGAATGAATGGAACCAATTCTCACCTGGGAATCATTTGCATAGTCAGAATTTTCATAGTAAGCCACATTTTCATGGCCATGATGAACTGAATGAATCTCAGAAGATGCAGTGGATATACAGGAGCCCATTGTCAACTCTCTGGATTACTTTATGCTTTAGGAATCCATGGAAATGCAATGTATTTATAATATAGGATGTTGGACCCTTTATTAAAAGTCAGAATACTAGCCTTCACAATCAATAATAAATTTTGCATTCAGAATCAATTATTGAATTTTAATTGCTATTTTATTATTTTTGGTAAGAAGAGTAACCCAAGATTCACTTGATGGGGCATCTATCTGAGTTGTACCCATGTAAGATTGAACTGATTTTATAATATGGTAACCAAGTCAGAAGGTATAAGGTCGGTTTCTTCTTGTTTCTAATAAAAATTTAGCTTTTATGGCGTTAAAAGTTCTTCGAAGTTGCATATATTAAACTCAAAAAGTCTTATTCATGTAGTTGATCAACTATTCAACTTGGATGAAGTTGACAAAGCTTTTCTTCTTACCATAAGATACACGGAAATGATATGTTCAGTGAATTAATTCATTAGTAAACCAGTTTGTTTCTTCAAAATGATTTACTACTCCCTCCATTTTTTTTTATGTCTTTCTAGAAAAATCATCAAAATCAAGAAAACATTAATTAATGTAGTTAAAATACAAAAATACCCTTATTTATTGTCTACACAATTCATCGCAAACTAATAAAAATTCATTATAAATACTGTTTCATTTTCAATACAAGGGTAATATTGATAATAAGTGGTCAAATATGCCTCGATTTATAAAAACGATATATATTTAAAAAAATTCACCAAATCTTAAAACGACATATATTTCAAAATGGAGGGAGTATGTTCATTCACTAATTAGCATATGGTTATTCAAAAAAAAAAATTATATTTATTCTCTTTTAAATGTATCCTTCGAATAACAAAAGTTGTAAAGCTTTTGTGTAGTTGCAAAAATTTCGTTTTCTTGTTTGGTGTACGTTAGTTGGGAGCATCACAACTCTTTTTGTTTTCATCTTTTCTTGTTTACCCATTTAATACTATTATGATTATGATTATTGTTTTCCTTTTTGGTCATCTTCAAGGCTACGCATCAGCGACATGATGATTATTTATTAAGCACTTTATTCAGTTGGGGGATCTTTACACTCAAACATAGAGTTTGACTTTGTCCAAGAAATTTGTTGTACTTTACAGAGGAAAAAGATTCAATTGAGAGCTACCAAAGCCAATTTAGGTAAAAATGAGCTTTTAGCAGTTCGATGAGGTGTTAGATTAGCCTAAAAAGAGTGAATTTAATTTGTGGTCAACCTTTGGGGCAATAAAACGAAAATGTAGTACTGTTTATGAAATGATGATATGTCACTTTTTTGTTTTTTTTTGGAAAAGAAATGATGATATGTCATCAGCAGCATTATGAAACTATTCAAGTTTAATCTATCATCGCCATTGGACTTTTTTTTTTTTTTATTGCTCCCGATATTTGAACCATGATCTCGTGATAATAATTTTTTACCATAACCCTATGATCGTATTTCTAAAATTTCTACTAGAACTCATCCAATTATGCTACGTGGTTGTTCCACATCATCGAATATACCAAAGGATTTGGAAGAAAGCCTATGGAGTTGATCCTATCAAATGTCGATGATACTCAGCCTCATGCGGATGAACGATGGGTTTTTCGAATAACTCCTATATTTTGATTGTCATGAGTCGGGAGCTTAGCATGTTATAACAAAGTTTTCTAATAATTGTTGTCCTATATCCGTCCCAAAACAAGAATCGCGTTCAATTTTAAACTCTTGAGGTAGATAACTTGTAAACATTGAAGTCTCTTTTAAACAATTTGCTCCTACAATTTTCCAAGATTAATTGTCTAGGTGATGTATGTTTTCTTCGATTGGTATATGAAACGTAGTGGCTTTTGGTGAAGCCTTATTGGCAACAAACAACTTTGATACAATACAACCAGATGTTACGTCAGAAGCAAGTAAGAAGAAAATGACAACAAACGTAATTTATACAACGCAAACTCCAAGCTTCCAAAGTCAATTGAATCCTTAAAAAACAAGGAAAAACTTTAAGTTAACATGAAAGGGCAGTACTATTCCAGAATATTCAACTCCTATTTTTTAATTGGCTTTGAGTCACCATTCCATAATTATTGTGGTCTTGATTAGATGCAGTGTAGGAATCCCATCCAGATATTCTAAACCTAAGTATAAAAAAAGGAACTCAGAAAGTATATTCATGCAAATGGTCAAAACTTTATCTGCATCATATGTTTGGAGAATGCTGCTTTGCTCATAATGCATATGGCCATTCTCTTAATCTGCAGAATTCAGATAAACTACTGGATAAGAGTACAGTCATCTCAAACAAAGCAGCAATAATGCATACGCGGCCAGCTTCATCTCTTCCCAATGTGACTGATGGGTAAATTTTTATTTTATTTTTCAAAAAACAAAAGAAATAAGAACAAGTTAAAGACAACAAATTCTTTTCAATCTCAGCTCAGGTTCATGCATGTTAGGACTGTCTGTATTGTATTAGGAACAACAAATGATTCAAGGAACAAGCTTGTACATTAAGCTGACAGTATATCATTGAAATATAGGGGGTGAACACAACATTTTTCACAGATTACAGAAAGTATAACACTATAACTCATAGAGCGATTAGGAAGAGAACCCGAACCACAATGTTTGTTTGCACAACGCAAAAAATTACATATTCCACTTGGCGGTTTGAGGATTTATGGAAACAGGCAAACATAACGCATCCCTCAATTAGGATTAATACCTTAGTATTTTATTCCACTTACTGACTGGACATGGGAGCTGTATCATCAGTTGGCACGTCAGCAGTTGCAGACTTCTTCACGAGAGGTTTAGGTATGCCAATATCTTCTTGTACAGTCCTCTGCTGAGGGTGAGATAATAGTATACACATGTAACGGTAGATGACACGGCTAAGCCCCTGACCACTCTCGAATATGTAGCCCTCATATTCACTGACATGTTCGAGGGCCTCAACAAGAGCATCGTAGACCGTCTGAGGACAATTATCAGGTCCAGGCTTGTCATGCAGGTAGAGCACATCCAAAGTGAAGAGTTTCTGAGTGACTGGCCACTGATGATGCGGGGGTGCTGAAGACCTACAATACAATAGTACCTAAAAGCAATACAAAAAACACACATGAGATCTCATCAGAGTGTCAGCACTTCTCATTCTCAGCGTCGTAGAAAGGAAGGTGAAAAGTCAATAGGCGTCATTGGATAGGCTGAAAATATTATCGATACACGATGCAGTTTGTAAGAGGCTTTTAAAAAAAAAAAAGGTAACATAGTTCTTTTTTCCTAATGTTAACAGGCAAACTCGTTTGTGAAATATTCAGGACAAAGCCTGGATTCTACAAGTGCTAAAATCGATGTTGAAAATAACAAATAACATTCCAAATGTATCAAGAGCTCAATTCTTTCTAAGATGCCAAACTTCTAAAATATATTAATATGGGTGCAAAACTTCATTCAATTTGCTCTCCTTATACCACTTCCACTTTGAATTACTACTCCTAGGCCTTGTTTAGTGTTGCCTGAATCACCTTCTACACGATTTCCCCAAAATGCAGATATAGTACAAGATACAAACTAAAGGAAAGATAAATTTAATTTGTGAAATTCAGGCATAAACAAAACCAAACGTTAAACGGACTTAGAGAAATCTCAAACGATAGTTAGTACGGTTAAATGCTTTTGGGATAGTAATCTTTCAGACATGAAACATTTATCATTTTGTGTCTTATGCTTCAAATTATGTACAAAAGGACTGCACCGTACGTGGATAGCATACGTTGGAAACTAGCACGAAGTAATGAATAGATAACACATAATACTCAGTTAACTTTGTAGCAGCTCAGTATGAAATTTGCTAATCTCTTCTTCACTTACAATTCTCAGGATTCGATTTTGCAAGCGAGATTTTTTCGCTTCATGAGCTGCTATCCTAAATAGTTGTGTCAAATCTGCTTGACCAGAGGATGTATCAAGTGAAAGCCCCCGGAATGCTGATAACACAGAGTCAACATCACTGCTGAACTCTTTCCGAAGCTATAAAAACAATGAGAAATATGTCAATGTTAGAAGATAGGGTAAGCTCTTACTTGACTCTACCTAATTTATCTTTCACAATGGCTTCATAATTTCACCATAAATAAACTTTAATGAACAGTAGAAAGCGAGTATCAAGGAATGGATAAATACATACAATTGAATTATGCTAGAATGCATTATTTGGAGGAAGTAAACAGAAAGAAGAAACAAACATCGTCCTCCTGTTTGAATCAATTCTCTTAAACTTTCATAGTTGGACTGTGAAACTACAACATACTTGCAACCAACCAAGCACATCTCCAGTATCCCACTAACCTTATACTCATTTCCAATATTGTAACCAAACATGGCAAATCAGTCATATCTTCTTCGAGTAATGTTTCAATTCATAACTTTTCCAAAAACATGCTACTATGTAGATTGTGTGTTAAGCAATAGAAGTACTGAAGAAGCAGCAAATATGATCCTATTTCACAAGGAACAGTCATTTTAACTCCCTTCTCATATCCTTATGGAAAAGCAACACCAAATATTGGCATGATTCTTCATAAAAGTAACAAGCAAAAAAAAAAAAAAAAAAGAATTTTGAAAATTTATAAAGCAGGAATTCTTATTGGTGTATATCTTTCTTGAGATTAAGGCTGTGCTTAGTCTGAGTGTCACCTATGACTTGTATATGTTGATATCTGCAGTCATGTAACAATCACTAGCCACCAAAGTTGTACTAATCAATGAAAACGTAAAGATGTATGTTCTCCCTAGAGACATCAGTAGCTATAAAAAAAAAAGACTACTGAAAAATACAATGTCCAACTGTTAACTACAACACATGGAACATGTAAGTGCATGAACACCTTTCAAGGAGACTACCTATCAATCACGACAAAAGTGTTTAAGGTTCGATAAACCTAACAATTGGTTTCCTTACCGAAAAACTCTACTCAAAAATAAAAATAGAATTCTCGATACAATACTCTCCAACAAGAAATTTCGTTATCATTTAGCGATATAAAAATAAAATAAAAATAAAGAAAAACAAAAATACTCCCAAAGGATTTCAGGGCTCAACTAGAAAAACCCCATAACTGAAATTTTCAGCTGATAAATTCACAATGTCTCACCTCCTTGTAAGTGTACTCTGCTAAAGATTTAATTCACCAATGTATCTTTTCCTCAAAGCCAAAAAGATTATCTCCCATGTTTAAGTTAGGGTCCTTTATAGTACCACTATATATAGCTTTCAATTAAAGAAAATCTTCATGACACCCTTCCTCTCTATCTCCAACCACTAAAATATATCCCAATCCACACAAAACAGACATCACCAATATTACAGTGCATATGGAAACAAAGAAGGTAGAGGGACATTGTATCAATTCCAAATTCACATAAACAACCAGATAACCTGAATACCACAGGAACTAACTAAAACCGTCATCAACTCCACGCAAATCAGGACGACAAAATCTAAACCCAACTCTAAACCTTTGACATGACAGCTCTATCATTTTTCACATTCCGTTATCATCCACATGAATCAAACCAAAAGTGCAACGTAGAAGATAAAAACGGATCAAAATAACATAATGCAGCCAAATGCCTAACACAGAACCTTAAAAAAAGCTTAACCCACAAAATAAACCATATGCCATAAAACAATTGGAAAGGAAGGATACCCAGGAAGCAGTTTTCCCCAAAACAGTGAAGGCGAAACGATGATCAGCATTTATAGTGAGCTTAGAGTGGACAAACAGAAGGATTGCTTGCTTAATAATGTCCAATCTGGTAAAGGGCCTGCCATTGGATCCAACAGACTTCATCTCCACCATGGATTCTGGGTCTACATCGATGCAGAACAGTATGTCTTCGCTTGAATACCTATTGGGTGCCACTGTATACCTACTCGATGAAGAAGGTGAAGCTGCCATGGCTGAATCTTGTACCTCTAATCCCTCCATTCCACAAGCAAACAACTCAAAACAATTAGCTCCGTTTCACTCAAAACTTCTTCTTTCCCAAAGCCATGGAATCTTTTCTTTCGGTCGTTTGTTGGGAAAAAATAAGAAAAAGAAAAAAAAATGATTAATGCGTATTTCCGCTACTTATATATACGCTGAGGGGGGCATAAATAATAATATGTGAAAAAACAAAAGAAGAAAAACAATATTTTAGGAAAATTGAGGAAGAAAAAGAAGCTCTAGAAGCGTTACACAGAGTCACACACTGAGAAGAACAGCAGCAAGAAGAATGGCATGCGTCCACGATCACAACTGCGAAGATCATGATTGTTCGGCTGATTGGTCTCTTTACAAACACATAGACCTACCCAAAGTAATCTCCTTTTGTATTATTTTTTTTTTCCTTTCTTTCTCGCTGCATAAATTTGTTGTTTCTTTATCCATTCTGCAATTTTTCGGCTCCTAGCTATTTAGTAATTTGGATGAACTCGTTTCTGGGAAATAGATTGTTAGCGTTAGGATTATCGGTTTTTTTTTTTTTTTTGAACTTCAATATTGAGTTGGAATCCTTGAAGGCTAATTGGTTTGAGAACCCTAAATTTGGGAATTTGCTGAGTGAATTTGCCACTAAATAGTTTCTTGTGGAGAAGTAACTTGCTTGAAGTTCTGTAAAAGCGAAATCAGCTGATTCCTCTTGTCTTGTATACAATTGGTCGAGTGTGATTGAACTGGACGTTTGGTTATTCATTTAGCATCTCTTTATAGGTCCTTGTAACCATTTTTTCACTAAGCTCTACTTTGGTTTGTTTGTGTTCCGAAGGTGTCTGCATTGAATGAGGCTGTCTCTGGAAGTGCAAAATCTGTTTTTAGGGCTTGGGAACACCGCCTAAACGCCTCTGAGGTATTTTTTTTCTTCAGCTGGACTTTTATTGAACCACATTTGACTCTTCTGAGCGGAATGTCTTGTTAATGCTCCTAAACTATGTTGCTTTTGTTTGTAATTCTGTTCAAGATTTTTGCGGTGTTTGGGCATCCATGCCTCAAGTAGTAATCATTGTAAAAGATTTCTTTTGGCTTCATTATAAGTTATGGTGTGATGGTGTGACTTAACTTTTTTGTTTTTATGAAACTAAGTGTGGACATTACCCTTTAAGCAATATTTTTACTTTGCTTCAAATTGGGAATCGCGCCCTTGACTTGCGAAGTTTCAACTTTTGTCTTTGGAATTAACTTTTAAGTTGCATGCCTAAGCATACCGCCTTACACTCTTTGGGAACATGTGGTGGATTTGAAATGCTCTTTGAGGAATTTTTAGTGGATATCATCAAATGTATTCTCCTTGGTGTCCTTATTTGTATGGATTCTTGACATTTGAGAAATAGGTGAATGTAGGATAGCATTTTTTTGCATTCAATTTTTGCCATGTCTAATCTCTTAAATTGCCAATGATATTCTTCAAGAGTCATTTTCTTCTCTTGGTCTTCGCAGAGTTATTTGGAAAGCAATGAGGATGATCCGGAGTTGATTATTTTCATCCCGTAAGCATAGACATTCTTGCTCGGTCTATTTGGTTCTCTTTTTGTTGCTTCAGGTTTACTTGGCCATTTTATGTAATTAATATTGTGAAACTCCAAGCAGCTATGAATTTTTTTAGTTTCCCCCAGTAGAAGTGGCAACAGGGACCTTGCCGTGATATTCACTTATCCTGCAATTACAGTTTAATGGCAAGAAATTCAATAATTGTTATTTTTGGCTAACTTGTGAAGTGAATTTAAACATCTCATTGCCTAACAAATTATTTAAGGTATTGTTTATACTGCCATGTGTCGCCACTTGATTATTTAAATAAATAATGCCTGATTCTGAGTATTCATTTTCATGTGCAGTAAATGTATGCAACTGTTGTTTCCTTCTGATGTTATCTTTTTTCTCTGGTAGATTTACCTCAGATGTTAAAATCAAGGGGATATCAATCGTGGGTGGTGCTGATGGTACAAGTCCTGCCAAAATGAGAGCGTGAGTTTAATCATCTTGTATTATTGTTGGCGTTCTTATCCTGTTAGCAGCATTTATGAATTGTTCACCGATAATTTAGTGCCATAATGGACAAAATTCCGCACAAGATGCAGGTTTATCAACAGGGAAGGTATTGACTTTTCAGATGCTCAATCTATGCAACCTGTTCAGGTATGTTTGTATCAGAATCTTCAAGAGTTAATAACTGCTTTGTGCCTCCATTTGCTTATACTGCTTCCTTTTTCAAGGAATGGGATTTGGTGGAAAACTTCCAAGGAGTTTTGGAGTACCAGACAAGGTAAGCCAAGTTTGTCGAAAAGACATATATCACTTGTGATATTTGAGTAATCATTTATGTTAATCATTTATTTTTCGAAATTCTTATTTTGTAAGTCATAAAGTTGGCTGTTATTTTGGTACTCCCTCCATTCCAAAATAAGTGTCGTTTTGGCAAAATGGAGAAATTCCAAAATAAGTGTCGTTTTCGGATTCCAATGCATTTTTTGTCAAAAATTTCCAAACATACCCTCAAAAGAAATAATATTATTGGTGAACATTTATTTTAATGGGGTTGGTTGAGGATATTCTAGTAATTTAGTTACCTTATCTAATGTTTTCTTAAACTATGTGCAAACTCTAGAATGACACTTATTTTGGAACGGAGGGAGTATTATAAACTTCTTATTTTTGTGACGCTGTTGATGTAACCAGATATTCGAAGTTTCAGAGTGTTGCAAATATCACTTTGCATTTTCCAGAAAACTTTGGTGGTGATACTACTCAAATACTTTACATCGGTTTAAAAGGAGAAGCTACTCAGGTAATTTGAGTTAGATAGTCCTGTAGTTTATCTCTAGAGCAATATCTTGTATGGCCTTTCTAATCAGTCAAATATGCTAACCTAAGCTTACTTACTTTACAGTTGAAGAGAGAATTTGTTGGTACCATTGTCTACGAACTCAGGCCAAATCCTTCGGACCACAAGTAAGTATATTTGATATTTCTAGTATTTTGTTGAGAAAAGGTTTAAACGACAATACTAGGATTTGATCATTCCCCTTGTCCTCTTTGGGTTTCCAGCTCAAAGAGTACAAGCATCTGTGAAATGTTGTATGTAGGTTATTAAAACATCCTTTGGTGTTGCCTAGGTTCCACGTCTCTGTTGTTCAAAACTGCTCTGCTTTAAAAATTATGCTTCCACAGATGAACAATTCTTTGTGATTGGTTGAAGTAGACTGATAAGTTGAGGACATCTTTGTAGGACACGATCTGAAACTGGAGGTGGCTTTTCGCATGTAGAATGAGGAGGCCGCTAAGACGTAGTATACTGATAATGATCTGGAACTGGAGGTAGCTTTTCACATGTAGAATGAGGAGGTGCTTAAGACTTAGTATATTGATATGATATTTGCTGGTGTACATTTAACTTTAGACACCCCCCAAGAAACTAATGTTTACGTTATTCTGGATCCATCATGGATGGCTTTTCTCTATGATGATGTCAATCTGATGACTTTATTTACCTATTGGCTTCTCAAAGCTAAATAATGGTAGAAATTGTGCACCCGTTGCACCATGCATTGTGTATTCCGAGTGTGTATAACCCGCCACGGCCACGTACAGCAGGCGCTAGTCATTAGCCCATTTGGCTGATATGGTTTATGACTATAATAATAAAACTTCATTCATCCCAAAATGATTTTTTTTTTCTTATGATATTACTAATTTAATTCAATCATGAAACCATAAATGAGAAAGATTATATTCTAAAGCTACCATTAGTACCAATAATCAAAATTAGATTCTTTCAACTGTTGACACTAGTCAGTAATCTCGCCCCCGGGGAACCAAAAAAAAAAAAAGAAAAAAAGAGAGAATCCTCTTAAAGTAGGAAAAGACTGCGTGGACATCATTTAAATCCATAGATTTTCTGGGCAGAGGGACCAAAGGCCGCCGTTAACAGCTGAACAAAAGGTGCTCTGTGCTTCGTATTGGGCAGCGCGCGCTTTTTCTTTTTTTTTCCTGGCTACCGCTTAGGTTTTCCTTTCTTCCGCTTCCGCCGTTGATTATCGAGTTTAGAGCTTGTCTGAGAAACGTACGTCACTCAATATTCTCACATCGATTCACCTGAAACTCATTCTATTCAAGTTTCGATTTTTCTTACATTTCTTTTTCGAATATCGTTATTTGTTTCTTAATTTCTTTTTCTGCGAGCGTCCCAGATAGTCAATAAAGCTCTTGTGTTGTTAATATCAGCTTGCTCTGGCCTTTGAGTGTATGTGCTATGTATTCAGTTTCCGTTAGGAACTGCTCCTGGATTTGGGCTGATTAATTTGCAATTTTCCTTTTCTTTTTCTTTTTTTATTTGACTGAATTGAAAACTGTTGTTAATCTTCTGATTTTCATTTGCAGGAATTTAGTGAACATTATTAAATATGCAGGCTAGTAGCGGTGCTGCTGCAGTGATGGGTTCTCTTCAACAACCCGTTTGGGTTAAGGGACCAGCTTTTCCCTCTAAAGGGTTCGGCCTTGGTGTGACTCAAACTCAGCTGAAAATGAATTCTGTTGGTCCCCTTAAAAGCTCTAAGCTTGAAGGCAGCTTGGTCACTGGAAGACCTCCATCTTCTGTTTCTGTTGCTATGCCTGAAATAGGAGGTACCATTTGTTAAAAGTCCCGGGTTTTCTTGAATTTCAATGATTTTTACTGCTTCTGTTATTTGTGAGGCTTATTTGTGAAATAAGAGGTACCATTTGTCATTTGTTAAACCTTCAGAATTCTTGTTTGTGAGGCTTCATGATAAAAATTGATTAATTGCCACTTTTACTGCTTCTGTTACTTTCTTGTGATACTAGGAGTGCCAATTGTGTCCCCGTGGCCTTTCTATCTCTAAATCAGGAGTTCTTTTCTTGTTTAATCAGGTCTTCAAGGCAGCTTTTCTGACAACAGCTTGGGGGATACTGATCCTGAAGTGCAATCTATAATTGCTGATGAAAAGGAAAGGCAATTTAGAAACTTAAGCCTTATTGCCTCTGAGAACTTTACATCCAGAGCTGTGATGGAAGCAGTCGGTTCTTGCCTCACAAATAAGTATTCTGAAGGTTTGCCTGGTAAAAGGTAAGCTTTAGTTCATTGTAAGTGATGTCTGGCCTCGTGTGTTTAATTGGAGTTATGAATTTACCATAATGCATACTTTTGTTTGTGTCATGTATCAGATACTATGGTGGGAATGTGAACATTGACAAGATGGAAATTCTTTGTCAAGAAAGGGCTTTGAGAGCATTTCACTTGGATGGGGAGAAGTGGGGAGTGAATGTTCAGCCTCTTTCTGGTTCTCCTGCTAACTTTGAAGTCTACACGGCTATTCTTAACCCACATGACCGCATAATGGTAAGTTATCCTACTTCCATTGCGTTTAGGTCTTTATGAAATAATGAATTCGAATTCGTGTTGTAGGACTTGTAGCTCGGCAGTCCCCTGGGTGGGTTTGATTGTCCTTCCAGTTTTGTTCTGTAGAATTATGAGGAATTTTTTTGGTTCAGGGATTGGATTTACCTCATGGAGGACACTTGTCTCATGGATTCATGACTCCTAAAAGACGTGTATCTGGCACATCCATTTATTTTGAGTCAATGCCTTATCGGCTAGATGAATCTACAGGTACATATTCAGATGTATAACTTTTTTATTATTATTTTCTCTACTTTTTCTTTCCAAAAGAGAAAGCCAACCATTTATGTCTTCCACATTTTATCAGGCCTTGTAGATTACGACATGCTCGAGAAAACGGCTATTCTCTTTAGGCCAAAACTTATTATTGCCGGTGCAAGTGCTTATCCTCGTGATTTTGATTATCCACGAATGCGCAAGGTTCAATTCTTGCAGTCTTGTTTCATACATGTTCAGTGTAGATGCCTGAGCGTTTGTCCTTGCTTTATCTGATTCACTTTTTTACTGCATTACTTTCAGTTCACTAAATTTTGCCATGTTTTACTTCTGAAGATTGCAGATTCAGTTGGTGCTTTCTTGATGGCTGATATGGCTCACATAAGTGGACTTGTAGCTGCTTCAGTTGTTGCTGATCCTTTTGAGTACTGTGATATTGTGACTACAACGACACACAAGGTTGAACTGAAGCAGATTTTATTTTTATTTTTTATGTTTACTTTTGAAGAATCTTTTGAGCAATGCAGCATATGAAGTCTGTGGAAGTTTATGTTACTTCATTGATGAAGTTCTAAGCTTCTGTTCGCTGTAGTTTGATAAATTACTTACTTGATGATCAATGCAATTTCTTTTGCCCGTGATGCTTTTTTCAGTCCTTAAGAGGCCCTAGAGGAGGAATGATCTTCTTCAAGAAGGATCCTGTTCTTGGTGTTGATTTAGAATCAGCCATCAATAATGCAGTTTTTCCGGGGTTACAGGTCAGATAATGCTCGACTCCCCTACCTTTTGGTCATTCTGCTATTTTCTTAGATTAGGTGTTTTGGTATCTAACTGAAAATTTAGTGGCTGAGGCATCATTGTTGTTCTCTTAGGGTGGTCCTCATAACCATACAATTGCGGGTCTTGCTGTCTCTTTGAAGCTTGCTCAATCACCAGAGTTTAAGACTTACCAGAAGCAGGTAATGTATTCTTAAGGGGGGGAATAAGGTTTGTGTTATACTGTGTACGAGATTCTTACCTTTCTCTGGTTCTTGTAGGTGGTTGCAAATAGTAGAGCTCTTGCAGACAGGTTGATCAGCTTGGGATACAAATTGGTTTCTGGAGGGAGTGATAACCACTTGGTTCTTGTGGATCTCAGGCCATTGGTGAGTTTGTCTCTGGTTATTTCCTTGTTTGCATTCCATGCTACGGAAGTTTACTGGAAGAAGTTATTTTGTACACATAAAGTCAGTTCTGACCTATCTATTGAACTAACTCATAAAGCGGTATATTGGTTATACATACTAATCAATGTGCAATCTGTTGATGTAGGGGATTGATGGTGCCAGAGTGGAGAAAATACTCGATCTGGCATCTATTACGTTAAACAAGAACTCAGTCCCTGGTCAGTGTTGTGTCATCTTTCCTTTCAACCCGAGCCCCCTTTCCCAAAAGAAAGTTCTTTTTAGTGTATTATTATTGCATTCAGATGGTACTCACCCTCCTAATTCTGGGTTTTTCAGGTGACAAAAGTGCACTTGTCCCGGGTGGTATACGCATGGGTGCTCCGGCTATGACTACTCGAGGTTTCACTGAGAACGACTTCGAATCAGCAGCAGACTTCATCCACGAGGGTGTGCAGATTGCTCTTGCAGCCAAAAAGGCTGCCCCAAGTTCCAAGGTTCAAGATTTCATGAAGTTTGTCGAGTCTCCAGATTTCCCTTTCACCCAGCGGATATCAGAATTGCAGGGAAGAGTCGAAGCTCTTACAACCAAATTCCCATTACCCGGTGTATGAGGTTATAGTTTTGTTAGAAGAGCGAGTTGTATCGTCGTTGTGGTGCTGAAATGGTAAAACCCAATTTGATAAAACGGGTTGAGCACATGAACAATTTTGGAGTGTTGAGTTTGGCAATGGTCAAGTTTCTCTGACATTCATGCAATCATGCTAATGTATGTGTTAGCTAGCTGTAGCTGCTAGTTGGGATGAAGGAAACTTGATATTTAACCAGTGAAAAGTTAGTCTGTTTTATGGCTGATTGCAAAATAAAGTTTAACTCGGACACAATTGCAAGTATATTTGAGTGATCAGAACTCAGGGTATAATTGGTTTAAGGGTCAGGTCGTTTTTTTAGCTAAGAGACTAAGGACATGCCTAATGGTTTGAACAAATTTTGAATGTCCAAACAAAACTACTTAAATATGCAAGCAAATCCATTATCAGAATTCGGAACATTTCTTCCACCAAAAAAAAAAAAAAAGGAGAATTCAAAACTGAACGTTTATATGGGCCTACGAGATCCACCGAGAAGAGGTCAGGTCCACACCCATATTACCTAAATAGAGTTACGGGGAATAGTAGGCCCAAGTCTGATTAAAAAGCATAACTGAGCCCACTTGTGTTTCCAGTTAATAATCCGCCTCCCTTCGTATAGAACTAGGGTTTTAGGATTAGGAAGAGAACATTTTCCTCCGATTAAGCGATTTGATATTTTTCGCCGGCATGTCCTACAGTATACACGATGCCGAAGAAGGGTGAAGATGCAAAATCTGCTGTTTCTCTAGAGAAAAAGAAGAAAAAGCCCACTTCTGGCTCATCGTCTTCGGCACCTGAAGACCAAACGAAGAGCCTATCTGCTAAAGAACAGATTAATGCAATCTTCGCTTCTGTCGGAAAGAAAAGGAAGAAGCCGGATGACGATAAAGACAAGAAACCCAAGAAGAAAGAAACCCTTGTAAACGATCCCACCAAAAGGGTTTCGAAAATTTCTGGCGGTGATAAGTTGAATTCGAAGAAAAATGACAGTAGCAGCAGCAAGAAGGTGAATAGGGATAGAGGTCCCAGGAAGAGGACTAAGGATGGTTTAGCAATTTATACAGAAGACGAATTGAATATTCGGAATCCGAATGCTGGAAGAACTCGCCTCTGTCCATTTGATTGTGACTGTTGCTTTTGAAAGGCATCTTCAGCTGCTTGTTCATCATCCTCTGCAGGTGGAGTTCATTTGCAGAAATTCGTAGGTTCGTTTTGCTGTATTGTCTGTATCCTTTAAAACTATACAAATATGAGTTGAATCATTGCCAGCTCAAAGATCCAATTTTTGATTTTTTGAATAACTAGTCCCAGAACTTCAATGTTTGACTAGTTTTGTTACCTATGTATGTATTCTTCTGTCAATCACTGGTAGAGTTTGTAATGTTCTGATTGTTAGAAGTTTGTATGCGGTTATTGAAGAGCCCCTGTTCGAAGAAGCATTGGGTTTTAGAATGTAGGTCGATTCTCTAGGAATTGTAACATCTATATCATTGGATTTTCCTCTTTGTCGATTTCGGTTTTCCTTGATTGTGGATTCAAAATGCAATGTTGCATGCGGAGGAAAATATTGTTGGCCATCTAAAGATGCTTTCTTTTTTTGCTGCTAAATTCCTGGAAATGTATTGATTTCTTTAGCCTTTGTAAACTAGAAGGTTGATAGTCATAATTATGACGGGCAAAAAAGAGTGTTGCCAATCAGGAATAATTGTATGAAGAAGTTGATTGTCACCTCTGATGAACCTTGGGGATCACTGTTTGTCTACAATTCTGCAATAATGATCTTTGGAGTAATGTTGTTGCAGCTAATGCAAAAAAGATGGATGAAATTTATCAGTTTCAGCAGAAATTTGAGAACATCTTGAACCTGCGATCACATCTTCACTTTGGTATTCCAATTTCACTCTTCAAATGTGATGTACTGTCTTATCTTCCTCCCTAAATGAGGAAAACCATGGTAATTTAATTACCCTTTTACTTTAGGCTGTTGAAAGAGGGTTATAAACATCATATTGTTCGGTTAGTCCTATATCTATTTGGTTCAAAGTTTTTGAAGATCCATTAAGAAATTGATTTGGAAGTATGTCTTTTATTTTTGTGAGGGCCTTGAGAATTTGGGAAGCTTACTAGATTTAGATTAGGAACGCATCCATCGAATCATGAGCTTTAGGAACAGGGTGATGTGGCTGGTGAATGATTGTTCATCTTTGCCCTGCGTGTTTATATTATATCAAAGCACCGGATGTGAGGCCATTTCAATTCTTAAAAGATGCATCTTTCAGCTCTTCAATGTCATGAGAAGGAAGATTTTGCCATCGTACTCCCCTTTTATTTTCACCGAAGAAAAACAGTACCAAGGTTCGATTATAGTAAATTCCAATATTTCTGTGCTCATGTTGATGAAACTACAACTTTAACTGCTAAAACAAGTTGTATAGATAATACTAGTTCTTGGGCAATGAAAGTATCTAACATAAACTATATATGCCAACTTGTCCTTGACCCAGACTGATGTTCTTGGTGGACATATGCCACCCTTCAAAACACTGTTATGGCCTTGATGTTTCCCTTTCCAATTTGCATGTTCATTCCCTAAGAGTTGGTTATTTTCAAATCATCACTTGCTCTTCTTTAGTCAAACTAAAGAACCATTATTCTGCAATATGTTTCATTTCTCCCCTGCTGTCTCTTATGCTCTGAGGGTTGAACCAATTTCATTCTCCGCTGCATCTGTTATGGCGGTGTTGGACTTGTTCCAATGCAGAGATCAAAGTCCTAGGCTGATTTCCAGTGAGATTCAACTCTCATTAGACATTCCAGATTGCAAAAATCTCTTCGCACCTAAAGAGATTACACATTGCAGGAAAATATTATACCCTTTCATTAAGTTTCTTACCAGAGGAGTACTACATGATGCACAAAACATTCTATTCTTGCATTTTTTTTATCCGGTCTTATAAGGCTTTGCCATTTGAACCTGTAGCAAATGATGTGTGTATGATTGAGAATTGCTCAAGTTTTTTTCTTTTCATTCCTTCCTTCCTTTGTTCTTTACTATCTGCAACTTTAACACAGTGCACAGTTTTTTCATGTTCTTCCTTCCTCTTGTTATTTAATATCTGCAACTTTTAATATTGTGCACTATGGTTCATTCTTTCTGCAAAGTGTCCTTTGCTTTTAAAGATCCAAAATACCTCTTATTGATATTTTTACAGTTTGATTTTTCATTTCTTGAAATGATCCAATAGTATTATTAAGACAGTGATCAGAACACTGAAAACTGGCATACAATGTAACACCAATTAAGAAGAAAGTGTAGAATTACAGGGCCTCAGAGATCTTGGTGGATAAAGGATCATCAAGTAAGCCAAAAATGGCTCATCAAGAGTAGCAAATATTTTCTTCCATCATCGGCCAACACAAATGAAATAGATTAAAACAAATTTGCAACTTTTGACAGTCACTAAAATTGTGCAAATCATTACAAAGCATAATCAGACAACTAAACATGCAAAAAAAAAACCCTAAATGATTATGTTCGAAATGCAAGCAGTGGAAATATTCAATATAAGTTAGGTGTAAGATGGTGTGAAAAGAGGGGTCAGAAGTAGCTGGTTGTATGATCACTTTCTGAATGAATCATTGGGAATCCGTCTGATTTTTTCATCATCCCCCAACAGAGCACACACCTTAACAAAGAAGCAGATAGTAAAATACAAGCAAATTCATAGACTACAAAAAAAATTTAACTTTGAAAGGATTAAAGATTTGAAAAGGAAAGCTCAGAAGCCAAGCGTAACAATTACATTTCATCGAAGAAACAATATGATCAAGACTGAATCTTCTTACATGTTACTCTTCATCATGGCTTTTGATATAAAAAAAATAATCATCAAAAAAAATACAGAAAAGCAGTAATTGCAAGAAAGAAATTTAGCCACTCATAATTTGAAGGAAAGCCATGAAAACAAAAGCTTCCTACAATCGTGATTGAGCAGCTCGTTATTGGCACCATGCAAAAGGTGGCTTGTCACTGGATTTCTACAAAACCCCCGTGTCTGACTGGAGTGCCTTTCTTTCTTTTCAGATCTTAAACATCAATTATGATAACAAAACTACATTCTTACTTTTCAATTGATACTAATAGCAGAGCAAACTGACAGAGATAAAACCAAAAAGCATAAAAACACACAAAGGATTAAATGAAACGAATATTTTTGACGAATTAGTAAATGTGTCCAGGCTATTGTGTCAAGAAACAACCAAAGAAAGTTTCATGGATCTTCAGACTGGGTAAATTCATATTGGCTCGATGCGGCAGACGGGTTACCACTGAAATTGGCACCTGCTGTTGACTCGATTATAGAGCCGTAAACAATCTTCCGAAAGAAGAAGTAAAATCATATAACAGAGCAAACAATTCAATAGCTAAACATATCCCATGAATCTTAACCAGAACGAATTCGAACAACCCAGATTGGTTCTGTGCTAATCAAGCAGAATCCCCCTCGAGCTTTCCATCTTCAGACTCAATTGGTATGGTGGCCACCGGAGACCAGAGGCAGGTTTCCCGGCCAATCAACCGATTGAGCTTGGAGGAGGAAAATAGAGAGATACAGAGTGGAAGCGGCGTCGTGGGATTTATATATTATGTGGACGAAGAATCTGCTAACCCTAGAGTTGGGAAGGGTTTAAGAAATTTACATTTTGAGGACTCTGACAATTCAAGTATTGTATTTTGAACCCTTTTTTATTCTATAAGTTTTTTCTGCTATTTTTGTAAGGGAATAGGACAAAAAATCCCCTGAGTTATGTCTAAAAGATAAATTAGCCCCTAATATTTTATATAAGTTCAATAACTCCCTTACCGCCAAGTCAAAGGACAATTTACCCCTTGCATTAGCAAATTTTAGTGTAAAAATACAGAAATGCCCTTAAATCTAAAAAGAATTTTTTTAACACCAAACTTACCTTCTAACCAACTCGTTAATTTTAAAAAAAATTTATAAATTATATTATCCGTCATTTTAAATCCGTTGTTGACTTCGTTTTGATGCATTATTTCTCCCTATCACTATCGTCTCAATAAAATAAATCTAAAATTGAGAATTTAATCTATCAAAATCATAAATTTCATTTCTTATTTATCCGAAGAAATGAAATTATGGTTTTGATAGATTAAATTCTCAATCTCGGGTTTATTTTTATTGAGACGGCAGTGATAGGGAGAAATAATGCATGAAAACAAAGTCAGCGACGAATTTAATCGGATCCAAACTATTTAAGGATTTTTAAAAAAAAATAAAATAAACAAATTGATTGGAAGGTAGGGTTTTTTTTTAAAAAAAAAATTAGATTTAAGGGTATTTTTGTTTTTTTCACACTAGTATTTGCTGATGCAGGGGGCAAATTATACTTTAACTTGGTGGTAGGGGATTATTGTCCTTATATAAAATATTATGGGTAATTTGTGCTTTGGACATAATTCAGGGAGGGTTTTGTCCTTTTCCATATTTTCCTTTTTTTTTTTTTTTGTCTTGTCTGGGATTGGGACCTAGGCCATAAGAATGAGCCCCAACTGAGCTAATTTCCACATAAGTGGGCACCAATTAGATTTCTTTTCATTTGGTATGTAACTCCAAAATCCATGTAGAGCAGTTAGCCTAATAAAGCATTTTGATTTAGTTGATTTGAAGAATTGGGCACCAAATAATTAATATTGTATCTTAATACTCCCAAATCCGCATGTATATTCTCTTGTTACCTTTGGAAAACGAAATAATAAAAACACTTGCAAATGTATTTGGGTTTTCATAAATCATAACGCTAAATGAGTTGATACTTTAAAGTTCAAACATTACATTGATGTTCCTCTTCAAAAAAAGAAAAAATAAATTAAAAAATAAAAAAATTAATGGCCCTATAATCATTTAGAATAGCACCCAAGTCTCAACCTCATGGGCACGAGGTGACTATTGAATTTGATTTGTGATTTTTCATCAAGACGTTTGCAAGGTTAGTTTACAGGTTGAGGACTATTTTTTTCACGTTCATATATTTTTCAAAAAAAAAAAAAAAGCCATAAGCGTATCGACATTATCATGGGGACATAATTTGAATCTTATTGTATTTGGGTTATTAATGAATAATGACTAATGGCTAATCATTTGTTGTTACTGTTGAAAATATAATATTAAATTTTAGTTAGAATATGATGTGATTAAGGTACCATATTCTGAAATGTGCTCATATAATTATTTCAAACTATGATCTCCATGATTGTACTAAAAAAAGATGTAGCATTAAGAAAAAGATAAAGATACAGTTGTGTAAAATACTGAACGGTAAAAGAACATCGAGCCGGACTTGAGCCGTCTTTTTATTTTCCTTTTATTTTCTCTTTTTCTTTATGTTCTTTAAAATTAATTTTTTTTTTCCTCTCCTCTTCAAATTTTTTACGAAAAAACTTCTCACTCAGATCGATTATTCTTTCTTCCCTTATTCTGAACCTTCCATAGGTAATCATGCGGAGATTCAAAAGCAATTAACTAAAAAAAACTCGGTCTTATATATAGTTTCCTCATTAATTTTAGATCAGTAGAAAAATTTTGACTCGTTGAACTCGAATTATTGATTTTCAATTCAACGAGCCGAGGCTGAACGAGCCGAGCTTGAGCCGGGTAATCTGTCAAACCAAGGCGGAGCTCCTACCGGGTCAGTAGTTGACTTTATTAGAACCAAAAAAAGAGAGAGAAAAAAAAAAGAATAAAAAAAGAGGTTAGGTGGCAAACGAGATCGCCTCCATTGCTGAACACGTTGAATTTCTCTGCAGTGAGCACGTTTAATTTGTTGACTGGACCCCTGCCTGCTTTACCGAATTTCCCATTTCCAATTTTTTGAACCCTTTCGTCTTCCTCACGACTTCTGGGAGTCCAAGACTTTAAAGAAAATCCTTTTTCTTTTGCAGAACCCATTAAAGTATTGTTAGTGATTCGAGATCTCCGTCGTATTGGAAGGATTAAAGCTGGGATTTTGTAGGCATGGATGTTACCACAGCTTCTCCTGTTTTACCGCAAATGAGGATGCCCTCTTTGAATTCTCACGGCGTCTGCAATGATAACAGTTCTTCCTTGTAAGATTTTTGCAGAATTCTGCATTGTGTTTAAGCTGAAAGATAGCATCTTTTTCTTTTTTTCCCCTATTGTCTTGATGATCTTAAGTTGGAAGATCAGAGGGGTTTTTTTTTTTTTTTTTATCGATCATGGCATCAGGGATTTAGGAGTGGGTGGTAGTTAGTGAATTCTGTATCTAGTATCAACTTCTATTGTTTAGATACTGTAAAATTTATCGTTTTCTCCATAATATGTTTCAAAAATTATGGGCGGAAGCATTCATACGCTATTAGAAATATTTAGTTACATTCTTCTTGGTTCCATATTCCCGAGTAGAATTATGTGCAATTGAGTTCATTTTAGTCAAATTGGAAACCAGCCGCCATGTTATGTATATTGAGTGAAGTAAAATTTATTTTGTCGTTGAGTGACATTGATAGCTTAAAGTGCAGTGGTTGGAAGTTTCCGATGTAGGTCATTTTTTGTTCTCGTGGTAGAGTTACATTTTTTTAGTTAGCGTTTCAGTGTAGTTTCTTCAAATCATCTGTAAATTTAAACATTCGAGGTCTTGCCCTTTGTAGGTTGTGTTTTCAGAATAAGGTGTCTGTAAATTCCTGCAAGCTTTCACATGGGAGGTCGCAAATTCGTTGTCAATCTAATGAAGCAACCGTCACTCCAAGTTTTGAGTACAAATATAGAAACAGACAGGTCATTGGAGGCCTCTCTGTTCAAAGTCATAGGGAGCCTGTATGGAAAGTATCTTGCTCTGCTGGGGTACTGACACATCCCCGAAATCATAACGAGGCTCACTCGTCCACTGCAGAGGAAAAGATTGGTGTGCTACTTTTAAATCTTGGAGGACCGGACACGCTTAATGATGTTCAGCCATTTTTGTACAATTTGTTTGCTGATCCTGTATGCTATTCTCTGTCTTTTCTTTTCTTTTAAATGCTTTTTAGCTGTTCTAGATGATGTTAAGGGGTTTCTCACTAATAAGTTTGTTGGTGCTCTACTGCAGGATATTATACGTCTCCCTCGGTTATTTCGTTTCCTACAGCGTCCACTAGCACAACTCATTTCTGTTCTCCGAGCTCCCAAGAGTAAGGAAGGTTATGCTGCCATTGGAGGTGGTTCACCTTTGCGTAAGATAACAGATGAGCAGGTACACATACCAGATTAAGTTCCTTTTTCCATGTCTTATACAGTTAGCATTTCTTCGTTCCTGCTGTTGACATTTGTTTTGCACTTGAAGGCAAACGCTTTGAAGGAAGCACTTGAAGGCAAAAATGTTCCTGCAAGTGTCTACGTTGCTATGCGTTATTGGCATCCATTTACTGAAGAAGCTGTTCATCAGGCGAGTTTTGAGCTTGTTAAAATGTTCTCCTTGATTTCAATTGTATGCTGTGATAAATAGACGTACTTGCTTCTGATAAACAATCATCAAGAAAAGAAAAAGGTGTCCCTTTAGTGCATAACCGTTTCTGCCAGAGTTGTTTGTTAAAAGTCATTGATATTTCACTCATTTCGACTATAGATAGATATGTAGGGGTTTTACTTGCCAAAGATTCCCTTTATAGGACTGACTTTTTAGACAAGGCATCATGCTGGAGCGCTTATCTCTGAAAGCTTGTTATTTTTGTTCGATGAATGTTAGCTTCCTGGACCTCTTTCGTTGCAGTCAGAATCTTTTGCATTTCTGATCTGACTGTGACTCATCGGAAGCACTTTCTCCATTCCTTTTTTATGATGTTTGATAAAGCACTCCTCTTTCCTTTATGGCTCTCGCTGGGTTTTTGCAGTTTGGTTTAACTAGCGAGCTGAAAGTTAGTATTCAATTATAGAATTACATTTCTCATCAAAAAGCTTTTCAGTTCGATAGTTTTTTCTTCATTTTTTTTTGGGGTGCATTTATGAGGAAATAAATCTCTTCTCAGGCTCCTGCATGTAGGGCTTATTAAGGACAGATGCTTTAGAGATGAGAGATGAAAGTTTTCTGACTTCTTGTACTTGATTTTCTTACACTAGGATTGATATTGTTCAACCTGTTTACCAATATAAGATTAAGCTTTTTCAATTGTGTAATAAGCCCTGTTCCAATCTGCCAACTGCTCTCCACTGTGAATACATGTATCTTAATGACATATAGAGGGTTGTGATTTGACTGATTTTGTTATGTACGACAGATTAAGAAAGATGGGATCACAAAGCTCGTAGTACTTCCACTATATCCTCAATTTTCTATCTCCACGACTGGATCAAGCATCCGTGTTCTTCAAAACATGTTCAAGTAAGGTTATATATTTGAGAGCTTCAAATAGGCTTGGGATTATTCATTTGTTTCTTTGGTGAGATTCACGAATTTTCACTCTCATATTATATTCAACGTGTATCCTCCTTCAGGAATGATGCAAAATTATCAACTCTGCCCGTTGCTGTTATTCAGTCATGGTATCAACGAGAAGGATATATCAAGTCTATGGCTGACTTGATTGAGAAGGAGTTGGAAGTTTTCTCTAATCCAAAAGAGGTTGGTCATGTTACACCATGGTTAGGTTGCTTCATTATTTTCAGTGAGACTAATTTGTTGGTTGTTATGGCATGGTCAGGTGATGATATTTTTCAGTGCCCATGGAGTACCAGTTAGTTACATTGAGAATGCTGGCGATCCCTATAAAGCACAGATGGAGGAGTGCATATTCTTGATAATGCAAGAACTGAAAGCAAGGAGAATAAATAATGATCATACTTTGGCTTACCAGGTTTGTCATAGCATTCTTGATTTCAAGTGCATTTGTAATCCTTTGTTGGTTGCAGTTGGCTTAATTAAGGATGTTAACTTGCAAAATGTGTTGCAACTTTTCTTTTCCCTATTTTCATTGTTTTTTTCCAATCACCGATGCAGAGTCGAGTGGGGCCTGTGCAATGGCTCAAACCCTATACAGATGAGACCCTCGTTGAGCTTGGTCAGAAAGGTGTGAAGTCCCTGCTGGCAATTCCTGTTAGGTATGTGTTGGGGTAGATTGTGCTTCATTTGTCACTCACTTTTTTGCCTCTCGTATTTTCTTGCAAAATTACTTTTGTTTTGGGATCCTCTTCTTCCATAACCTTTGCATTTTGATGCACAATCCTATAGGTAGCAGAATCTATTTCCTCTGTTCTTGCAACACGGCTCCCAGTTAAACATCAGATTTCTTTTGGAATAATTTTTTTTTTTTCTTTTTATCTTCCATGTTGCTACCCTATCTTGTATTGTCGTAGACTCCTCCATTGTTATAGAAAAGCCATACCTTGTCTTAATTTAAGCCTCAGGAAAATGAGGCTGTTGGGGTGATTGTACAGTTTTAATTCGAAGTATTAATGGCCTAGAAACAGTAAGGTTTTTTGAATTCTGATCTGAGGTTTTGTTGCAGTTGATAATGTCTGATTTGTGACGCACTGATACTTAGGCAGTAGAAACTCAGGTTGTGGTATCTGCTGATTTGCTTAATAAGTTTATTCACATTGCAGCTTTGTGAGTGAGCACATAGAGACCCTCGAAGAGATTGACATGGAATATAGAGAACTTGCTCTTGAATCCGGCATCTCAAATTGGGGCCGTGTTCCTGCACTGAATTGCACCCCCTCATTCATCAGTGATCTTGCGGATGCAGTCATTGAAGCATTGCCTTCAGCTGTGGCTAGGTCGCCCTCAACCAGTACATCCGAAGAATTTGACGATGATCCCATGAGATACATTTTCAGATTGCTCTTCGGTTCACTATTGGCTTTTGTTTTGCTTTTATCTCCAAAAGCCATATGGGCACTTCGGAACAACGTTCTTTAATCTAGGAAATACCACATACGAGAAACTGTGAAGAATTTTGTGTAGGCAAGGATGAGGAAGGTCAATGCACTGAAAATAGTGTCTACTCTGTATGATCAATTGATAATTTGATGATATGCAGAGGTACAAGAATCCTCCATCCACACTATGCTTCCCATTCTTGTATCAAAAACTTGCTCTATCCCTTGATTTTGAGGAAGGAGCATCCAGTAACACTGAAATTTTTTTTTGTCTTGGTATCTTCTTTTTTTGTCTAGTTGCAACTTTCTCATGGTCTGGTTTTTATTAGTTCTCTCTGATGTCCATGTGCGAGGACGGAAGGTCCCTCTCCTCCTCCGAGAACAGAGAAGGTCCGTATCAATCTATTTCAACATTCTAGCTTATCCTGGAATTGGATGTAGAACTGAGAACATCGGATTTGGAATTGACGATTGAAAAGCACGAGACAAGTTGGAAATGTTACACTCTCGGTCTTACTGTTTCGTTTGTTGTACTAAAGACAATTTTTGGCGGGTTTGGCGGGAGGTGAATTGTCAAAATACTTTCAAGCTTCGAAACTCACTGAATTTCTCACTATATGGAGACAGTAATTTTATAGGAAATCTGATCCTGGTACAAATGCAACAATAGTAAGCCAGCATAGGATGACTCAAGCAATTCAACCATGAATTCCTCTTTTCACTCCGCATAGGATTATAAATCACTTTCTCGAATCAAATTGGTGGCCTTCATGCATGCTTCTTCTGTCATTGTAGTTTTTCTTTCTGCTACTAGTAGGTTTATCATCAATTCATGAAAGCGATGAGGGCCACGATTCCTTCGACAAACTGGTGTTTAGCCCCCTTGTCCGTGGAACATTGTTCAATAGTTATCCATATGGAATCATTCTCGGAAAATCAACCGAAGGTGTTCCAATGGCCTACTCATGATCTGACTATTTCGGTACGTTTAACCTCTTTAACATATTCATATGTCGGCACTCTATCCTATCTAATGTAGAATAATTTTGTTGCTTGATGATTAGTTGTTTTCTCGTTTTCTTTGTTCTTGGTAGTAGCCTCGGCCTTCGGTCTTCCTTACGAATGAGTTGAAAGGGGCGAATTTCGAACATGGAGTTAACTTTGCTGTCGCCCGGCGCTACAGCGCTATCGGTTGAGTCCTTAAGAGCTAAGGGTGTTTCGCTTCGTTTTGTTCCGACCAATAAATAGTTCACTTGGCGTCCAATTGGCAATTGCAATGGATGTCGTCTCACTTCAACTATATTTGTCCAAACGGAGGTATAAATGCTATGGCTATATAACATTATTTTCGTGTCAAAATTATTGTCCAGTTTGCATTTTCATTTGAAAAATCCACACTGGACAATAATGTATATTCATACTATTTCCTTAGTCCCTCAATGACAGTCTTTTATCTTTTTTGCATATAGGCGGTGATCGGCTTTGGCGCCAAGAAAGTTATTCTCCGGGGAATTTCCCAATTGGCTGTCTTCCGGTTTACCTTAGCATCTTCCCAACCAACGATACCACAGAATACGATTCAAACCAGTATTAGGTAGAACTAAACAATTTTGCAGCTCTTCACAATGAGATTCTGCATGTCGCCATTGAACAATTGACGAAAGAGTAACCAAACACCGCTATCGTTTATGGCGAAGAAAGAATCCCCAAACACTGCTATCGTTTATGGCGATTACTACAATGCTTTCTTGTCACTCTTGTCCAATGCTCAAGAACTTGGATTTGAGAATAAGTTGTCAGCTTGTTGTGGAAGTGAAGTGTAAGACTCTGTGGAATGGCTAACGTCACTAATGCCCAAATCCGGATAACCATATCAGTTGGGATGGGATTAGTATAAGCCAGCAAGCCTACAAGTTGATGGCGGAACATTTGATCAAATCTATCCCTCCTCGGTTGCAATGTTGTAGCAGTAGTTAAATTTGTTGGGGAAAGTAAGTAGAATGTTTGTCTGATCAGATCAATGATCAGAAACTTATCTAGGTCAGTTACTTCGTTGGTTAATTTTGTCGTCTTGGTACAAGTAAACTTGAGTGAACGGTTGATAATACGAAAAAACTACCTTCCACAATTGTGTATCACCTCTTAGTATATTACTTCCAAGTCCCAATTTAATAGCAAGAGCCACTCCACAATCTGTAATGTAAATCTGCTTAAGTTTTGATTCAATGCCTTATTTTAAATACCCTTTGTGATAATTTCCGCGCACAGAAATGCAAAAGCATCATCTCTACCATCATCCGGGCTAAAACCAGATTATATCATGCCTTGGACTTCGGGAAAAAAAAAACCCAGACCAAGATAGCTAATAGAGGAGATTAACACATCAACAGATTCATTGTTCATATTTAACATAAAATTGTTGTTGCAAGATCAGATAATTCCATGTCAACCTATCACTGCTGCATATTTAACCTATGATTTTGGCTGCAAAATGAGGTTTTATGCTAAGAAGTTCTAACTGCAAATAAGTTGGGGCCGAAAGGTGCAAAATCTCTGTGCAATTCAAACATGGTAGCCAGTAAAAGTGAATCCACGTCCAACAATCTCTCCAGCCCAAAACCAGGCAAAACATTCTAATCCGAAAAGAGCAGCAATGCCTACATCCTCAGTTTTCACCTCTTTCCTGTTCTTCCATATGCCCTTGACAAACTCCACTTCTTTCACAAGAGATTGATATCGGTTTGGAATGCTGGCACCAGTAAATAGGGAAGCTTCAGCAAAACATTATACTTAAACTGAATGCAATAATCGATTTGCCAACACAGAAAAACAATGGTCGGAAGATAAATTCTGACACTGGTTTAACAATGAACCATATATGATTCCACTGGGAAAGTTCATCACACTGAGAATATATAACAGCCCATTTTTTATTAGAGCCACGTCAACTATATATGATTTTTTGGTTTCAATACATCCAAAATATAACAGTCTTGAGCACAACGAGGTTGAAACATCAAACTGTTCCAATACCAGGTCAAGGAACATTATATTGTGCATCTTTTTTAACAGCACAAGTCTTAATCGAGGTGATACAGACCAAAAGAGTTACTAGGCAACAACTTGTTAGATGGGCCAACTCCACCTGAACATAAGAAATTATTCTGATTACTTTTAACAGCTCAGTTTTCATCTCTTTCTTTAGCTATTTTCTACGCATCTACTTAGTTTCTCGCTTAGGTAGTTGTTGTTTAGCGAATGATTTTAAAGGTTACAGTTCTCTTCTTCCCTAGTGGATAGATTTAGATTTTGATTAGGTCAACCAGAGACTTAACAAGAGGTGCTTAACAATTGAGCTGCACCTTTTGTAGGTTACATTACTTAATAACAACAGATTTTAGAAAAAAAGCTGGACAAAACAGAAATCTCTTCAAGCACAATTGGAAGACCTAAAGAACTACCATATAATAAGAATCTACATCAACAAGAATCTTTAAGTAAAGGAGTTGACCACTTTGATAATCGTCAATTCGATCCCCAAAATAGCAGAATTCTAGGAAATATGAGTTCCAGATATCTGATCAAACATAATTTTATTCACACACAAATACTTTCAGATTTTGTGGGATGCGAGCATAGCAGAAATGATCACAGTAGACTTGCTTCTAAGCAAAGCAGTACGGGAATGTAAAAATCGCAGGACTTTCCAAGTATTGTGTAATAGAATGCAAGATCTCAATGGAGGTAATAAACAAGAGTAAAGATAATATACAGAGCAAAAAAAAAAATTATCAAAGAGGATTACTTATTACTCCCTCTGTCCCAAAATTATTGTCTAGTTTGGATACTCACTTTCAGCACAATTTGAACTAAAAATGAAAATCCAAACTGGACAATAAAGGAAAAAGGCGAGTTGCAATCTTTGGAGATACTGAAAGATATTGTGTGGCGTGATCAATTCAGAGAAGATAAAAACCATAGCAAAATGAGTACAGATAGGAAAAAGCAATCCTTAAAAACAATTTGGCACCAAACTATCCTACTCGAGATCAGATTATCGAAACAAGTTAACAAACAAACCTTCACATGTATGATCAATCATGTCATCGAAATAATAATCAGTCTGATTAGACTCAGCAACAGATGCGAACCTGGCCAAACGAGTGTAGAAGAGTTGGTTAGCCAAGAGCTTGCAATTCTCCACAGTGGGAGGATCCTTGATATATTGTTTGTTTCTCTCCAGCAGCTTGTTGTAGTACTCAGCTCCACTCTTTCCATTCTTTGTCAAAATCTTTGATGCCTCAGCAGCTTTGGCCAGTAACGGATTCAACTTTGATGCCATAATTCCCTAAAACCAAAAAAACACCATAATAACACAAGAATAGATCAGAATAGGATCAACCAAATCCAAAAGAAATTGAAAATCGTGATCAACAGAGGCATTAGCTAAAGCTTGTAATAGAGATATCTCAGGAAACAACATCATCCTCTCCCACATAAATTATAAAGCCGAATTAGTTGCCAGCATCATAAAACATACATATACTCTTCTGTACCACCAAAAAAAGAATAAAAAAATACTCTTCTGTAGTCCCAAACGTATCATGCAATTCGTTCTCTAATTTCGTCAACAAAATATTATAGCGAAAGCTAAACTCCTAAAACATCATTGGAAATACAATGCAAGCCAGAGTTCCTAACGGAAGTACAATCTTGTTGCCGTAAAAAAATTCAAAGAAAAAGAAATTGCAGAAAATGTTGCGACAAAACTACATCAACCATTATCAGACAGAGATGATCAACCCCATAGTATCAAAATTAAGAAACAATCAAGCAAAAGGAGATACAATTGGAGGATGAAGACCCGAAATTGACGTGAATTATAATGAGTTTTCGCTTAATACCTGCGAGTTTCCGACTGACTTCTTCGGCAAGATGAGAGGTATCGGAGACGGAGAGTGACTCGGCGTTAAATTGTAGGGTTTAACAGAGAAGTAAGAGCCTTTGTGCTCCTCCTACTTCAATTATAACCCACAATTCGTATAATTTTTCAAGGAAAAAAAAAAAAATTACACCGTGGCGTTTCTTGTTCTGCAATTTTCTCGGGGTGTGCTTGTAATTCGACTAAACTCCAATTTAGTCCCTAGTTTTTTTGTTTTTTTTTTAATCAACGTATTTTCAGGCATAAAAAAAAAAGTTTAATATGAATCCTATACAAATTTAATTTAATTGTGCTTGACTACACGGCGAATGCATCCTATAACATGTAGCGCAAATGTTTCTTATAATTTTAGATTAAAATTGTCAAAAAGAGAGTATACATAAACATTTAACCCTTGGCATAAATTAGTCCGTCACGAAAATCTTTAAATTGGTGACAAATCTAAGATCATACTCTTTTAAAGACCACTTTTAAATATTTAATCCAGGTTAAAATCATCCGAAACTAAGATCATCTATTAAAAGTAAATCATCAACGGTTTGAATGGATTCCAGATGCTTTTTTTCAACCAAAAAAAAAAAACACTGAGAACATGTTTAGAAAACCCATTCAAACAACAGAGCTGGCCAGAGATGCAAACAAAAACCATCATATAACATAAACATCTCGCGAACAGAACACCATCTGTATGGCGTATGGTGACGGGCAATAGTTGTGTAGCTTGGACAATTGTTACAGGAATTAAAGATTGGTACAATAAAAGACTAGGGAGACAATGTTCAGTTCTCAACCCAAAATCACTAAAATTCTCAGAAAGTTTTAAAACTGGAACTAAAAAAAGACAAAATACAAGCACCTACCGAAGACCCTACTAAGTAATCCAACATGTCTACTACCGCAGATACCCTAACCCATCTAGACCAAGGAAAAGGATAGTGAAACACGTCACCCATTTCTCGTGTATCAGCTCTGAGGTGAAGCTTTAGAACCTCCACCGCTGGACTGGCTAGCCTGTGATGCCGGAGCAGCTTCATATGATCCTCGGGCATTCCCACCAGAGCTGCCATCAGAAGAGTATGCTGGTGGCTGAGAGTAACCACCACCATATGCACCACCATATGGGGGTGCCTGCTGCTGCCCATAGGTTGACTGAGACGCTTGTGGGGCACCATATCCTGCAGCTCCATATCCCGGTTGAGGCGGTGGAGTCCCATAACCACTTGACGGAGGTCTCTGACCACTGGAGTCTGGTTGTGCATAGCTAGATTGGGCAGGAGGGTACCCACCTTGACCATAACCTCCTACTGCAGTAGGTGACTGCTGTGGCTGTCCATAACCTTGCTGGCCACTTGGAGGTTTTTGAGTTTGTGGGGGTGCATAACTCGAACCATACCCTGTTTGTTGCTGAGTCCCATAACCAGCTTGAGAAGTTGGAGGTGCTCCGTACCCAGGTTGAGTAGTGCCTTGGGGCGGGTAATTAGCATTGGGACTGGGCTGTTGACCAGCGGCGTAACTTTGCTGGCCCGATTGGGCAGGTGGAGCTTGGCTAGAATCAGATTGAGTTCCATAAGGAGCATGGCCATCAGTGGGTGGGTTTGCACTCCCATATCCAGAAGCAGAATTATAAGCTTGTTGCTGATCATAAGTTTGGGACTGACCATAACCGGTCTGAGAATTAGGTGCAGGGTATCCACCATAGCCATCCTGAGAATAACCCTGTCCCTGATTGTACCCAGATGTTGGCTGATTATAGCCATAAGCTGCATTGTCAGTAGCAGATCCGGGAGCCTGCTGCTGCTGTGAAGTCTGCTGCTGCCCATAGTAATCGTAGGCACCTCCCTGAGAAGTCTGTTGACCTGATTGAGCAGTAGTCTGTTCCCATCCAGAGGCATAGCCACCGGGGGTCTGTTGAGGAGGGTAACCAGGGTACTGCGGTTGATTCATGTTATACGGGGGAGCAGAGCCGGGGTAAGCTCCAGGTTGTACATAACCATAACCAGGATGTTGCATTGGTGGACCAGGTGGCGCCCACGAATTAGGAGGTCGAGCTGGGTAACCTTGCTGGGGATAACCTCCAGACATAGCTGGATTTCGGGGACGATTCTGCATGAATTTTGTTATCTTAATGAACCAAGGCAATCTGGAACCATACATACTATAGAACATTTAACAAGAAAACAAGCAGAAAACCTTTACATAGGCTGCAGAAGGAAAGCAAGCAAATAACAGAGTATCTGGTATCAAATTCTGTAGACCAACATCACATCTAATACATACATTCCATTAAGCAAAGTTTAGACGCCTACATACCGTACTGGTGGGCTGGCACTATTGAAAATCTCCAGCGGAAGCCCATCATCCCCCTATTCGAGGTGAATAGGTACAAAAGAAAAGGCAAGTGGAGAAGAATATAGGCAAACTCCAGGAAGAGGCCAAAAATAATGAACAAGTAAAACGTATAAAAATCAACATCCCCGAGTCAAAACTAGTAATTCATTTCAGTTGAGCCAATTTAATCATGAAACGTGACATCAATTGCTGTGACATCATGGAATGAGATAAATGGATCACCACTTATAATACATAAACAAATGAGAAAGAAAGTTGAGCTCTACGCCTCTACATATATAGAATCCTAAGAATCAAAAGATCAACTTTCCCATAAATCAATAGCATTGACAAGGTTTCTAACACTCGGAATATACTAAAGAATGACTAAACTTATCAAGTACAAACAGCCGAAGACAATTGAGGACCTGCAGAGACATCAAAACTTACACTTACTGGGCATGTTCACAAGATTTACTAGGAGGAAACAAAACTACAGAAAGACACATTCTTATTAGCAAATTATGAATTACAATCAGATAAAAATTAATTAGACAGTCCTTGTATCCCATAAAACATTTGGTCCATGCTATCTCCAAGTTACAAGGGCAGGTAGTAGGAAATAAGTGAGTAACCATACTAGAACAATGCCCATACACACTAACCCTACAGCAGTCCCTGGAAATAACATCAGTATAGAGAAGAAAAATGAACTGCTAAAAACGACAATAGAAGGCTATCCAAATGCTAAAAATTTGAGCAGTCAAACTAAGGATACACAGGAATACTTAGTTCAAGATATATATCCTAAAAGATCACACAGGAACTGCGATAATTCTCAGTTACCTCGTGGAAAAGGCTGACGAGATACCTGCCTCACATATACCAAATATCCAGAAAAAGATAGTTGAAAAGGGGATTAAGGCATATATCTAAATTACCACCAAATATCCAGATAAAGATAGTTGAATAGGGGATTAAGGCATATATCTAAATTACCGAACAAAACATCATCACTTTAAAACCTGAATTTTGACCTCCAAGTTCCAAAGATCCAAGTCTTATTTCCACAATCCCAACTGATCTGTAGACAAATGATCAACTGCAAACCACATATATAGCTATGGTGGAACCCAAAAAATATCCAAGGATCCTGCAAAGATATTCCATATGCAGCTAATTCCAAGAGAAATACTATGTCACCAGGAGCCTAGTGGGCAAGATAGAACTAAGTAGCTTCAGCAGTTCAAAATTCAACGATGGACTAAATATATTAAACAGGATATATGTGAATAAGACCTAGTCTCTCCCATCCCACGCATTTGAGTTAGATAAAAACAATTGCAGTATATATCAGAAGCAAAAAAGAGCTTCCAACATTAGCACATCCCTAGACATGTTCACCACTACAAGAATATGGAAACCACAAGGCTAAAATCACAGTAAAGTTTTCATTAACACACAAGCTAACTACAGGGTAAGTTAAAAGAAATAACCGCCATGAGGTCGCAGTGGGTCAGGAATCAGAGACAAAACAATAAACAATAAACAACAACCAATTTGCAAAGTATTGAATGACATAAAGGAAAAATTGGAAACCAATGTAAAATGAGGAACAAGATTGCTATACTTATCTGCATGTACACACTCATACCTCAGAAGTGACTTCATAGACAAGTTGTTTAGCAGCCTCAATCTGCTCAGGGGTGCCATCAATTTGAACAGTCCTCTCAAGTGATGTATCACCAGGAGGAAGATGCAAGGGTATCACCTGCAAAAAAAATTATCCCGGTTAATATCACAACTTCATGTAGGGTCAAGGAAAAAAAGGCAGTCAAAATGACACCTAATTGACAAAGATTAAATGACAGACCCCATCAACTGATTGAAACTGGACAGGATACAAACAAAACCACACAAGTTTTGGAAATAAATGTTAATACCTGAATTCGAGCTCCTGTTCTATTTTGCATACTCTTTATGGTTTCACCTCCTTTGCCAATAACAAGTCCAACCTATTATGAAGTGTATGTCAATAACAATAGAAGACATAAAAATGACCACACCAGATACAAGACAATGAAGCACATATCACGCAAACACACCTTGTTATTTGGAACTTTCATGACAAATTGATCACCTCCAGCTTGTTGCCCAGAGACCCTACGAGAAACTATGCCCGAACCCCCGGCTTCAGCCTGTGAGAAACATCACACATTTGATCCAATAACCCACAAAGAGGTCAAGTTCTCAACATATCAAAACCAAGTTATACCTCATTAAGAACATCTTTTATCAGACTCTCCGCCTTGGAGATCTGTTCAGGAGTGCCCATTAGCTCAACCCCCCTTGTTTGAGAATGAGGATCCGCATCCATGTCTCTTGTGACTTGGATCTTAGCACCAGACTGGAGTTGAAGGTATTTAATAGTTTCCCCACCTTTACCAATAATAACACCAACCCTTCCATTGGGTATTTCAATCTTCTTGCTCGGACCAGGGTACCCCCCACCATATGAACTTGGCATGGAGGGAGCACTACCAATTCCTAGTGCCTTTGGAGCCGGAGCTGAATTAGTTCAAGAAAAGATTCAAACGATTTGGGCTTATAAATTTCTAGTAGCTGCAGCAAATTGTTCCACCAAAAAAAAAAAAAAAACATACAAACCACTCTGCTCAACATCTACAAACATGCCGAACCACCAAATACAGGCAAAAAATAGCGATGCTTATGGAGGAGGAGCAATTAACACAAAGCGGATATCAAAATCTAACAAAAGGAAAAAAGAGAAAACACTTACGCTCCATCATATCAAAGCCGCTGTTTCCACCGTTCTCAACCCTGGGCCTCTTAGTAGGCTCCGCGGAGGGATTAGCGTTATTAAAAAGCCGAGCAGCGATTTCCTGAGCTTTCTGTTTAGCCAATTGGATATCGTCCATAGGCGGCGGGACGTTGTTGTAAGACGGGGCATCGGGAGGTGAGTGGGATGAGATCGGAGCAGAAAATCCAGTCTGCCTTCTCGGTGGAGGAGTTTGGTTGTCGTCGTATTTCCTCTTGTTCGAGTCCGAGCCGTAGTGAACCTCGTCCGCCATTATCGACTTTGTTGGATACAGAGATATTTTGCAACGAGAGGTAGAAGGAGGGTTATGTAAACCCTAGAGAGATAAAAAGGAGAGTGTGACGACCCAGGAGAAACTGACCTCTTTATATCTTAGCACGGATGCTGACTCGCTTGAGATTTTATATTAGCTTTTTTTTAATTTAACTTTGAGTTAATTTTCCTTATTTTCGGTGGAAAGTAATTTTTACTTCTTGGTCTCGAAGATACGTACGGTAATAGTATATTGACTATTGACGAGAAGAATATAGAGTACATGTATTAGGTGTTTTTGAAAATATAGATAAAATAGTAGTATATAATTAAAGATAAAAAAAAAAAAGAGAACAGAGTAAAATATAATGGATTGTAGCAAAGCTGCTCAAGAGTCAAGACCATACAAAATACAAGCAGATGCAAGCTGCGATGTTTTACAATCCAAAACAACTGCGACTTGAACACATTGTGTTTTTATTATCGACTGAAAATTTTTACGAGAGAAACCATACAAGTCTCCAGCAACATCCCTTTCTTTGAAATTCAAGAACATACAAAGGTTCATGGCAACTTAAAAGGTGCGTTCAGTTTCAGGTTCTCCCATCGCCTTTACTTTGTCCACCAATGAAGGAAATCCTTGCGCCTGTTGATTTTCTTCTGCAGCTGTAGGAGACCATAGAGAAGAGCCTCGGCAGTAGGTGGACAACCAGGAACATAAATGTCGACTGGGACAATTCGATCACAGCCTCTAACAACAGAATATGAATAATGGTAGTACCCACCACCATTTGCACAGCTTCCCATTGATATCACCCACCTAGGCTCAGGCATTTGATCGTAGACTCTGCAAAATATATTTCGAAACGAAATCAGTCAATTTAAAGAATTCCCAAATCATAATGATAAACTGCAAGTAATGACAGCAGAGGTGTGGTCTACACTAGGTGGTGGCTGTTGTAAATTAATACAGCAGTATAACAACACAATAAGCAATACTCAATCGACAATGGCTGTTGTCTATACCAAATAAGACATGGAAGACTATTGCCATTGCTCACCTAAAATCCACACCTTAGTCCTTGAACCCCTAAAGCACCAACTTTGAACAAATAAACTCAGAGAGACGAACATAGGCTCCAATTGCAACAAGCTAAGCTAAGAAGAGCGGGCAATAATGGACACTAGTGCGAAGCTTTCATGACCACATAAGCCGTATTTTCACAAACAATCAAGAATATCAAATTTCAGTGTCTAGCTTCTAAAGATCATGCTCTTAACATACATATCAGACCGTACAACAAGTATGAGACCCTATACAAACTAAAAAGTGTCATTCTTTCTTTTGGTTAAATAACAAGCATCTATTAGATAAGAGTTGGTATGCAAATTTTGGGGAAACCTTTTGTTCAAAACAGCTAGTAAACTACAGTCTACAACAAACAGGGAAACAAAAACACAAGTACAAGAGAAAGTCAAATCGATTAAGAAATGATCGTCCATTCTGCTTCAATAACGGTGCAAGTCAAAGTCATAGAGCAGGAAGAAGGCGGAAGAGATCCAAAGGAAAACATCCAAATTTTAACCAAACACACTACTCAATCTACCCTACACTCCATAACTTGACTTTTTGGAGGAAATGTTAGTTCAATTATTCTGGAACTTGAAATAAGTTACTAAAAGAAATAAGGACCCCCTACGCTAATTGCTAACATCCTAAAATAGAGGGCACGTCAAAATAAATATGAAAACACCCAGAAATTCATCTCCTCCAACTCTTAAAATACAGAAATGCAATAATAAAAAACTAATTCCAATTTAAGTTTCCTACATATGGGAGTTACTTGTCTAGAGTCTAGAGAAACACACAGCATACACCATTAGTAGCTTTGTTAAAATTGGAAACTAAGATAAACTCCATCATAACGCGGAATGTTATGCATCGAGATCACATTTCACACCAGCCTAACCGCAGAGATAAATACTCATCCGCAAACATAATCCTATCCAACGAAGTCAACAGCCAAAAACCCTAAATTAGCAATCTCAAATATAAAAATGCACTAATGTAAAATTCCAACAAATTACACACTCGATAAACTTCCGCAACAAGGGCCCTGAAGTTCTATGACATTCAAAACAATAAATAAAATAAGCACGTAACGAATTTACATCAAAGATACACCTCATCCAATAGGAATGAACAAGTAAAAAAGAAAACAACAGAATGACATACTTGCGAAGAGCAGGAGCCATCTTGTTGGTGAGGGTTCCGGCAACAATCATACAATCGGACTGCCTAGGGCTCGGCCTGAAGATGATCCCAAATCGGTCCAAATCGTAACGAGCGGCGCCGGTGTGCATCATTTCGACGGCGCAGCAAGCGAGGCCAAAAGTCATGGGCCAAATGGAACCCCGGCGGGCCCAGTTCATCAGATCATCGACCTTAGAGATCACATATTCCGCCGCCTTGGGAAGTCCGGTGGGGGAAGAGTTGGATGGAGGAGGTGCCCCGGCGTAAGTCGACGGTGCGGAGGCCTGTTGGGAGAAAGCCGCCGGGAGGGTGGTGTGAATTGCCGCGGCCAAGCCCGCCCTCTGGTACGGCGCCGTTTGGACGATGCGATTGGCGTTTCGAGCTAGAAGAGCCATTCTCGAGCGGTGACAGCAAGGAAAGAGGAGGGATCTCTGGTTAACTGAAAAACAAATATTTCAGGTCGTTTTATCAACTTTTCCTTCCAACAAAGGCATAAGGGTAAAAATGGGTAGTCGGTTCTGAGCGTGACGCTGAGCCATTAGCCATGTGGCCATATTAAGGACTACTTGTTTTTTATATTTTTGTAACTTCAATTCTTTGGGGAATCAATTAAATCTTCAAAGTATGAAAATCATTTCAATTATGTGGCTCTTTTTGTTTCATTTTTCACTAGTTTTTTTCAGAATTAAATATTAATAACTATCCCGTCTCAACCTATTTTTTTAAATTTTCATTTATATTTCTAATATAAAAAACACCTAAAAATACACATTAAAACAACGAAACAAACATAACTACCAAAAAGAATGAACAACTTGTAATCTTGAGTGAACCAAATGTTTGTACGTTTTTTTACATTACCTTTATCATGAGTCTATAAATTATATTCCTTACTAGTATTTCTCTTGAAAAGTAAAAGTCTCTTGAAAATATTATGAATATGACTTTATCACATAATGTCTACAACCTAATGTATCCTTTTCGATTAAAATCATTGGAATCCTGATAATTGCCTAATAACAAAGAGCCACAATGGTAACTCATCATTATTGTTACAATTACAAATCTATACATTATATTAAAATAAAATAAGTTTGTGGAAAAAAAAGTACACATGTCGAGCTCCTGTTAACACATTTCCCGCCAAAAATCTTTTAGTATAAAAATATTCAACGCATTAATTTTGATTTGGACTCATTAATTAATTTTGATTTGGATAAATTAAGAATGTATCACAAATTATTACCCAATTATACTTTATTTTGATTTGGACTCATTAATTTTGATTTAGATAAATTAAGAAATTATCACCATTTATTACTCATTTATATTTTGATTTGAAAGAGATTTGAAAAATTTTTAAAATCAATTTCAAATAATTAGAGAATGATATGATGATTAAATGTGGACATTTTTTTTGTTGTATATTCAATTTTTTGAAAAAAAAAGAAAAAGAAATGATTACAAATTATTGATTATGCATTTATTGATTGATTTATCGTAAACATGTTAGAATTACTAGTTAAAACCCCCTCCTATATGCACATGTTCTCAATACTGTTATTCTCATTCTCTGCTTAATATATGTTAGAATTATATTCCTTGAAATTTACTACTTTTTTTTTGCGCCCACTATGTTTCAATATCGTTCTTTTAATTTTTTTTTCTTGGTCGAAGTCGATACAAATGGCCACCGAATACCATCAGTATGACCACAAATTATTTTGTTTATATTGTGTAAATTCTCCCAATGTTCACTTGTGTAAATTATATCAAAACATAGCTTGCAAAATATAATTTGCAAGTTACATTTAAATTGTGTAAATTATTCCAAAATATAACTTGCAAAATCTAATTTGCAAGTTATGTTCACTTGTGTAAATTATATCAAAACATGGCTTGCAAAATTTAATTTTCAAGTTATGTTTAAATTGTGTAAATTCTCCCAAAATGACTTGCAAAATCTAATTTGCAAGTTATGTTCACTTGTGTAAATTATCTCAAAATATGGCTTGCAAAATATGATTTATAAGTTATGTTTCAATTGTGTAAATTCTCTCAAAACATGGCTTGCAAAATCTAATTCGCAAGTTATATTTATTTGTGTAAATTATATCAAAACATGGCTTGCAAAGTATAGTTTTCATGATATGTTTAAATTATGTAAATTCTTTCAAAATGCGACTTGCAAAATATAATTTGCAAGTTATGTTCACTTATGTAAATTATCTCAAAACATGGCTTGCAAAATATGATTTGTAAGTTATGTTTATATTGTGTGAAATTTTTTCCAAAACGTGACTTGCAAAATTTAATTTGCATGTTAAGTTCTCTTTTTCATAACTAAAAACTAACTCTATCCCAATACATTGTTTGCTAGACAATACCAAATTATGTTTATATGATGTCCCACTTTTATAACAATTAATAGTTCTAACAATTTTTATAAAGCACACTTTTTACTATATTTATTTTTATACATAGCTTTTAAAAACTAAATTGCGTTCGTTCTGTTCGATTTTGAAATTTTTCATACAAAAACTTTGTTCTTGGTTGAATGATATATTCTAATTTCTAAGTTATGTTGATTCATAATGTTTACCTTTTTTCAATCATTAATAATTGTTTGTACTTATGTGCATTTATATTAATACTCCTTGCATATATATTTTATTTTCGTTTAGTCATTAACAAACATTGTTCTTATAAGATATCATTCGTCCATGGCTCCGACAAAGTCATTCGTAACTGACATTAAGGCAAATGGGAAGAATCTACTAATTACGGTGCGTTTAATGAGAGTTTGAAAACAATCCGACTATAACAATATCGAAATGGTGTTTGTTGATTCTAAAGTATATAGAATACTAACTCTGACATAAACAACCTCGTCATATATTTTATGCTAAATTTTATTTTTATATTTAGCGCATTTGGTTAATTATTGATGATGTTTTCTTTTTATTTTTTATTTTTACTTTTACAGGGTTCTAAAATACAGGGTACAATGAAACAATCATTACACGACATGTTCACTGACCAACTCCTGGATAATGAAGGCAGGACTATGACCGTATCAAACTATGTGTTGTTGGAAATAGTCATATCAAACGCCAGTGTAAAATTATCTTTTACTGGAACACGACCCTAAAGCTGATTGATGAACCTGATGTCCTAAAGATGTTATTCAATTTTGTATCCTTTGTTGATACCAATGATCGCAAAAATGACCCCGACTAGATAATAGGTAAGCCAAATCTTCAAACTCTATTATATTAAAAAATTATACTCGATTTGCTTTTAATATGTTTTACTCGAACATATTTTAGGAAGCAGATATCATTGGTGTATTGAGAACTATTAGTGATACTATTAAGGACCCTAACACGAGAAAGAAAAAGGATCATCGTCGAACTAGAGGACTTCAAGTAAAACTGGCTATTGAAATTTTATTTTTAAATCTTGATTATAATTATGAATTGCATTCAATATCTGTGACTTTACACGCCGGGTCACATGTTGGAGATATAGTTTTTAATTCCATGACTGGCAATTATGCTGTCAGACAAGAGAATCCCATTTAAGATGAGATTGAAAACAATTTCCAGTGACTGTTTGCTTTGCTATGATGATTAATAAGAGTCAGGAACAATCTTTTTCGCATGTGGGACTTTTTTTGCATCGACCGATTTTTAGTCATGGTCAGCTCCATATTGCTTTTTCAAGAGTCACATCCAAGCGAGGGTTAAAAGTATTTATAGTTGATGAAGAGAATAACAGGAGTAAGCGCACAACTAATGTGGTTTTTAAAGAATCATTTTGCCATCCTTGATTAATTAACTTTTTTATTTGTCTCGGCAACATCGCTCAATAATTGTTTATAATGAACTATCGATAAACTTTTTACTTTTTTTTTCCTTTTCTTATAACAACGTAATATAAATTATGCTTTCAAAGTCTAACCGTACTTGGCACGGATTCTGTAACTAGTTCATATCATGTCCCAATCTCTCTTTTAGATTTCAATGTGATTAAAATACTCTTTGAAATATCAGAATGTAGTATTTGATAATTTTTTGAAAATCAATTTCCTATATAAAAAATTAATATGATGGCATAATTTTTCTCATTTTGTATTAATTAAAAATATGAAAATAAAAGGAAATTTAGAAGTAGTAATAAACAGAAAAAAAGAAAAGGAATTTAGAAGTAGTAATAAACAGAAAAGGAAACTAAAATGAAAAGAAACCAAAGAAAAAGAAAGAGGAGAGAAAAAGGAAGACAAAAAAAAAAAAAAAAAAAGAGAAATTGTGGTATTGTTGGAGAAAAGGGGAGGAAAACCAAATTCAAAATCTGTCCGTTAACAAAAAGATCCCAAATATTCCCTCTCTGAATTTCCCCCCCACGCGGGCCACCGTGACACAGACGCACTCCACTCCAGCTTCGTTAGGGTTTTTGAACTTACCGTTAAACCCCCAATTTTCCCATTCCCGCTTTCAGCCCCAAATTCCATCAACTCAAGCTGTTCCTACTTAATCCAACTTGCAATTGATCATCATTCTCAAACACAATTGAGCTAGAAATGGATCATCAACCAGAAAGTTGTGAACCCATGCTGAGAGAATCTATCAAACACTTTCTAGCTGCATACCGGAGTGGAAGCTCCGATTTCTCAGCTTTTCAGTCGATTTTCTTCCGTTTAATCCAGACAATGCCCGATCCGCCCCTTGAAATGATCTGGTTTTACTCTGCCGTGACTTTTCACGGCGCAAAAGCAACTCCGGATAGAGATATCCCGCCAAATAGAACGTTAGTTATGGCTAAAGATTTATTTCAGCAACTGATTTCATGTAATGACTCGAGGAATGGATTAAAGAGAGTTGCTCTACTTGCTCCCGTGGTTTTTTTATTGTATGAGGTTGTCAAGGATTCTTCTGATAATGAATTGTGTTTGAGGTGGGAAGCCGAGGATTTGTTGCATAAAATGGTTAGCTATGTTCAAATGAGTTGTCGTGATGAATTTCAAAGTGGGAATGAATCTGATGTTCCGGTTGCTTGTTTCGAGGATTTGGTCCGGGTTTGGACGATTGATAGAGTGGAAGAGAGCTGTGTTGTCGAGGAGAACCTGAAGGTGTTTTTTCCTGTATGGAGTGGCAGGACCTGGGATTGGTTTGACGGAAGATATGGAATTGGTCGGTTGGCTGGGATCGTTCTGTGCGAGATGTTTTTGTTGAGACTGTGCTTGAAAATCAGATTAGGGGATGTGCGTGACGAGCTGCAGAAGGATTTGCAAAATTGTGCGATTCAGACAATCAAGACTTTCCAAAACAGTTATTTCCTGGGTAAGATTTATTCAGAGCTTCTTGAATTTCCATAGCTTACTAATAGTTTTCTGCCTTCTTTCACTTTATGTTTATTGTTTCATAATATTAGGGATGAGTATGAGTTTCTGATTTGATTCATAATAAAAACCTATAGTGATTCATGATCAATCATATTCCAGTATGCATTCCAACTTACCCTCTTCTCATTTTGGATGCAATGTGAAGCCATTACACATTTTATTTGGAGATGAGCAGTCTTATATCATGGTTTTGGAGATGGCAACTTTAATTGAAATCTGAATGGATAGTCTGAACTATAAACTGTTTGTGGCTCTCTCTCCTTTCCCTCATCTTAGTGGGAATGGGTTAATCATCTTTGACGTTAACCAGTTGGTAGTTAGTGCTCTTTTTCTTATCTTGTTTGAAGCTCATTCTTCCACAATAAAGCTCTAAGATCATGGTGATAATTGACTTTTCACAACTCTGCTCTTCTATTATTGAATTAACAGCTAAACCTAGAATATTTGGTTTGTGGTTTAGTTAAGTTCGCATTTAGGAATGATCCTGATATCAAATGCTGCCTGCGCAGATATGCTTCTTAAAATGTTGTTGCAGCCGACCTTGCCAATCACCAACATATTGGTAAGCCGGACCTTTTGGTTCTATTGAAGTAGAAGTATACAGTTATTTCCATCCTTTGCTCTTTTTACCTAGTTTCACTTCATAAATGAGATATACACACTTAAGTGTTTTGACAAGTGCAGTAGACCTTGATTGCCCTATACCACCTGTAAAAACAGAGAAATCATTGATTTGGATGATAGGGGATAGCAACAAGCTAAGAAATTGAACTATTGGGGGAAACTGACGTTGTAGACTTGAACCTTAATGGGAACATGTGTTAGATAGATGGCGACATATGATCCAGATAGTCGACCCATCATATTAGGGTAAACACGTAATGAATGTTGTTCCTTTTTATCCATATATTGTGTTTCATTATATTAAGTGGAGTATTTTGTCACCGGAAAGAACTCTGTCTTCATGAATCATGATAACCACATATAAAGATAGTAATCTGGCTACTATTTACTTGAAATTATTCCGCTGCAGAGTTCTGAAGATGGGGTTTCTTTGATGAGGGTCCTCTATGATGTCCTGTTACTTGTTGATTGTTCATTTCTCAACTCTGGTAGATGGATCCAGCTCCTTGACAATCAGTCTAGAAATTTGGCTTTGACGTGGTCCTTAGTTGCTGATACTGCTGTTCAGCTTGCTAGGTATGATAACTCAGAAGATGTTAATGCATATGTAAAAATGAAGCAGTCAATTCTGAAAATTTTGGCTGCAGGAATTCAGGTGATCACAACAGGGCTCTTTCCTATGCCAATTCCTTCTGCAAATCTCAGTTATCTCGCCAATTAATCAAATGGCTCTCTTCTGAAGTGGGCGTTGAAGAAAAATGTGGATCTCCAATAGGCAATCCAGGAGATATCATCAGTGAGTTGCTTCCCTTTCCCAGAAAAAAATCTGCTTTAGTTTTGCATTTGGTTATTGCATTTGGTTCTACTTGTATAGTAATGAATAACACAATGGGATCTGCCATTTCATTTCCCAAATAGCCATTTCTTTTAAAATCTCAATCATATGTCTCTGGTCGTGTATGTTTTGGAAAATAATTTTGGAAGGGTGATACTGCCAAACTGATGCTGAAAAAGCGTAAGCTGCAAGAAAGCGGTCTGTTGTGCTAAATTTTAGTATCAAAATAAACTTCTATTTGTTAATTTTTCCCTTTCTTGTTCCTGCTTCAAGAAAGAAGTTTAACATATACTCATCCGCTTGCAGGATGGATATCTATCCTTGAAGGTAAAGGTCTTAGAGGATTTGATAAAAGTATTTCAAAGCTCCTCCCTAAAGAAGCTGCACTTAAGTTGGGTAATGCTATTTTTGATGAAGAGATGGTCGATCCTTCTCATGGTACAGATCCAGCCACAATGATCAATATAGAAAAATCAATTGATGGCAGTAGAAAACGAAAAGAAGGAATGGGAGGAGCTGGTGAACCTAGGATCAAGCTGGTAAAGTACAATTTACATGATAACGTAAGATACACAAAAACATTTAGCAGTGGGGTTGAGATTGGTAGTTCAGTCTTCGACGATGATATGGAAGTTACAGTTGGTGGATGAGTTGAGTTTTCCAAGGTAAGGTATTCGCTAACTGTAGAAGATAGTTAATGTAACTGGTTTATCATCGTAGAAGGTACATGTGAGTGAGGTTCTGTCCTCCCCTTTGTCTATCTCGGAGTTTTTTTAGAGCTGATGTAAGAACATGCCGTTGGCTTGAAATGGGCTGTATGATGACAAGGATGAATATATTGAGCACTTAACCTTACATTTGTTTTTAGTAAGTTTATCTGTGGTGAGATTGTAAAAATTGCATCTTTCCATCTCTAATCCATGGATGATAATAAACTGTTGCAACTACTCTTTGTAAGTCTACCTGAGAGATTGTTATCTTCAACACTCCTCGTCTCAAAATGATTTTTCTATTTAGAAATTCACTTTTAGGATAATTTGTCTTACATCAACAGCATTATTTGTGTTATAGCTAAAAATTTTAAACCGAACAATCATTTGGGAACGAAGTGAGTACCTAGCAGGCTAGGATGCAGCTATGCACACTGAAGGAGCACTTATCTGTGGTAGTGCGATCGACAATTCCAGTTTTACTGCTTCCATTCTGATCTATATTTTCATACATTAGCCTAGAATTATTAGTGCAGGTTAGTTCTCTCATAAACTAAATATATTGCTCATTTTTTAAAATTTTCAAGAACTCGTTTCTTGTTTTCCTGCATCATAGAAAACCATTTTACTGAGTAAATGGAAGAACTCAGCAATTGACTTTTGACCTTAAAGTTTGGTATGCAAGTGTGTACTGATCATGTTGAACAAGGATATAAAATATGAAGTTGTTACAGGTGTCTTACAATTTTTTTGTCCATGCTTCATGGCTTGTTATTAGGCAATGATTATCATGGGAATTGGGGAATTGTTTTTTTAATTCAGGATGCGATCGGAACACCCACCCCGAAAAAAAGAAGAAAAAAAGAAAGAACGAACTATGACATGAATTCAGAGTTGACTAAGTGACATTTCTTCACAGAGTTTCTCTCTGTATTTCCCAACCAACATTTTCTTTGCAGAAAGAGATGGGAGAGAGAGAGAGACACACACACACACACACACAGAGCAAAGAGTGAATAAACAGATTCAAAAATGGCCCAGACTTCCACTGAAGTTGATTCTGCTATTGAAGAACTGGGAAGTTTAGAAATTCAATCTGGCTTCTCTGAGGTTCTTGAGCAGGGGTTAAGCTCCCTGATTCTGTTTATTTGTTGCCTAATTTATTGTGATGTGGAAGATGACGAGGAGGACATCAGTGATGCTGATTTGACTTCTGCAGTTGTTAGCGTACTGGAAGAATGGATAGATGACATTGAGGATTTAGAGGATTTAGAGGATCTCGATTCTTTGGTTCCTACTTTGCTAAACAAATTTGAGGAAATTGCGCCCCAGATCAGACTCCTTTGTGCTGTTTTCCTGGACGCAGTAGAGTCCACGTCTTTCTCCAGTGATGGTATCCTAAAATTTCTAGCATGTGTTGTTGAGAGTTTCCAATTTCTTGCCAACTTGAAGGCTGATATCATTGTTCCTGTGAAGAACCAAATCATGGTTCTGGCAGAAAGGTTGAGTTTCCTGGGAGACCTTGTGGATTTCTCGGCAAAAAGATGCATCCACCATCAAAAACTCAAGGATTTATTGGATTGTGTGAAGGAAAGGATGCGGCAACTTTGTCCCTTTCCTGTTTGTTAAAAGGAAAGGATGCACAGTTGGACCAAGGAATGGAAAAGATGTTCTCTGATCTACTGGAGATGATTATCCCTCGCGCACCGGAGGTTGTAGAGATGTTCATAGGACTCCTGGAAGTTTCAAATCCATCGAGATCTGACAAGTTTCGAGTGGGTGAAATTGTCGTCCGGCTTGTCGATTTTCTACAAGAAGATGTAGCTGACCCTTTGAAACATCATGTCGAAATGCTTAAAGAGGGGATTGTAATCATGATAACCTTCTTCATGAATCCGGCAAAAGAATCTGTAACAGACAATGGAGATGGACTTCTGTCACGAATCAGTGTTGCCGTCAATGAGGTACTCTTACTCATTTGTTCCCTCAGCTTGGATGACTTAAAAGTGAAAGTTTCTTATCTCCAAGAAAAGATTGAAATAGCGAATGCAGATATTAGAAAAGTTTATTGTCCGATTTTGATGAATTCGTCAAACTCCAGCGTCCCAACAACCAATGGTATAGGATTCATGGATTTCTTCTTGGAGAACCTGGAGAAGATGGTGAAACATAACCCCACTAGAATTTGTTTTGCAAAGCATCAACTTATGATGATCCATGAGCAGTTTCTTTCCCTTAAACCTCTGCTCCATGATATCTTGAAGATGCAACCAGAGACAGGAGACCTAAAACTTCTTCAGAAACAAATTATCAATTTGGTGATCCTTGCAGAACATGTCACCAACTCTTGTTTAATGATAGATCATCCGATTTGGTATGATTTGTTGCAGCTTTCCCAAGTAATACATGCGATGAAACTCATTGAAATTGAGGTGAAGAAGTGTAGTGATCATCAAAAGAACAAGACAGGGTTAACAAGTAGTATAGAGACACATTCTGGTCAAGTTCTCAAGAAGCAAGCAAATCCTTCAAGCCTGCAAGATGTTGTGGTGGGCTGGGAAGATGAGTCAAAGACGATTGTGGATAAACTTACAAGAGGGACTACTCAGCTTGGCATTGTCTCTATTGTAGGTATGCCTGGCCTCGGTAAGACCACTATAGCCAAGAAATTGTACAATGATCCATCTATCGAATTTCACTTTCATTGCCGTTCATGGTGTTGTGTTTCCCAAGTGTATAACCCTAGAGAGTTGTACTACGACATTTTAACTGATGTTATCGGTGTTGAAGCTCGCCAAGTCTACTCCAGCTGCACTGACAATGATTTGGCCGAAAAACTCAGGAGAAGTTTGAAGCAGAGAAGATATCTCATTGTTTTGGATGACATTTGGGACATCGAGGCATTGAATAGTATTAAACTTTCATTTCCGGATGACAAAGTGGGGAGTCGAATCATGTTTACAAGCCGAATTCATGATTTGGCGTCACAAGCAAAGCTGAAGTGCAGTCCTCATCATCTTCGATCACTTTCAGATGAGGAGAGTTGGGAGCTATTGCAACTAAAGCTGTCTCATAATAATTTTAGTTCCTCGTTTGATGATGAACTATCGGAAATAGGTAAAAACATTGCCAGGAACTGTAAAGGTTTACCCCTCGCTGTTGGTTTGGTTGCGGGTATCTTGGCAAGCAAAGACATAAAATTCTGGAAGCAAATTGAAGAGAATACATACTCACAAATGGTGAGTGAAGGGTGCCTGGATGTGCTTGAACTAAGTTACAAGCATTTGCCAGACAATCTAAAGGCGTGTTTCCTTTATTTCGGAGCATTCCTTAATGATAGAGTTGTTAGAGCCGGGAAGTTGATGAGTTTGTGGATTGCAGAAGGATTAATACCAAGAAGTGGTGATACAACAAATAGCCCACATGAAGTGGCAGAGGAGTACTTGTCTAATTTGATCAGTCGAAGTTTGGTCATACTTGAAGAGAGAAATTCCAATGGTGGTGGTATAAAAACATGCCGGGTTCATGACCTACTAAACAATCTGTGTCAGGTGAAAATAAGAGAAGAAAACTTTCTACAATGGGTGAATGACAAGGATGTTTATTCTTTTCCCTTGAATTCTAGCAAGTATGAGAACTATCGCTTGTGCATTGATGCAGAATGGACCAAGTTCGTCAACACTAAACCTTCAGGTTCGTTCGTCCGCTCTTTACGCCTTGTTGGCGACTATAATCTTCTTGAAGTATATCCATGTCCTTCTGTTGTTCTTGATAGCTTTAGACGTCTTAATGTGTTGGACTTGGAATGCATTGTAATACAAGGTCCTTTTCCTCGAAAAATAACAAGGATGGTTCATTTGAGATTCCTAGCGATTCGCTGCGATGCTGGACAACTTCCATCATCCATATCCAATCTATGGAATCTAGAAACCTTAATTTTGAAAGACTCCAGGTATGTTACATTGCCAGAAACCTTTTGGTTGATGAAAAACTTGAGGCATGTACATATTGATGGGCTCCGGTTAGAAGGTCTTAAGGATCATGAGTATGGTGAATTAGGGAACATGGAAGTTTTATCAACACCATATCTTAATTCCGGAGAGGAAACTGAGGAATTACTCCGAAGGTTGCCAGGGCTTCTAAAGCTCAAGTGTTATTTTGTCGAGAGAGATTCCTCCGGTGAACTCTTTAAGTTTCCAGAACTCAGCCGTCTAACTCATCTTAAATCACTGATTGTGGAGAACTACGGAGAAGTATTCTTTGGGGTAAATTACGATCAATTTCCGGCTTTTGATTTTCCGAGTAGTCTCAAAGAATTGAGGCTGGAAGTGTTCAGTCTACCATGGAGTGCAATATCCATAGTCGGGCAGTTACCTAATCTGGAGGTTCTCAAGTTAAATGAAGCATTTTCAGGAATAAGGTGGGACGTGGAAGACGGCGAATTCTTGAACCTCAAGTACTTGGAGCTTCAATGGCTGGATGTTGAAGAATGGAGAGTACAAGATGACCCATTCCCCAGCCTTGAAGTCCTTGTAATGACATTCTGTCAAAATCTTGATGCGATTCCATCCGGTTTAGGATACATTCCTACCTTGATCAAGATAGAGATGCGCTGGTGTTCTGATGCCTTAATAAGATCAGCCTGGGAAATTCAGGAAACGGGAAATGGCATCCCTGAAGTTGTCATTCGTGGTAGTGAGTTTCTGTAGGTAAGTTGTAACTGCTTTATTGTCATAAAAGGTAAAAACTGTGCGATTGAAGTTAGTTTGCTGACATCCCCTTTGTCTAACACATCCAGTTCTTTTTTTGGGCTAATGTAAGGGTACTACTGAGTACAGCTTGGGATTAGAACCTGCCGCTTGACAACGAGTATAATGAAATATATTGAGCACTTACATAGTAAGTTGGCTGTGGTATGAGATTGAAACCAATAACACCCACCACCATCATAACAAGTCTGTTTCCCGCTATGTCGAGTCGTCAAGTTGATGGATTAATTTGGCCACAAGAGAAACAAACTGAGTCATAGAAAGTGTTGGGTATAATGAGAAACACTAACAAATGAAGAGATGAAAGAACAACTCTTTTTTCAACGCATCATCTTTTTGTCAGGTGTAATGTGTACGGTAAATGAGTTATGACAATGATTTAAGATTCGACTAAAAAGGTAGATTTGCCATACAACAAGAAAGCTCATAATGTGAATTTGATCGCAAACACCGAACCCAGCTAGCAAGTATGCCTTACTTGGGTGACAAATCAGTCGATCAATTGGAATTGCACAAAGCTATATCTGAGTTGACATTTAAGCAAAGTAAATTTGCAGACGGCATTTATTTCTATGTAAGTACAGAATGAGTTAAAAAACACATCCCAAACATTCGAGAGCCTCAAGTATTATCAAACAATTTCATCTCTTACATCTTCCAGTAAAAATGTAAAACGGTTCTCTCTTACTAACAATAACATATTACATGTTCACAACCGTCTAATTCGTCAATTTCTACGACATTAATGAAAAATGACTCTGGTGAAACTTTTTATCTCGAAACATGAGGAATACTATAATGTACTTGCAACACCTTCCATCTTGGATTGCATAAGAGTCATGTACTCCCTCCTGGTCCTTATCACTAAGGTATTTTGATTTCGTCCTAGGTTTAACTTACGATGTCTTTGTAATTGAAAAAAAAAACCTTTAAAATATGTTTTTACATTTGTTGTGTTCTCCAAATTATTATTGAAATATTTTTTAGGATTTTTATTCCAATTAAAAATACATCTTAGATGAAACTTAAGATGAAATCAAAATACGTTATAATAAGGACCGGAGGTAATACTACACAGTTGTATTAGGGAAAAAAAAAAATAAAACTAAAATATAAAAGAGAAATGAACTGGATACAGAGTGGAGTTGGTTTTTTCACGAGTACCGATGGTGGGGGATTTATCATTGGATCAAGGCTAAATGGGAGTAGCCTTAAAAGGATAAGGCTCTTTTCTTCTTCATAATAATAAATGTGAAATGAAGCTGAGCTTAGCTTAGCACGGGTGAGCTGATCATGAGATCTGATGAATGCCTGCACAAATGTGTCTGGATTTTGAACCTCGTATTGTACAACCTTCGGGGGTCTGACACAAGAAGGCCCAGATCCAGAGATTCATGGGTTCGTTGCCCGTTTTCCTGGGCCAATGCTGATCTGTCTCCCTCTCTCTCCCATACTTCCTTCTGTCACCCACTTTTACACTCACCGTCTCTTTAGTTTATTTTCTCGTCTCTAATTTCTATTACTCCATTTTTTATGTTATACTCACTTCATTTCAGAATCTAAGTCTTTTTATATTTTGCACGTAAATTAAAAGATAATCATCCAACAATTAATTTTTCTGTTACATATCTGTTTTACCACTCATTAATTATATTAAAACTATATACAAGACTAAAGGAAAATATATTTGCGTCATTTATTGAGGATAAAGTTAGAAAAACAGTCAATAATTTGCCTAGAATTTATAAAACGACCTACATTTTGAAAAATCTCTTCAAAGCTAAAACGACCTACAAATTGAAATGGAGGGAGTACTAATTAACTAGATTGCTTGATAGACTAATATCTTTAGATTAACACATTTTTGAAATATGATACTTGTGTAATACTATCGTGCTCTAATTAAGATTTAATCTTCGGCGGTGAAACTGCAAACATTTGCAAATATTTCTATCATTGTTGTGTCATTGCCAAGATCAAAAAAATGAAAAAAATAAAATAAAAAATTTAAATCTCTTCTTCTCACTACTTACTGCACAATTTTCAGATCCCACAAACAAATAAATTTTTATTTTAATTAAAATAAAAATCTTAAAAACATTTCCTAATAATTAGGTGAACACGACAGAATGTGAAAATATATTTTCAAGAATTTTTTTTTAATTAAAAAACACATCTTAAGTGAAACCTAAGACAAAATTAAAATGCCTTATAATAAGGATCGGAGGGAGTATTATATTAACATAGTAGGATAAAAAAACAGATTATAATAGTACGTACATTCATTAATGAACAAGAAACAAATGAATCATAATGGACACTTGGATAGAAAATTTTAGTAAATTTACTCTGATCTCTGGGTTGCAGCCAAAGAATGTCCAAACAAAACCAACAACAACCAGAATACACAAATCAATTTCCAAATAGACCCCAAAAGAAAAATACAAAAAGAAAAGAAAATTAAGAAGAAGCTATAGGGTCTGTCGGAAGTAGAGGTAATTGGAATTACCAATCAGACAACCTCCGAAAAGCATCAGACATGGAGGAAGGAGAGCTTTCAGTTGCGTGCTAAAGTTAAATCAACAGAGACAGTTTAACATCCTGGATTACCTTCCTTTTCTTTTAATTTTTTTTTTCTAAAAAAAAAAAAAACATTTCTTTGTCACTTTTTGTTAGAGTCATCAGGATCACAAAGTTAATGTGATTGGCCCAGGCTAAAATATAGTATATACGTGGTACGAAATTTCTAGAAGTTAGTATTGTGTTTGTTACCTGATTACGATGTTTTTTAAAGCTTTTGCCTCATTGGTCCACCATTATTAGTTCCATATATATATATATATATATGTATATATATCTCATATCTGGCAGAGGAAAAAAAAAAAGAGTAAACTAGAAATGAAATGAATAGAAATCTAACACTATATCACTTTTCAAAAAACTAATAACACTCACTTATAGTTATATGCAGCCAGCAAACTTGGTAAGTATGATGGAACGGAAGGTTGTAGTAGAAAATAGATAGTTAAGTATTTGACCGTAATTTAACTATAGTCCAATGGTCAATACAATAATTAGGGAAAGATTTGATTAAAAGAAAGTGGTAGATTGAAAATTAAACACTGTTTTTTTTTCCCCCCTGAAATTGAACTTTGTTCAGTAACTGTTATTTTGTCTATTTGTCAAGAGTCCAAGAGGTTTAAGATTAAACACCATTGCATTAGTTTTAGTTCGGATTAGATTGGTGTTGGAACTTTATCCTATAGATTAGTTCTCTCTGTATTATTTTTCTTTGATAGATTTGTTTGAAAAGTTCATGCTTTAGTTATCAGAGAAATTGTTTCAATCTTCAATCTACCATTGTGGGTTGAGAAGTCGCGTATGACAGATTGCATTAGCTCAATCATCGGATTGTATAACTTAATCCTTGTATTGTACTACTCAACCGTATGGTTGATTTACATCCTTTTTAATATTAAATATTATTATCGCTTTTGAAAGGAAAAAAAAAAAAGGATTAAACGCCTTGTGATTCCTTTCTATGGAATTAAACTTTAATTATGACATGAGATTGTGCAAATAGCTCACCTCTCATACTGATTTGAGGGTTTTGGATTTTGTCTTATTTAAAAGAAAAGTCCATCACTTGTATGGAACTAGCTAGTCGTGAGAAGCTTTTTCATGTCTGTATTGTAATCACTATAATTGTATTCATTAGGTTCGATCCTAGTCAATTTGATTGATATTTTTCAACATTTATTCTGCAATGTATCTATTTTTTTTTTCCCGTTTTGAGTAGAGATAACGGTTTATTTTGTTACGATATTATGTTAATAAATAATAAATAAATAATAACACGGCAAGTAATTATAATATACATTTACAAACAAGCTTTTTCATGTTTACAGAGACACTTATTCAAAAGAACTTACACAGTTAATGAATCAACCGAGTAAAGTCTCACGTTGGATCATTCATGATGTTACACGACAACTAGTGGGACTTTCACCCCTAGTTTCTTGATAGTAAGAAAATAAAATGTCGAAATGAAATGAAAAAAATAAAAAAATATATATATATATATATATATATATATATACTCCCTCCGTTCCATAATTATTGTCCAGTTTGAGTTTTCATTTTTGGTTCAAATTATACTAAAAGTGAAATCTTAAACTGGACAATAATTTTGAGACAGAGAGAGTATTTTTTTTGGCATAATAATGTTGAAAATGCCACGTCGCGAGAGAAATGTGAGTGAATATTAATTTGTGACGTTTGAAGCACGAGAATTATTGGACGACCCAAGAACTATTACGACTACTTCTTTTAATTTATCACTGATTCACTACCTGGAAAAAGCTCAGTTCGCTAGACTACCTGAATCAAAAAAAAAAATAAAAAAATGCACGAGCTAGAGATTTCATATGTATTTCTTTCGGTTTAAATTTAGAATTATGATATGCTTGTTGTTTTTTCCGTCTTGAAATGAATGTTCAGTTTAAAACGAAGAAAATATATTAAACTAATAACATAATAAATGATACAATAATCTTAAGACAGAGTAATATGATAACCAAACCCCCCCTTTTTAAGTGTAGAATTGCCTTTTAGGCTTTAGCCATTTACTTCCTATTCCTTTTCTTGTTCAATGGTCTTTTCTTGTTTAAAGCATGTCTCAATCCTTTTTTTCATCTTTAATTATTAATAAATTGTCATTTTCCAGCCCAAAAATATGCCAATATATAGAACCACATCAATCATCGACCGACACATTTCTTCCCTTTGGTTTCCCTTCAGTTTCTTCACTATTGCAAATACATAACGTCATAACCCAACATATTATCCGATAAATAAAACTATTTCAGCTCATTAAATGGTAGGAGAAAAAGAAGAAAAAAATAAAAAATAAACTGAAGACTTCAATAAAATTTCTGGTTAAGAGTAGGTTATCTATTTAAATTAGTTTAAAACGACTTTGTTCTCTGACTTTCTAGTGCGTTCTTATCAGTTATCAGTTTTTTTTTTTCAGAACCCCTATTTTGGAATTTTG